ATGGGAAAACTTTGGTTAGCACATGATACCTACATTGAGAAGATTGCACAGAAGTTTAATCTCAATAATGGCAACGCATGCACACCGTTACCAATCATGGAATTCGTGAAATATGATGGAACTGCTACTATCACATTCATACGAATCTATCAAGAAAAGGTAGGATCAGTGCTATATACCGCAATCACAGTTAGAGCAGATGTCGCATTCGCAGCATCGCAACTCAGTCACTTTCTAACTAACCCATCTCCGGATCACATGAAAGCAGTTGATCACTGTATTCGGTATCTCTGGAACACGAGATACTACTCAATTGGATACTGTCGAGAACAGATCCCACAGCTTTTGTCATTTTCAGACGCCTCATTCGCCGACGACAAGGAATCACGAAGATCATCTCAAGGTTTCGTGATCTCATTGTTCGGTGGACCAGTAGTATGGAAAGCTTCAAGACAAGATACCATCACTACTTCCACCACCGAAGCCGAATTACTTGGTGTCGAGCGCACATCAAAAGAGACACTAGCTACCCTTCGATTTCTCAAAGAGATCAATCTTGTAGTCAAGCAACCAGTCACGATCTTCTGCGACAACCAGCAAACGATCAGATTAGTAGTAGGTGAGAACGAAAGGATCACTACTAAGCTGAGACACGTCGATATACAGAACATGTGGCTACGTCAGGAATATTCAAAAGGGAGTTTCCATCTCACATATTTGCCCACAGCAGAGATGACAGCAGATGGATTAACTAAGAACTTATCACGACAAAAGTTCAATCACTTTATATCCCTCCTAAACCTACAAGACGTGAGCACCAGGATCAACAAGATCAAACGACATATTTTCCTTCAAGAGCACGCTTCTTTGTAGCGAATTCAATCTCGAGCTGCATCAATTCAAGCTTCCGCTTCTTCTCAGCAAGCTCGTCACCAGAGTCAACCACGTCCCCTTCACCAACAGCATTATACTCGTCATCAAGATCACTATCATCATACATATCAAACTCAACCTTCTTCTCTTTACCCTTCGAAGCAGCACGAGCAGGCTGTGACCGAGTCTTAGGACTTGCCGCAGGAGCCCTCGTATTAACCTTCGAACGCTTTACCGCAGGAGATTGAGGAGCAGGAGAGGATCTCCGTTTCCTAGTCGGAGAGGGAGGTAATGATCTCGTGGCGGGGGAAGGACGAACGGATGATCGCGACGATCGAGCAGGGGGAGGAGACATAACCTGTGTTGGTGATGAGAGAGAGTCAAGATCGATGAACTCGCTATCCTCTTTAGTCATCGCCAACATAACCGTCATCGCAATACGGGCCGATTTCTGGTTCGGGACAGTCCTCTAAAGAGTATGTCAGCAGATCACAACGAGATAAAAAAGATCAGAACATACCTTTCCAGGAAGTACCACGAACTCAGGATCGCAAAGCTCCAACAGTCGAACACCCAAAGGTCTCAAATACACCGGGAGAGGTGTACAAGTGTGCGTGGTGCACTTCCAGCACCGAAGAGAAGACGCATTTCTCCGCTTGAAACACTTGCCATGTTCCTCATGACGACCAGAGAGAAGAGAACGAACACACTCCGTACAGGGAACAGCGTTTTGCGCACCCTTATTCCTAAGATCACGCTTTGGGCCCTTCCGCTTGCGCTCATCACGAGCTTTGCGAGTAGGTGTCCGGCTCTTACTTGACCTAGGAGCGGGGGTGGGATTGGTGGAAGAAGAGAAAGGTGACTCCAATGAGGAACTCTCGCCGTCGGGAGGAAGGTCAGGAAGATGATATTCTTCCTCGCTATCGACAAAAGGATTACCACGATCCGCGGGAGTTATCACTGTACGACCTTTGTTTGCATCAGCCCGGCGATCTCGAACAGCTTCAACCTTCTTCAGAAAGCTATCATCGAGATCTTGGTGATGTTCACCAAAGGATGGTCTTGTCCGTGAAAACTGTTTGTTGGAGGGCGATCGAACCTCAGCTGCAGGCAATAACTGACCAGGAGAACGCTGAGCATTAGATCCACCAGATTGAATGTCACCCTTCGGTGAGGTATGCGGGGAGGCGGTTGTATATCGATCAACAAGATCAATAAAGGCCGGGGACTCTCTGACAGGAGAAGGCATGATGAAAGAACGTATTGGAATTATCGAATATGAATCTAAGGAAGGGGAACTGTCTCCCTCTTATAATCATATCGATCCACTAAGTTCTCTCAAAATCCATCGAATTCCACTCAATTCCATCTCCGCCACAGAGCGTCGTATGCGCGGATCGATCGAATCAATTGATACAAACACTCAACCGCATAACAATCAAAATGACTCAAGCCTCCTGATATGCAACAATCCGAAGGATTAATTCCCTCACTCGAATATCGTCACTTTCTCACAGGCTTTCCTGATCAACGATACAACTCACTCTTTTCTTTTCTTGAAAAATCATACGCTTTATACGCCTCACGCTCCTTTATCTGATGAATAAGCCTGCCCGGCAGGTAAAATCACAGCAACTACCCGAACAAGGCGCTCACCAACGCTTACGCCGCTCACGGCCAGAAAAAATTTTCCTTTGTTTGCTATGCAGATCCCTCAGTGTAACCATCAAAGCACCGAGCGATCTGGGGGGTGTGTCACGGAATTCACCGTATAGTGTAACCCTACGGTGTTAATCCTAGTACTCCTCCGGAGTACTCATTCCCATGATTACTAAAACTATTTCACTCAGTTCATTTGTGTACCCTATATACCTAATTAGGCGACTCCATCGCCTGATCAGGGTATATAAAGCAGGTATGATCCTTATGATCACACCTCAAGTCAATCTAGTTTATTATCACTCTATATACCTATCTCCTGATCAAAGTGACCATTAGACATAGCTATTACCTCCGTGATAAACTTTAACACTATATTTTTATTAGATATTAAGCCTAATTATCAAAAAAAATTAAATTATCTTTAATATCCATAGAGATATAAAAAGTCGCTCTAAGTACCTTTACATACAAAATTTGGTGTAAAGGTACCTGTCCGAGTTCCCCATATGTCCGAGTTCCCCATACGTTACGTTACCTAACTAAAGAATTGAATTTCTATTATTATCAGAATGTACAAAGCCTTCCACAAATCCGCCCAGATCCGAGCTAACAATAGGGACTGGAGTGGTATATCGAATTGATGCTGTAATAATCGGGAATATATTCTGATAAGTAGGGTAGTAAGTGTTGTAATAGGGTCTAGGATTGTGATTGTAATTAATAATAGGAAAATGGTGAATATTCGGAGTATATTAATTTGTAGCAGGAGAGCAATCGGGGTATAATATGATTCCTAAGCTGGTGTTATATTTTGTATCATTGCATCACTTTTCCTTATAGTTAAGTTTGATATGACCTGGCTTTTTATAATAAAAACTAAGGCTAAGCTTAAGATATTGTTCTCTAGTGTAACATACTAAGGGTTGCTGGTCTTGGCGGGTGATATCTAGTTGTATAGAATCTTCAGAGTGATTAGATATAAGTATTGTAGTAATAATAATAGGCTTTTTTGCATTGAGTTTAATCTGATCATTAAAGTTGATACCTTAATTCTTATATTGATTATCGAAATGAGTTTTTTCCTCTAGATTATTATAGATATCTTATTATTATACTATCTACACATTGATATTAATAATGAATAATTTATTAGAGTAATAAATAAAAATATTAATAAGTTTTTGTAATGTCTTGAGTTTAAGATTAATAACTTGTTATTCAACAATTTTCTTATATTTGATTATAAACTATTTAAACTCAATAATAAAATTATCAAATAAAGCCTTTTTCATTTTGCATCTATTATAATCCATGAAAACTTTTTATAAGAAATCTAGAGTCTGGTATTGTTTGTTTAGTTTGCATTAAATACCTGCAACAATATACTATCCAGAAGGCCAAAGATTGGAATTATGCGGGTTATTAGTGATTATATCAAAATGTATTTGATTGTTTGTATAAACAAGATCGGAAAGTAGACTAATAAAGAATATGATTTTCTGAAATTCTGATTTATTTTTGTAATCTATAGTTAAATAGCAATTAATTATATTATAAAAAGTTGTATACTAATCTTAATGCTTTGTAATATCTTATTTATTATTATTAAACTTTTCAAAAGTGATAAGATATTTGCGATAAAATGGAGTTTATAAATTATTATAAATAATAATCTTTAATGTTTCAATTGTATCTTTCAATTCAATAATCTTTAATTAAATATCAATAGCTTAAGTCTGAGTAGTGGTAGTTTGGGCTTATAATGAGTTTACAATCGATTCGATCGATTCAAATACAGCTTGAGCGGTAGTGAAATGTGTAGTGTTTGGATTATTGAATAGATTTGTAAAGAAAGAGATATCAGCTTTAGTGGAATTGAGAATGTGATTCAAGAAAAGGAATTGTGGAGGTAAGCTAGATATAAATACTTTTAATGTAGATATTTATTTATTTATCTTCAGTATTTTTTGAAATTCAAAATATTAGTGATAGGATATATAATAAATCAACAATAAATATAATCAATGTAATCAGAATAAAATATCGATAAAGCTTTGGAAATAAAATAAGAAATAAAGTTATGATAGTTTATTTGAAGATAATATAAATTATCAAGATATGGATAAAGACTTATATTATATTATAAGGATAGAAGAGCTATGGAAGAGTGAAGCCCTACTTATAGGAAGTAGGGCGTACTAGTATGCTGTGCCTGAGGCACGAAGGCAACTACAGATCATGTAGTTGGCGCCGTGACAGGAGCAACCTAATGCAATGAACTGTAGTGAGTTCTAATGAAAGCATAGGTTTGAGCCACAATCGCCAACAAATTTGAAACGATGGTCGAGAGTGGCATCTTCCGCAATATCAACTTCATAAATGATCTGTTTTGGAATTCACTTTTTAGTTGACCAGATTGGTTTATTACATTATCGCAAGATTTCTCCACATCATCTTCAGCGACCATGCAACTCGAAAACCTGTCACTCGTACAACTATTGCAAAAGGTAAACATATGAATGTTTCTTTCCACGCAAATGTGCTAAACGTATATAGCAAGGAAAAATGGAGAAGATCAAGCGCACGAGGAGAAACCGACAGCATATAGTGGGTGGAGGAACAAGACGACTCTTCAACAAAAAACCAAGAAGAGACGTCAACTATTCAAGAAAGATGGATGACTGGGACCGTAGGTTTTCCTGTTTCTATAAACGTCCAAAAAATAGTACTAACTAACCAATGAATAGTTTTCGCTCTGCATCCCAAGAAGGACTTGATCATTCCAAAATCATCCTTTGCACGTTTGGCAAGAGAAATCACGGAAGTCATCAAACCTGGAGAAAACTACGTGATTGATCAGCTTGCGTTGGATTCTTTACAAGAATGTGCCGAAGCTCATATAGTTCAGGAATTCGAAAGTGAGTCTCTACTTTCTCTTTGATGATTTATTCACTAACATGATAGTGGCCACTGTATTCACTGCTCGTGCGAGTAGGGCGACGATTCAATCGAAAGATATGAAGGATGCAAAGTTTATCAGGGACTTACGGGATGGATATGCAGTTCGATTGCAGACGGAGAAGATGAACAAAATGGGGGATACCAAGCAGTCAGACTGATGACGGATTATTGGAGAAATCTTACGGAATTTGATACTTCTTGATGCATGACGCAAAATAGACACTTCTATTGTCGTGGAAAACAGAAAGTTACGTAGTTAGTTACAGGTAGTATGAGTCTGTTTGCCTCGATAGATGAAGGTGCTCTGTTCTCTTTAGACCTCTCATCCTCATGAAAAATGAGTTGGAGAAATGACAATTACAAGTGTACTCTTGCCTTCTGCAACCAAATCAGTGATTGAACCCATTACATGGATAGCTTCTCCGGCAGTTCTTTTACAGCCATGTGAGATTCGTCTTGTTCCCTTTATTTTTTGGGCGTTTCTTAATTGGAATCTCGAGTTCGATGACTTAAATTTTCATCTATTTACCACAGTATCAAGCTCTAGCCAATAGGCAACCAAGAAATCCACCAACATCATATCGACCAACAGTTGGTGTATTTCGGCGTACCTCATGATCTTGACCGAGAGAACCACCATTTAGATAACAACCTTCTTCCATGATGCCTTCGTATTCGTGAGTATTCACATCAATATATGAGTACAATGTTCTTGCAACTAATAACCACGCTTTTACTCCTCCTACCTCTCACATGGGGTGGACGCAACATCTACAAATTGTACCAGAACTATATCTTAGCCAAAAAGATCGGTGTACTAATCATTATTCTTACGCTGAGTCCCCAAAATCCAATATGGATGCTACTTGCAGATATTATTGTGCCTCTCTTTCAGAAACTCAGTATTACTCGTTCGTGGCCATTGATCAGATTCGGCAGAAGAGCATGGGAATTCAAGGATAAAGCACAGATTCATTTGGAAATTGGGGACATCTTTATCATGGTTACGCCGGATAAAAACATTTTGTATATTTGTGATGCTGATACTTTGAGCGAAGTACTGCTGAGAAGAAATGAATTTAAGAGGCCGAGGGAGGTTCTTGGTGTGTTATCTACTAGTCTTGAACAAAGTGTTACTTGAGCTCTTTCTAACTCGGCTTAGAGATGTTGAATGTGTTTGGACCAAATATCTCCACGGTTAGCAGGATCATATACCAGCTCGATGAAAGTTTACCTCTGATAATCTACTTACTATATACTGTAGGTACCAGACGAAGACTGGCCTCGACACAAAAAAGCCACAGGTCCACCTTTCAGCAATGAGCAAACCAACAACCTAGTATGGCAAGAAGCTCTTCGGCAAACTCAGGAAATGATGCATTATTGGATTGACCAGAGGGAATTGGCCCTACGAACTACCGCCGAGGATGCCAAAACTTTTTCACTAAACATCCTCACAAGTGCTGGGCTTGGTAAATCATATTCTTTCAAACCTTCATCAAACATAGATAATGATCCAGGTCATGCAATGAGTTACAAAGAATCATTAAGCTTGATCGTCGGAAGCGCGATTCCAATACTGATAATTGGACCCAACTTTCTCTTAAAAAGGATACGGTATCTTCCTAAATTATTGCAGAACATCGCTCAAGCCACCGTAGAATTCAAAGCATATATGAAAGAGATGGTACGAGAAGAGCGAGAATTAATCGCCAAAGGCAAACAGTCTAAGCCTAATTTGATGACATCTCTAATCCGAGCCTCGCAATCCAGTTCCGAGTTCAAGACTGACGATATGGATCCCAGGAGTAAGCAATCTGGGTTATCGGAATCCGAGATCTTTGGAAACATGTTTGTGTTTAATTTTGCAGGTCATGATACGATATCCCATACACTTTGCTATGCTCTGAATCTCCTTGCTGCCCATCCTACTGTGCAGGATTGGATTTCTGAAGAAGTGAATGCGGTATTCTTGGATTCGGATGCTTCCACTTGGGATTATGCAGACTCTTTTCCTAAGCTGAAATATTGTATGGCCGTCATGGTTTGTGAATACTCTATCGATTTTGTGTTTATGTATTAACAGTATTACGCAGCTAGAGACACTCCGTCTTTACCACCCTCTTGTTACATTCACAAAATCGACAGGAAATTTTCCAACAACCGTCACATATGATTCTAAAGAACTCAATCTACCACCAAACATAATGATCTTGCCTAACCTCTTGGGTATACAAGCCCATCCCCGCTACTGGGGACCAGATCGACTTCTCTGGGGTCCATTTCGTTGGATCATCGCATCCTCAAACCAAAATGGTGAATTGACAGAAGAACTTTGGACACCGCCTAAAGGTTCATACATGCCGTGGTCCGAAGGGCCTCGAGGATGTCCGGGCAAGAAATTTGGTCAGGTGGAATTTGTAGCTGCGATGGCGGGATTATTCTATAGACACAGAGTAGAGATTGTGAAAGAAGGCGGGGAGAATCAGGAAGAAGCTGAGAAGAGAGTTAAGGCGTTTGTGGATGATAGTGCCATGGTACTTTTGCTACAGATGATGCATCCCGAGAAGGCTGGTTTGAGATGGGTTAGAAAGGGATGATTGCATGAATGATAAAATTATTTGTAGCGTTGAACCAAAAACAGGATAAGCCACCACCAAAACGCCATCTAAATCTAGAATATAAAACCTGGTATCACATAAAATCTTCATCCCTCACTTCCGTCCCCATCTCCAATGAACATATTTCATCCTCCGCACCCACTCAATCCCCATGTACCTTTCCATCCTTCGCCTGCCCCCCTTTCCCCTCCTCCTCTTTCTCTTTCTTTCCAGGCTTCGCAAACACCGCCCCCAAAAGACTCAAAAAACTAGTCGATCTCAAAACCATCGTATACATCAACGTCATTCCCACCACCACAATCTCCTCTTTAAACGCTTCATTCCCTATCACCTCCTCTCCCAAAAATTCAATCCGTCCCACATTCTTAAAACTCATCGTATTCGCAGAGAACTTCGCAACCGGCATGGAAGACGCATCCAGACAGATGAAATCCCAATTCTTCCAGCCCGAGGATGACGTCCACAGCATTTGTACCGGTTCTTTACTCGAGGGAGAAAAGGTACGGGATAGATGCGAATACTCTGTCTTGAAACGTTTCATGGCTTTTACTTTTATAGGTTGGTCGCGCACCGAACAGTCGGAGTCGATGGAGAAGGAGTGCAGAGTTCCGGTGCCGAAGATGGATTTGTCGAGGGCGGATTTGAAGACGAGATTGGGAGATAGGCTTTTGTAGGAGACGGTGTAGAGGGGTTGAGGTGGAGAGGAGGGGGAGGAGGAGTCTTGGGTTGTGATGAGCGATTTCCATTTTTTCCAGGAGAAATCGACGGAGAGGGCTTGATGAGGGGAAGAGCATGAGGTAGTGGAGGTAGTGGCGGTAGTGGTTTGAAGAGATATGGATGGGCCTGCAGCTGTTGTTGCCATGTTTGCGACGGTGTAGATTTTGTTTCTTGCGCGTGGATTGAAACCGTTGATGTATTTGCTTATTCTTATATTCTTTAAATTAATTAACTGTAGATCCTTCATTCTTATATACCCAAGCTATCCCTCACAACATCCGTGACGTCGACCTCCACAAAGAGCTGATAAGGCTATTCCCATCCCACCCTATCAAAGATAAAGTTTCACGCCTACCACCAATTTCGGGATAATATCGCGCTTGTCTCCCCATACATCTGACACTCTACAGAGTACGAAGCATCCTTTAATCATGTCAAATCCACATAAGCTTACTTCCACTCCTCCCCATGATTCAGCTTGTCATGACCGTAAATGATCGACATGCTAGATTATGTCATCCCACTTCCCAAATAGGCGCTACGTGCCGCTCCCATCTTGGCGAGTTTAGGCCCCCAACTGTAAGCCCCGCTAAGCCCCTTCGCTTCTCCATTCTCCCCGTTTATCCTGACAATCATTGATTTTTGTGAATTTATATATCGCGTTGCGTTTTCAATTACCCACATTATCCACATATACCATATTTCCTTTTAGGGTTGCATGTAGCGCTTTCATATTTGACTTATTCTTGTGCAATCGCAATGCCCGGTGTACCATCTGGACGTGGATGCGAAGCGTGTCGCAAACAGAAGAAGAAGGTTCGATTGCTTAATATTTCGTGTGTTGGACCAACTATGAGTATATCTAATAGGAAATAGTGTGATCAAGTCCAGCCCTCATGTTCACGATGTATCCGAATATCAATACCATGCGTAGGTAGTGGAATTAGGCGCTACAAATTCATATCTGGCTCCATCGACTCCACCGTAACAACTAGCTCCACAACCACGAATCACAACAGTGCACTCCGCACTACTCGTAAACAAATATTCCGAATGCCCGGTAACAAATCTATTGCCGTGGCAGGATCATTTATATCCGTTCTGGAAGTGAAAGATATTCGCTACGATATTGGTGTTTATGGAGCATTTCTCACAGAGATCCCTAAGCGTCTGGGGAGTAGCGCCGCGCTAGATGCTTCGGTTAATGCTATTTCGACGTCATATACATCGATATATTCACGAACGAAACCAGTAGAGGCGCTAGAGAGTTATGGGAGGGGATTGAAGGCGCTGAGGGTTGCGTTAAATGATCCGAAAGAGGCTACTCAAGCGAATACTATTTGTGCGTTTTATTTGATGATGATTTGCCAGGTGAGTTGTTCTTGGTACTGATGAAGCGAACAATGATGCTTATTTAGGTTAGACTTGGATGGCTCACGGTGATGATAATGCCAATCATGGGGAAATATTAATATATTTGTTGAATGCAGCTGCAGCGCAAAATTGGCAAGGCACCTTTGAAGCAGAACTCTTGGTAACCTTGTGTGTTCCTCTGGTATGTGGAATCTAGTTCTAAGAAAATCGCGTGAATACTTTGACTAATGACTTATTACAGATTATGGAAGGCATCAGGAACCCCAAGGTTAAGTGGACCCCGGTGATAGGAAAACTAACCGAAGCTCGAGATAACGCCGTCGGGATTGAAAGCCTCAAACTCCAAACCCTGGCCAAAGTCCCAGAATACTTAAGGTATCCAGGGGAATACCTTCCTGAAATTAAATCCACATACATTAAAATGAAAATTGACCTCTCAACCATGCGGAATACCCTGGACAAACTCCATCAAGCCCCACATTCTAGAACACTACATTCACGCTTCCAAGCCGCGTATAGTCTGATACTTTCATTTGCCAACTTGTTGAACAGTTTACTTCGTGCCTTATCGGAAGATCTTACATCTTTAATACCGGAATCGGTATGTTATGTCGAGGAAACCATCGTCCTTGCTGAAGAAGCACTTGAGTATCGACCATTAGGATCGAGTGCCATGCCAATGGTCCTTACAACTGCTTGGGTGGCGACGAGTGAGATATCTCGGAGAATTAGAATAGAGAAGCTGTTGATAGACTACCAATCCGATTTCGCAATTATGAATTGGATGGAAGTCGCTTTGTGGCTGGAAGAAAGGTTGCGAGGTATCCATCTCTAATTGCAGGACTTTGGTGCTGCGGCACCGCCGATGGTCAGTTGAAACTTGGAGTACTTCAGATGTGGGGGGGGGGGGGGGGGGGGGGGGGGGGTAAACCGTAGAAACTGTTTGGCAATGCAGGCCTCGTTGAGGATGAGGCTCTCAAGTATCGTTCTAGTCTGGGGTTTAAGCCGCTTCCAGGCTTGGTGTGGAGATAGAAACTGAATAATACAGATATCATGTCCATATTATTTGTGAATAAAGCAGCCAGCCTGACAGCAGTCAGCCTCATCATAAGCAATACGGAGCCAAAATAAGTTCATTATTCAAGTTCCCGTTAGGTGAATTCTGAAACATGATATCCAGGACAGTATCGGTGGTTCCTCCCTTTGATTCAAGTGAGTTCTCAAATAAAACAATGACATCTCGATTCTGTTGGCTCGCGACCTTTTTAACCCTTTGTTCAACACTAGATTTAACCCACCAGACATCCTTCTCTTCAACCCACATTCGTCGAAAAAATAGTTTGAAATTTTCTCGATTTGTTGTGGGTGATTCTATGCTCGTCACAAACTCATCAATATGTGTGAATAATATTACACACGTCGGGACCGTCCAATGCCGAGGTTTACAGGCTGCTTCAAAGTGCACCAAGTCCAAAAATGGTTGGTAGGTACCGACATCCTTCAGAAATTCAGAACTCATCATTGAAATCGTGTAGAGAATTGTTTTTTGGTCCTATCGCCACTCTAACGTCCTCCCATTTTTTATGGTAGTCTTCGAATCCGCCATAATCATAGACTTTGACAATTGTATTTCCCCACGTAATGTCCATGTTTGTAGCTCTGTTAAATAGTAGAAGAAGGTCTTCCCTCGTCGGGATATAACTAGCGCTCCAAATGCGGTGCCCAGAGCGAAAATAACTACGGATAGTCAGTATATTCAACTTGAATGGGTCACTGAACAGATTGACCTTTCAGCGGCTTTTATTCTTGAATTTTTGCTTGACCAAGCATCAAAAGTCTCTCGAAATCCTTGGTCCCTCCACGAACTCTGAGCCAAACGACGAATAGTCTCTGGTTTATGATCATATGGCCAGCCTTTATATGACCAAGCATTATGTGAAACCAGTGTTCCGTCCTTAAAGTCACCAGTATTATATAACCCATAGCTGTCAGCCCAATTGGAGAAGACATTGCGCCTTTTCATCTCCCAAATTGTATGCAAAATGCAACGTAGAATGTACGATTGAATGGCCTTTCCGTAGATCCAACTTTCATCCTCAATCATGCTGAGATAAATAAACTCAATGCAACCTGCAAGAGTGGATTGTCCACTGTTACTGCACCCTGATAGAAGAATATAATGGAGTATCTGGAGAGATTTATATGAATTGTGACAAGGATCATTGTTCCTGTGGATGATTGATGTATCTGAACAGTCTTTGTATAGACCCCAGGCACTTGGCAAATCAAGGGGGCCTTCTGATGGGTCTAGGAAAGGGTTGTTAACAATATCTGGAGAGGACTTCTGCCTCACCGGTTGCCATTGAGGAATCTTGAACTGCGATTCATCATCAAATATATTCATGGTCGAGATTGCGTCATCCATTGAAGTCGGTCTCAAATTTGGTAAGTTGGGATCGCAATCACTCGGAATGGTCTGTTCGAAACACCATTCAATTGTACGCTTCGATGACGGTTTTGCTCGTCTCTGCTTCGAATGTTGGTTTAAAACTCATCTTAGTGCCCGTTTTCTTTCTTGCGCGGGGCACAGATGTGTTTTCAGAACCGTTGCCCGTCATCTCTGGGGATGCTGTAACATTTCGATACACATCCGTGGTAGCAATTTCCTTATCAAAGTCGAAAGCAATTTGTGAGCCACTCGTCTCTGCGGAAGTACCACTCCTAGATCTGAACGCTGACACCGACGAGCGGTCATCCTCGACCCTTTTGAAGACTTTCTGGCTTTCAGGCTTTTGTAGAAGCTGATTGCGGTTGAATGAAGTGCGGCTGTTTTGTTTCTTAACACAGTTCAGATAACATATCTTTATTGCAAGGCTTTGCTTGGTATTAGAAATGGCGGAGACATGCCTTTGTACCGCCGTGAGCAGTAAATGAAGAGCATTGACCTGACTGTTCAAGTAATTGTTGAGTTCTTTGATTTCACTTTCGTTCCAAAGTAATCTAGGTTTTCCTTTCAGTTGCCGGTCAATACCGTTTTGATCCAGCCGAAGTAATGTGATCTTCCAACATCAACAAAAAAACATGACAACTTTCAAGAGAGCTTTCGAGATTAATTATGAGTTGTTCGTTTTTGTCAACTCCTTGAAGGGTTTTTTGCAATCCAGTCCGACACCTCATTTAACGCAGTTTTGATAGTTGTCAATTGTCCAATCAGAAGACTGGCTATAAGGCTGGCGTTTTTATATTTCGACTTGAGTGTGACGAGACTTGTGATGAGACTCGTAATGACTTTTCTGGTATTAAAGACCGAGCCGGTAAGAGTGATGATTGATACTGGGTCCATTTTGTGATGAATGTTATTTCGTAGAGAAGAGTAAAAGAAAAACAGATCGAAGAACAAATTCAAAAGACCAAACTGGTCGTTAAGAATGCACCGAACGGCTGATGTCTGCGCCTACCCTCGTGCCACGGGTATCAGCGTCGCTGTATCACATAGCTGCGGTACCTAGCAGTAATCTGTCAAGGTAATAGGCTTCGATTGATACAGTCGGGTCACCATTTCGGGAATTGTGTATCGCGAGTTGGAGTAAGGCTATGAGCAAGACCGACTTGACAATCCTTGAGGATTCCAGTCAAAGCGGAGTAAGAGATTTTACACCAATTATTAGTTACGCGGAGTCGTCACATAAAATCTAATGAAAGAAAGAACTCCTTCGGTTAAGCAGACATGCAGAGCCTCGATGCATGATCCATTGTCTTATTCAAACATTTGTTAATACAAGTGCAACCTCTTTTAATTTGCTATTTTCTCAAGTTAGTAATCACCACATTGCTCCACGAAGTCTTCACTCTAGTTGATCCTTCTCGTCCATCCAAGATCAAAACCATCCACCACCACTCAAGCCGCATCTAAAACCACTTCTTCTCTCCTGCTACTTTTCTTTCCCCCTTCCTCTCCTCTCCCTTGCAGAAATACCCCAATTCATCTTCCATCCCGGCTTGAGGAAAATCAGCAACCCTCAAATCCACCAACATTCCAAAACCACCACCGCGCACAAGAAGCCAAGCCAAAAATTCACACACTCTCCCATCCAGACCTACCTATCATCATCTGAAACTTTCTATAAGATTCAAAGGCAATATAGATAGACGCATTGTTTCAACCAACGAAAGTATATTTTTGAATAACCAGCAAAGCCGTAAACATTAGGAGTTGACAACCCCATTCAAAGCTACAATCCAAATAACTCGGCAAGTCAACTCCATTAGGTAGAGGCAACCCAGAAACCATCTAGTCTTCAGATTGTAACCACGCTTGTGGTTGTTGATTATATCATAAATATTGTATCAATGAGGAATATGGCAGTCGGGTCTCGTGGGCTGCACTCCATTATTATCGGCCATTAGAGGTATTCATCAATAATTAAAGCAAGCAACGAGTGAGTCAAAAACCGTCTTGATGAATCGAGTCTTTAGATTTGATCAGTAGTATCATGAAACTGGATGTATAAATATATAATATCTTGTGAACGCCATCATGGACAACCCGTGGTATCCCCATAATCCACTGAACGCCTTTAAACAACCTGTACCGAATCTCTTACTCCCTTTACATGACAAGTAGCAATTATACTTCTCCAAAATTCTTCGGTGCTTATAAGACTAGCACTTATATACGATATTAGATATATCCGAACTTGTCTCATATAACGAACCTAAAATGTCTATCCAAAGGCCATACAATTTCTCTTTCTTCCAAAAGGAATTGCTTCATAAGAATATGGTCAACATCTTTGGCTGTCGATACAACACCGGAACCAAAATGTTTAAGATGGTATATTGATCTCGTAACCAATCATAACCTCCGTGTTAGTACCTTCCCAACCCCTGTTTCCAGCAGCTGATATCATATATTTGCACGTCGGATCGATATGAAGTGCAGCTATGACACCAGCTCTTGGTGGCCCAGGAACGATGAGGAAAGGTACGGATGAATGTGATTTATTTTGTGGTTGCTTGAGGTCATACAATCGTAAGATATCGTGTGATGCACTGTTAATCATTAGTTTGACGGATATAAGCAGGAGAGAGAATGATTAATATACCAAATAAGATGTCTCCCATTAGGCATGGCTTTTATGGCACTAACTGCACCGCTTCCGTTTGGAAACTTAAACGTCCTTTCGGGTTGTTTGAGACCTTTATGTAAACTGAACTCTTCCACTGTTCCATTCCTTCGGCCAGCATAGATGTAGTTTCCATCAGGTGACCAGCAAGCAGACATACACCATGGAGGTACTCCTGTTCTGGTCAAAATTCGAGCAATTGGGTTTGGTTGACGTCTATCCCAGACGCGAATAGTTCCATTGATAGACGCAGCAAGAAATGTGGAGTCAGATGTTGCATCAGCATCTTGAGTTTCAGGTTCTGCCTTTGCTTCAATAATATCTTCGGAATGCGGTAAACCATTAGATAGATCAGCCTGTGGTTGTTCGGATTGGATTTGAAGGGAAGAAGCAGATTCTTCCTCAATTGGTAGAGGTGGTGCATCCATCATAGACATATCACCGGAAGAATCTGGTCGTGCTTCTATGTTCATATCCAAGGCTTTCGAGAACAAATCTTCATCATCACCGAAGTTTCCTCCGGATGGAGCTCCCAGTCCATCTGTATCTCCAAATAATGAATCTCCACCCCCGAAAAGAGAATCTGCAGGTGATCCAGGAGCATCCTCATTACCGTCTGTATCTCCGTTCAATCCATTGGTCCCATTCATTCCACCAGAAGCGCCATTCAGCAGTAGCTTTTCCCCAGTGTTACTAGAGAAGGTTCCGTTTTGAGGGCTTGGTTCGCCGGATTCTTCAGGAACAGGTAGCGTAGAAGCCGGTCTTACTTCTATTGCAGAGATTTGACCACCACTCCCATCAAATGCGCGCTTGACTAATCCAGTATTTAAATCCCAGTCCAGAACCTTTTTGTCCCAACTTCCTGATAAGACAGATCTCTCATCGCGAGCAAGACTGAGAACCGAGACAGCAGATGTATGCTTTTGCAGAGTGGCTATTTTCTTCCCTTCATCGTGTCGCACTGATTGTAAGTTTATACATCCCGATTCAAGTCCAGACAACATCCAAAGAGCCTCAGATTGTACTGCCAATGAATAGACAGGAGACAATGGATTCTCCTCCCCGCCAGGGCCTCTACTTGATTCCTCGTTATCCCAATAGCTCATAAGAACACCAGCTTTAACTACACTATCGACAAATGGATGCCGTTGAGCGACAGTCAGTAATGTTTTACCATTCACTGTGTCGACTCCATTGTATTTCCTTATAAAACAATCCGAACCTCCACTGAACCAGTATCTCATATCAGGTGTTGCCGTAATCGCATTGATCGATGTACTCTGAGGAGCAGCTATTGTTGGTACAATATCATAGGTAGAAGCGGTTAATGCTTCGGGCCTAACTTCATATCTAAATCTTGGGGATAACGATGAAGTAGAATTGTGTTGCGGCGAGGCTGAAGTCCTTGTTAAAGTCGGATGAGGATGTGAGGTGGGCCCCTCACCATTCATCTGGGTTTCGTTCGAGTTGAGTCTCTCGTTCGAATTGTCTAGGTCTCCTCTGTTCTGCGAAGGGGAAAAGTCGTCTTCACCTTCTCCATCACCATCGCCGTCACCATCATCTTGGTCATCCTCTCCATTATCGTCATCATTGTCGTCATCGTCTACTTCTTCATCCCCATCTCCATCAGCATCCCCATCCCCATCCCCATCCCCATCCCCATCCCCATCCCCATCCCCATCCCCATCCCCATCCCCATCCCCATCCCCATCCCCATCCCCATCCCCATCCCCATCCCCATCCCCATCCCCATCCCCATCCCCATCCCCATCCCCATCCCCATCTCCATCTCCATCTCCATCTCCATCTCCATCTCCATCTCCATCTCCATCTCCATCTCCATCTCCATCTCCATCTCCATCTCCATCTCCATCCCCATCTCCATCTCCATCCCCATCTCCATCTAGTTCAGGGTCTAAGTCATCTGCATCTTCCATCATATCATCTTGTTCAATGTCGGAGCTCGCGTTCGATCCTGGCAAAGCTAAAGTCAGTACTCAATAATGATAGAGTAGATGCTGCATTTACCGACCGTCATCAATGTCTAATGCGAAATCCACCATCTTGAACACCTACAGACCCCTCCTCCACAACACAATCCTCCGGGTTGCGGCAGCAATGAATTCGCGTTAGCGCAAGCTATTCTGCTTGAATTCGATTGTAGGACAACGCGGGGCGCACAAGGATATTCTAAGTAAATACTCGGGAATGAGTTCGGGAAATTCTCTGAATATAGACAAATAAAGTACGTCACAGATTCTCCAGACAGTAGAAACAATTCAAACTCTTTTAAAATACAACTGTGGAAGGGCTTATTGTACAATTGAAGAATCGCTAAGTTATATTGTGACGATACAAATATAATAATTGGCCTTTGAATCATGAATGCGAAGACAGGGTCTTGATAGCTAGTCATGCTAGCGGCCGCATCAGCAAGGTGATGCATCACGTGAGAGGTTGCGAACCTCACTACATCAACTTTGGAAACATCTTAAATCTTCCTCCAGAGACATCAAGACAGTCCACTGCACAGTGTGGTAGATTGGATTGGGGTTGAAGCAACTATCGGGACACCATTGACTCGAAACATCCTCATCTTGGGAAAAGTGACTACCCTGTAAAATTGAGTGCACTTTCTGTTCTACAGGTCTCGAATCCTCAAATGCATTCTCATGATCATGGTCCGAATCAATGCTTGCTTAAGGATATCTCAGAAAGCATTAATATATCTGGAATCTAATCCAGGAGACGGGATATACATCAAGATTTTGACGAGGAGTAGGTGAGGTGTCATAAGGCTTTCAGTCATACCACGAGTAGATACCTAGATAGGTTTACTTTGTAGGTCTGGGCGATATCTTTTACTTACTCATCTTAAAAAGCTGTTTTCGATTATTTTGTGGAGGAAGTAGATGCTTGAGATATATGCAATCATCTATCTACTTTGGATATAGAGACAGTCGAAGATTAGCTACATACATAAGCCCGACTATAAACTGATTTGGATAACACTTACCTTAGTATATGACAAGCTACCTGTCCTGTCTAGTATTTACAAGGTAATGGGCTTATAGGTACCTCAATCTCTGTTTGCTTCGAAATTTAATCTCCAATAAAGGTCCTAATATACCTAGTATGCAATATGCAATATGCAGACTGCAAGCTGCCGAGCCGATCCAACGCTTGCAAACGAGTGGAAGTGTACACGCTTCAGAAACTTCTCAGAAGTTCGTACAAGATACCTATTGACCTCTTCTCTTCTTACAATTCCATCTCTTCATTCATTGCCTAGGTAATAATTGGAGAGATAATTCGATGGGTATCAAAGGAAATTCCGAAACCCTTATGCTTATCATTTCTCGCCTTATTAAGGTTGCCCACCTCATTCCGATTCTCGCTTGCAATTTTGGATTGTTTTGGGAAAGCTCGACAAAGTGAATTCTCCCAAATTTTCTTCTGGGTATTTCGAGAATTCCGATCTCGCTCTCTAGGCCACCTTCAAATCACTTGCATAAAAAAATCTTGCATTGTGATCGACTGAGAAGAATTGACTTCTACTCTTTGTAGGATCAATTGTGCGTTTCATGAATGAACGTTTGCGACCAATATTAAGTCTTCAACGCGCCATATCACACACTTTTCGGCGACAATAATTGTCTTCGAAAGCTTAAACGCGGGCTTAGACAATCAGATTCTCCCTCAACTACCGGGAAATCAGTTGAAACAAGGTAAGAGAAGTCAGCTCTGTAGGATTGTTTGACACACATTGGCGCACACGATACTGGCTATTATAAGACTTCTCAACGTCTTGCCACACTTACAATTCTCCTCCGAGACCGTAAATCTTTTATTTGCTCAGTCAATCAAAGCATTGTTTCTATCCGCTTGCGTTTGAAGTTGAAGTCTAATAAATTGTCACCTTTGTAGTCTTGCGCAACCTGTTCAGATACCTTTAAACTCTGAAGAGTTTTGGGAGGTCATAAGCCATTCTTTCAAAAGACAATCGCCATGAAATTCGACCTTTCCCAGACCTCATTCAGTTCTTCATCTAGCAATTAAAGATAATGCGAGTCTAAGGTCTACATCGCAGCCATTGAATGACACAGGGAATGACCTGGAACTCACACACCAAGGTCAGTAAAATCACATGCTTGATGAAACCAAATGCTTTAAAAACTTGGACTGACCTGTGGTAGTAGAGAAGAAACTGCGACCATGGTATACAGTAGTGCTTCTGCGAATATTGTATTGCGAGAGCATGTGCAGAAATCTTACGCAAAAATCAACTTCTCCGAATCTTGGAGAAATCTTCCCGAAATTCCCACTAGTGAAGAAATTCTTCAAGACGTATCATGGCAAGACAAAGATGGTCCAGAGCAGCCAATGGATTACCAAAGATTGGCGGAGCCGAAAGAATTCGATCCACGTCTGCCACACAACAATATCAAAGGGGCTTGGGGCTCTAAGGAAGAATACCTCGGTTTTCATTACCAGATTTTACGAGAAGATTCGGTTGCCCCTCTTCGTCAGTCTGTTGCTGAATTCAAGAAAAACAGTGATATGAGTGATACACAAGACACTTCTATCTACACAGATGTATGTGGTTGTGCGAAATAGTAGTGAGCAAAGACGTTGTAATTAATCTTTCGATAGGTCCACCTCGTCGGTCTCCAATTGAGCCATCTCGGTCCAGCATTCAGGATCGAGTTCTCAAGTGACAAAGCTGGCAAAAGAATTCGGTGGGAGCAGTCAAGCCGACTTACACAAGGTAGTCTCCTGTGCTTAAGTCCAACTAGCGATAAGTTTCGTTCCATATGTAAGGTTGGTACTGTCGCAGCTAGGCCCATAGAAGGTGGCTTAGACTGTGACCCTCCACAAGTTGACATCTTCTTTGGAGATGACGAAGACATCATATTGAATCCAACAGAGTGTTAGTCGCACAATACCCTCAACATTCAGTAGAAGCTAATGAATTTTGTAGCATATATTATGATTCAGCCCCGAGTGGGATTTTTTGAGGCGTACCGTCATGTGCTTGTAGCACTTCAAAAATTGGCCACTGAACATTCGTACGTGAATGAAGATTGAGGAACTCAAAAGGAATAGGATGCTAATGAGAATAGACCCTATATCCAAAAGTATCTGATTGAAATGGATCGAGATATCTTGCCACCTGATCATATCAAGGAAAGACCTTGCCTCGACCTTCGTTCGATTGCTCTGTCGAGTGGTGATCATCTTTCGGACCTTACCGAAGAAGAAGACGAAAAGCTGTGTCATGTCGATGTTTTGGTAGAGTTTCCAATTCTTCCAAAATCAGGCATGGATGACTCGCAACTCGCGGCTTGTAAGCGTATGCTTACTCAAAGCTTAGCAATTGTTCAGGTGAGATATTCTTTTTCACCGTTTTCAAATTTGCAGGCGCATCGAGCTCTGGACTGATTCAACCCTCGTCGATAGGGTCCACCTGGTACTGGTAAGACGTTTACTTCCGTCCAAGCTCTCAAAGCCATGTTGTGCAACAGGGGCAATGGACCGATCATTGTCGCTGCTCAGACAAATCATGCTCTTGATCAATTACTCACCCACATTGCTGGTTTCGAGGAAAATTTTGTGCGTCTAGGGAGCAGATGTGACAAGAAGAATTCGACAATCCTAGCACGAACATTGTATGAGCTCCGCGAAGAACACAGAAAATCGAAAACTAAGCAGTTCAATGCCGGCGTCAGATCAGCTTCCAAAGCACACAATAACTTGGTTGAATCTATTGAATTAATGCTTTCTCCCATCACTGCTTTTGGGATTTTACCTGCTAGAGTTCTTTTGGAATCAGGCGTTATGAGTCAAGAACATTATGACTCTTTCTTCGAACCTGGATGGTGCGACTCGGCGGATACGCAAGATGAAAACGTCGACCCTCTTGAATCTTGTACGTATACAAGAGCTCATGCATGTTTACTTAACTCTGCTTACTAGTATATAGGGCTTGGAGCGCAGAAAGTCCGCATGCCGAGAACTCCAGTGATCAACAAGCATCTTGAGATAGAAGATCCTGACCAGGAATTTGATCAATTGCAAGAGAACGAAGTCGAAGTCCAAGCGAATGATGTCATGGATGCTCTGAACGGGACATGGGTTTCACTCAGTCGTTCATATACAGGTAAAAATCTTGGTGCCCGGGCCATTGGTAAGAATTCTCCTAAGAGCATACTCGCCAGAGTTGGAAGTCTTCTCGACATTTCAGACAAGCATCGCGGTCATGTTTATTGCTACTGGGAAAAGCTCTACTATGATCAACTGACCCAAAAACTCAAGGAGAAATTCAAAAGTTACAGAGTATCGATGAACGACTTGAAGATGGCAAAGGTATGTTCACTCTTTTATAACTGATAAAATTTACTGACAAAAATAGTGGAAACGTGATGCCGATTTTATCGATAACTTGGACACAAGAGTCATTGGTTGTACAACAACTGGTCTATCTAAATATAGAGGACTACTTTCTGCGTTAAATCCAAGTGTACTACTCATCGAAGAAGCGGCAGAAACTTTAGAAGCAAATGTCACGGCAGGTATCATTCCATCTCTTGAGCAAGTGATACTTGTGGGAGATCATCGACAATTGACGGCAAACACTACACTTGACCGCTTCATGTCATACCCATATTACATGTCAGTCTCCTTGTTTGAGAGACTTGTTAACAATGGTATGGCTTATACAATGTTGAACAAACACGTCGTATGATTCCAGAGATTCGAGAGCTTTTATGTATTGAACCAGATCCGTTCTATCTCGATCTTCATGATCACCAGAATGTACGAGACCGAGTCAATCATCGCCCTCCAGTTCCTGGCATGAATTTTGATTCATACTTCTTCTCACACAAATGGCAAGAACATAGAGACGTCAACATGAGTTGTTATAATGCTCCGGAAGCTGAAATGGTTGCTGGATTCTTCAACTACTTGGTTATCAATGGTGTTAAGCCAGAAAAAATTACCGTATTAACAGTAGGGACTGATCTTGGAATTCTCACACTTCGTGGCTAATAGATTCATAGTACTATAACGGCCAACGGAAATTACTTCTGAAAGAGCTTAGTCAACGTGTCACAAGCGTTGCGACACCATACTTCAAGGTCTATACCGTTGATGCGTATCAAGGCGAGGAAATGAAGTTATCTTGCTATCATTAGTGAGAGGCAATCCTCATAGTTCGGTAGGATTTTTGCGAAGTAAGAATCGTGTGGTTGTTGCTTTGTCTCGTGCACAGCGTGGTCTTTACATCTTTGGGAATGCAATTACTATTGCTGGGCAAGAGGCTGACAATGGTTCTCGAGATAAGCTTTGGATGCCGATTCTTTTGCATTTATTGGACGAGCAGAGATTTGGCTCTAAGCTGCAGCTTTTGTGCTCCAAGCATGAGAATTACTCTTATGTCTCAGAACCTGAACATTGGGAAGATCTAAGTGGTGGTTGTCACGAGTTTTGTGGTGGCATGTTGCCGTGTGGCCATTTATGTCCTTATAAGTGCCATCCAACTCCTCATGATCAAGTTCTCTGTAAAGAACCTTGTGAAAAGGTGCTTGACTGTGGTCATGGTTGCAGTAATAATTGTGGTCAACCTTGTCGATGCGAAGAATGTCGTACATTTGATCGCATGCAGGCTCTTAACTAGCATCTTCACCAAGAAAGTTACTGCCGAGAATGAGATTGGAACCAATGCAGTGAACACTACTCCTTCCAAGCAGAAAGAACGCTCTCCACAAAAGTCCTGGAAATTGGATCAGCAAATTGGGCAGAACAATTCATACACACAGCTCTCATCTGTTCAATCGGGTGGTCAAAATTCACTTTACACATTCGCATCCTCTCCCACCAAGAGAGATTTGTCACCAGAAAAGGGTCGTCAACTTTGGGATACTTGGGACCCAGTTCGTTCTGATGAATACATTGATCAAGAGCGTCCTTGAGCGAGAGAAGCTTGCAGATGAAAAGAAGCCAGATTCTGGGGATTTGGTCTTTGAAGAAACCCATAAACCAGTTCGATTTGAGAATGGAAAGAGAATCGTTGGTCCTAAAATCCAGAATGTTATTCCTCGAGTGGTAAGCAGCAATGAAATCACTCGTAGCGAAACCCAAAGTCCAAGAAGCAGTTATGAGGGGGTTCGAAACTTTGATGAGATTTTCTCCAGCAATCACGAGATCAATGGGGGTAGTAACTGCATTGCTTACAGCAATAATGGAATTCTTCGAAATGGCAACGATGGTTTAGCCTTTTCCATCAAGAATAGTATTCCTAACCGAACTAACGGGGTTCACACAAACGGAGTTACTCACGGTAGCAACGATCTTCTTCTTAATGCTGCTTTCAGCAACGAGGTCGATTTTAGCAACGGCGAAACCACTACCAACAGTGACGAGGCTGTTACTGCTCCAGGTTCCAAGGATGACATGCTCAAATTCAGTAACGATGATTTTGATTTTCTAGAAGGTCTTTAAATTTGCGAGGTGGTGGTATCGAAAGATGGATCATTGCATATTGTCGTTTTTGTTTCAGTTGGTCTGGGGAGTGCTCTTCACTTTTCTAGAATGTTCCTGCCTTGCGAAAGTCGGCATTCAAGTTTGAAGAATACTCATGATGACTCTGGGGTAAATCTGGAAATGACATGGAGTTGCTTGAGATTTGTTTTTATGGTTGTTTTTATGGTTGTTTATTCTGGCTTTTATGTGTACACTAGAATTAGAATACTAGGTCGCTAGAGAGCAAAATGGAATTTATTTTAAAGAATTATTGGGCTTGCCATCTTCTTATTGGGCGGAAAGTGATATGCTTTGTGAAGCCTACATGATATTGTGATGTTTGTGTCTAAGGGCATTATTGCGATACTTTCATCGCTGTCATAGCATGTCCTAATGCTTCTCATTTCATTTCATATAACGTCCATCACATCAAATCAATTTTCATACTGACAGACTCAAATTCATGAATTATCATCTCATTTCGTTTCATATAATCTCATAACGCATCTCATCATACATCATACATCATACAAAATCCATATTCCCCAAGAACAAGAAAAAAAAGAACAAGAAATAAACCTCCAAACTTCACCCTGATTCCGAATCCAAAAATAACATAAATGATATCATAACCCCTGTCACCCCTATCACACATCCATCCATCCATGCACAACCCTAATGCTTATGCAACTTCTCCTTAATCTTCTCCTTCAAATGCGTCAACTTTCCCTCTTTCTTTCCCTCACCATGTTCATTTTCATGGTCATGGTCCTCTTCACTACCCACCGCACTTGCACTCCCCTCCTTCCCCAACAATCGATTTGCCTCCCTCCCAGCCCCAGGCCTCGTCGCATCGAAGTTTCCCCCCTCGGCTACCAACCCCGAGCTCTTGACATGTTTTTCTCCGGCGCCTGTGTTTTCGAACGCAGGGGTTTCCTGTGCCTCAGATGATGGTTTTGATGGTTTTGATGATGATGATGATGGGTTTGCTCCGAGCGGTTGGAGATCGGTAGGGACGTCTTGGGCGTTGGCTGTGCTGCTTGGTTTGTCGGTTGCGGTTGAGGTTGAGGTTAAGGTTTCGATGGGTTTGCCGGTGGGGTTTGGAGGCTCGGTTGTGGTTGTGGTGGTTGAGGAGGGGAGATTGGGATTGATGTGTTCGGAGATTAAAGGTTTTTCAGAAGTGGGTTTGATGGAAGTGAAAGTGGAAGGGGTAGGATCAGATGGATCGGAGGAAAGTGGCGCAATGTGTGTTTCGGCGAGCGTGCGGGATACGGAGTCGGGGGTTGGAGAGATGGTGGAGGTAGAGGTAGAGGAGGAATCGAGAGGTTTGGCGGCGAGGCCCGGGGGTGAGAGAGTCGTGGTGTCGGTGGGTGTGAAAGTAGATGTGGTACCGTCGGTGGTGGAGGAAAGGGGTGTTTTGCGTGGTTTGGGAATCTGGTGGTGTGTTAGTTGGTGGATTGATTTATAGGTTTATTGCTATCGTTCACTCCATCTTCTCGCGTTTCCCCTCACAATACATCTTATCCTCATCGCACTCAACCCTCAAGAATCAAAACCAAACCGAAAACAAAGAAGCAATCAAAAAAAAAAAAACATACCCGCATTCCCCAAATCATACGGCTCCCCCTTCTTCGTATCGCCCAACTCCCCACTAATCGGTTCCGTTCCCTTCGTCTCTGGCACTACCGTTGCATTTGCCGCATCTGTCGTTTCTTGAGGCTCGCCCCAGATAACCTTCGATGCAGCAGCCGCGATATTATTGACTGTTTCCATGTTTGCGTTTGGGGTATGATTGTATGTAGAGTGTTATTTTAAGTATTGTATGTATGTACCTGTAGGTAGATAGATGTATTTGTATCCCGAGAAACAAACAAGCAAAGCGAAGAAGTAAAACTAATCTCTCCAATATCAAGATCGGTGGATATGCGTTGACTAATATAACCTTCCAAACGGAATATAATCAAGGAACAAGAAAAAAAGAGCCTTCCAACCCTTTATCCAAAATTCACCCCTCGCACCCCTCCAAGCCCATCCAATCCGCATCCCGCAAAATCACTCCTAAGAAAAAACCTGAACTCACCACCCCGATACTAAACCACATGTCCAATCCCATTCCATTGTACGACTACTTCTCACAGCGCAAAAACTGACGTAGTGTCCAGAAATCCAAGTCCTCTCAGCACGCCATTGGCCCAATCTATGCAAAACAAAGAAAAGCGCCTTGTTCTTCCTTTCTTACCACTAAGTTACTTACCTGCTTTCCAGGAAAAATCCCACTCTAATGACCAGCCACAAAATCCAAACAAATCAATTGTAAAACGCATCAACCACAGCAGATGGACCAATCAAATCAATATCAAAGAACACCTAGGTATAGATCCCAGATCTCACAAAATGCAAATCCTGTGGTTCCAGACCTTGATATCGGGAAAGTTGATGACGTTCATAAGTCCACTTATATGTACCCGGATTTTTATCGACGTCATATCACGTGCTGTGATGCAGGTTTAGGCCAGTGTGCCAGTTGGTTGAGTGTATCGTGGTTTACTGTCTGGGTAACCTCATTTCCAACAAATTGGGGATGGTGCGTTTAGTTCAGTTTAGATGGAGCATTAGAGTCTAGATGCTTGGAAATTCCCTAGGCAGTTTCGATCTAGATGTTCAGGATCTTTGGGTCTGACAGATTAGGAAAACTCTTGAGCTTGACATGTCACTGTCTATACCCCGAACTCTGGTTTTGGATTTTATTTGTATAATGAAAAAAGTATGCATTATCTCGTAAACTCATACCATAACCCCATAATAAACCATCAATGACTCTACCCATCTTCCATATACACCACCTTCTGCCTTTACCATGAATATGATCCTATCCCCATGATACAATGAAACATGAAACATTAATATGTGATTTCATAGCTCCCCGAATACATTAAGGAGCTTTTGAAGTCTCAGCAGGAGTGTCCGTCTCTGCAGCCTCTGTGCCATCGCCTTCAGGTTTAACACCTCCCAACGGTTTTGCAGGATCGTAGCCCACACTCTTCACAATCCCCAAGCCTTTCGTCCTCCCCTCCCTAAATAACAGCCTGTCGCCTGGAGCCAAGTATTCCGGTCTTTGTACAAATCGGAATGCGACTGTTGCTCTATCACCAGTTCGAATATAACTTCGATCAATGTCAATAATAGCGCACGTTTGACTGACAGGCCCAACATGTAACATTGCCTGATATTTCGTTTTGATAGTAGTAGCATGAGAAAGAATCAAAACTTCAGCAACAAATTCTCGGTAAACTTTAGGGGCATTTTGTTCGAGTTTTGGAAGTACCACCATTCCTTTTCTAACATCTTTTCTTCGAACACGTTTCAATGCGAACGAAGCTGATTGACCAGCAGATGTAGCCGGAACTGGTATTCTTTTACGTTCGATTGAACGAATGGTTGTAGTTGTGAATTGACCAAGAGAGTCAGGCCCAACGAGTACAGTGTCACCTGCGTGGACAACGCCAGACTTTACAATCCCTGATACTACAGTTCCTACGAATGGAACGGAGAAAGTATCATTGATATGGAATTCGAAAGGTGCCTCGGCATCATAATGGCCATGATGAGGTAGAATATTGAGGAAAGCTCGAACTAGATCTAAAGATTCTCCAGTAACATTGGATACTTGGAAAATTGGACAAATTCGTTTGCTGACAAATTGAGTGGCAGTATTGATACATTCTTCCCGATTTTTGATGAAGATTGGTATTTTCCTGGCCCCAGGACTTTTTAATATGCCGGTAATTTGCTTGATGGTTTGTTCCAAAATTTGAGGAGGACAAATATCGATTTTAGTAATGACAACCATAACTGGTACATTTAACGCGAGAGCGATACCAAGATGTTCTTTACTCATACCGATGAGTCCATTATTTGCAGCTACCATTAGTAAACAGTAATTTGGAGACGAAGATAACAGCCCAAACACGGTAGTTCGTAGATACCGTTCATGACCAGCCAGATCGGTAAAGGAGATAACTTTTGCGGATCGTTTTCCAATTTCTTCCCACGATAGTTTCCTACCTGGAACATCAGATGCGACAACTTTGCCCATAGTATCAAAACCCATGATTTCCATACCAACAGAACTAGTTCTTCCACTCTCTATTTCGTGCTTGTGGCGAAAGAGATTGACTCTTGCTTTTCCTCTTCCATCATCCAACCCACCTTTCACCAATACACCCAGCATGGTACTTTTCCCCGCGTCGACGTTCCCCACCACAGCAATTCTTGTCTCGATGACTTCCTCTACACTCGCAGGATGTTGTCGTACTAAAACTTTCCCTGTACAATCTTTCTCTTTTGACTCTCCAGTTTCACCCTCTACCTCGCCACCCACTCCATTCGTTAATAGTAATTGACAATCACTGTTCAATTTCCCAGCCGCTTCCTTTAATCTTTTCAAGGCAACATCCCATTCCTCTTTGTTGAATCCCATTGCATCACCATTGTTCTCGAATCCTATTTCAAAAATAGTCTCTCCATGTCCCTCTTCCAATCGCAACTCCAGAACATTCTTTAGGAGCGTTAATTGATCTTCGTCGGTCGACAGCAGTAATTCTTTTATTCGTACTTGGGGGCTTGTATCTGCTATATCGAGAGAGTTTAAGATATCTGTAAGTTCGGCATGATCTTCTACGGTAGTGACTGATGTTGCGGTGGTTGAGGGACCACCGGTTGTTGAACTGGAAGTGGAATACGAGGGATACCGAAGTGCTTGTTGCTTTTCAACGTATTCGGCGAACTCGCTCAGGGCCTATTGTCTGTTAGGAATATGAAATAAAGTCTGCCAAAGGCTATCAATACAGTTTCGCCTTTCCGCCGCTCATGTGGAAGCTGTTTGCCTTTTGAAGTCATGTTTCCGTTTGTCTACCTTCCAAGAAAGAGTTGTGGCAATAACTTAATTTATTTGCAGTATTTTCGTAGGATCATAAAAGACTGCTATGAAGTTTGTACCTAGGCAATATAAAATAATCTGAAATAATAGTGAATTGAATGCAAAAGAGTTATCAATGGAAACCAGTAGTTCTTTAGTGTACAGTGGAGGTGACTGTTCGGTGTGTAAAGTCTAAGTGAAGCTTTATCGATAAGGATCTTGTGATGAATGAATCATAGACCTTTGAGTCATTGCCTGGAGGCTGAGTTCCTACATCTTTTCTGACTGAAAGATACCTGAATGATCTTTTTATCTAACTTAACTTGTAAAACATAAATACATCTGCAAACTAACATCTACAATTGTTGCGGAATACCGTCAATTTTATCTGTACATATACACGCTGAACATAGTACAAGCGACGCATGAGGCTCAAGAACCGAACCCCACAACAGCTCCTCCTGTCCATGTCAACCAGAAGTATACTCTAAGTATGATAGATTGGAAAAGGTAACATGTTGATATTTTAGCAAGGACGTGACAACATCTAGATCTAGATGTCCATCCCAAGCTTCCTCTTTTCAAAGTGAGCGTACGTGTTTGATTTGGTGGGATTAAATGAAGTAGTCACTGGTATGCGTTAACTTGAGCTCAAGGTTGTGATGAGAATGTCGATGGACATAATATAGAATCTGTTCTCATAATGGCTGACACAGGAAACTTCATCATTGAAGAAGCATTCTCACAAAAAGCTCATGGTAATTACACTTTGGGGTAGTATGTAGTAGAATCAACCACGAGCTATAATTTCAGCTCTGGCTCCTCCTTCGAAATTGTTTAGAAATTTATCTACGCCCAGTCGCTTATGGCTTTCTCCTTGACGAACCTGCTTGCAATGAACATCTGCAAATGAATGACAAGGAAACAAAGAGTCGGAGCAATCCTGCTGCGCAACTGAATTTGATCAGGACCAAGCGCGTCAAGGTATATCTCATTCGTACATTCTTGAATAGAAACATTTGGTGAGAATTGATGCAACTATGCATTGACAGAATGGACCCAGGCGTAACAATTCACAGCATCCCATACCTTCCAAAACATTCAACCCAGGAGCTCTGTAAAAGTCAGAGCAGCCAAACAATCGCGGACATGCTAGTATACACCAGATTTCAATCGTGTACCCACGGCACTACACAACCTCACGTATGTCTGAACCCGGGTATTTTGGCTGGAATTGTTACATATATTATTTGTTCTTCCGTCTCGCGCCTATCTATCCTTCCCGGCCTTTGTGGTCCTCGGATTTTGGTATTTGCGGCCAGATCGTGGTGGAATTTACCCCTTTTTGTATGCAGGATCGCTCTCTCATCCTCCAACCTTCGTGGTCTCCCTTTCCTAGAAAGATTTCTCGTTTTCGTCGTGTAATGGCATGTCGGTATTTAATTTTACGAGGATCTGGGCGAGATAAGTATAACACTATCGCCTATTGAAAGAATGTCAGATACAGCGAAGACCAAATGAGAGTCCAAGAACACTTGCCTCTAACAAATAACATCTCGGATTTCTTGACAACCGTCTGCGAAAACATGTTAGTCGAAAGCATATGCCAAGTAGGATACGGACCAACCTTTACGATCTCCTCTCCATCATCTTCTTCGCTCTCTTCCACAACATAAATTGTCTCTACCACATCCCCTAATACTAAATTGCAATGACTATCATAAGCCTACCCATTATCAGTACAAGCACCGCAAAGTCTCGCAGGGGTATATCCACATGTAGCCTTCCTTTCAATTCTCTGTCTCCCCTCAATTTCACATAAACAACCTCGTCGAGACAAAGTCGCACCAAATCAAGAGGTTCCGCTGGTGCAGATGTACCATCATCAATATCTGCCATATTTATTTCGTTTTATGCCGACGAACTTTTGTTGTTGTGAATGATCACCAGGATTGACGGACTGGATTTACCTATGAATCGCATAGAGGTTGTTGCTTTAGACGGCGGGATTTGCCGCGCTCACTAAAAATTTCAAATAATCAAGCGAAATATACCAAACCCACCATTTCAAACCACCACTTTTAACTTCCCGCCATTAACAAAACCAAGTGGACCCTTTCAACTTTCCCCAGGTTTCCCCAGATTACAATTCAATTGATCTCATCAATTACATGGTCAATGCGAGAAGAGAATAGAAAGGGTGGGAGAATAATGATTTTCAAAATCACATCCAATGGGGCCTTTCTTGCGCGGTTTTGTGACGCGCAAGTCCACAATTGCTACATCTCTTCATATGCCACCCTCTACGAAATCCGATAGAAAATATAATGGGAGAAGATGGTTATACGATTCGACAGGACCAAGAAATAGTCCCAGTACTTTTGTGCGAAAAGAAAGTGGAAATGAAGAGGCAACGAACATCGAGCAATTCGAGGAAGGAGATGAGATCATCAACGATGGATCGCAGGCAGTAAAACAAGCATATTGGAGACGATACGAGATAAGGAATAAATTTCGAAATGTGAAGACATTCTTCAAAACACCGGAATGGATGAAGCCACCTTGGAGTAAAGAGGAAAATTTAAAGGAGTGGTGGGTTGGAAAGCATGCAACCGAAAAATCTCAAAGTCAAGAAGCATATGGAGATATTTACCCACTTGAAATTCCGACTCCCGGAGAACAAAATGAAGCATCTGATGGGTCTGATCTGGTTTCTGTCATTCGAAAAGTTGGTGTGGGATTGCCCGTTAATCAGGCTCAACGAAGAATGCTCCTCAAAGAAGCTAAAATGGTTTCTGAATACAAGAATGTGCTCAGAGCACTTCAGTTGCGAGATCCTCATGAACTTCTCAAAGTACTAGTAAAACTTTCCAAAGTGGATAATTTTGGTGTGAATTATTCGCCTTTATTGGATATTCCTCCGAATACATTTTCCGAAATTCTTAGATTACTAGATCCCAAACATTTTTTCGGAAGATACAAGGCATTGTTACAAGACTTCAAGCATAAAGATTTACTGGAAATGAGAACGGATACTCTCGATTATGACGGAACTCATCGTGCCTACACTGTCTATCTTTGGCATTTGCGTCGAATCATTATGAAACGACAAATAAAGCATCCAATCCAGCTATCTGAATACAAAATGCTCCTCAAAGCTGCAAAGTTCACGGGACATCAGGAAGTAGCGGAATTGACATGGAAGTCTCTGATTTCCAACCAATTTCAAGTGATGGAAAATAGAAAGATTTTACCAGATGTGGAATGTTTCAATTATTACATGGCTACCATGTGTTGGTCCGATGTTCTTAGCCCTTACCATTCTGAAAGACTAAGAGTCGTGTCTCACCATAAGGATCTCCGTCAATGGGACAGCAGACCTTATCAACTCAATAGACACCGAATCGGATCTAACAATGGAATTAGACTTTCGGTCAATAAATTATTTAAAGAAATGGGGAAAGCGGGTCTGATGGGAAATGAGGAGACATTTTGCTTGTTGATGATATCGGCAAGTAGAGAGGGAGACCTTGAGACTGCTAAAACAATTCTCAAGCGAGTTTGGAACATTGATATCGAATTGAAGAACGGTGAGAATTCGAAGCTCAATACTCGTCTTCCAGACTCTCCATTGTATCCATCACGAAGATTACTTCGTACGATCATTCATATGTTTTGTATCAATAACGATTTACCAATGGCTATACATGTAATGGATCAAGTATCACGAAAGTACTCCATTGATATTCCGAAGCGGGCTTGGCAAGACTTATTGGAATGGACTGCAGTTTTTGCTAGAAGACGGGGAAGTGCCGCTCAACGCGAGTTAGGATTTGACGAAGGGCTATTGCCCTCGTCTAGCATGAACGAAGTTTGGAACAATATGATTCTGCATTATAACGTCGAACCCAATCTTTCAATGTACAACATCTACATTCGCCACCTTCTCTATAATCGACAAATCGGAGCTGCTCAAATTCAAATCGCAACGGCTCGTCAACTACACAATAGTTTGGCCAAAAGAGTAGATCGGTACAGGATCCTATACGAAAGTAGTTTAAAACGAAGAAAGTCCGACTCGGTAATCACACAAATTCGTCAAAGGGACTTCATATTTTACCGTTTCAAATTGAGGGTAAGCAGGATGTATATGCGACAATGGGTCAATTATCTCATCTATCGGCCATCTGAATTCTTGTCTAAAGACCACGCAAACTGGGCATTTCAGAAGGTTCCAGACATAGTCAATAACTATAGAACATTCTTGCGAGGAGAGTTGACTTATCAAACATATACAGGTCATGTACGTTTAGATACTGGGAAATCTGAAGATACAAAACTGAGGATATGGAGAAGAGTTTATGGAGATACTAGGTCAAAGAGGAGACGACAAAGAAATTCTTTGGCGAGACTTCTCAATAGAAAAAATGAATACCGATATAATCGGGACATAAAGGCCGCTGGTGGGCCAGTTCAATTAGCAGCCAAAGTCGTGCAGGACTATAGATTTGAAAATTAAATAGGTTACCACGATACTCTATAAATCTATAAATTCATCTCGTTTCATCTAGTTCCATCACTTTGGACACACTCGCGGCTAGATCTATCTTCGAATTCACTCTCAACACGAAAAACAGAGTTACAAGATGAGAGAATTTTGAAACTTTGTGCCACAATAAGCAGCCCTATATCCCTGTATGCAGGTGATGTGATTAGAATTCACGATGCATGAATGGGGGTCATAGTCACACTAGTGTATGACTCAAACTTTCAAGATTCCTCAGAAAAGTATTTCTATCTTCTCTCAATCATCTTCTTGGTCATTTATCACAATCAACATACTTGACATTCTCACAAATCTCCCTTGAATCTTCCATAACGATTCTTTTCTTCGTCTCAACATATTACTCCAATTCTTCAAACATCATACACAATGTCGGAAACCATCATTCCTCAAGAAATACTCTACACCTATTTTCCTAAGACAAGTAAAATACCTACCGAACGTGATGATAAAAGAAATGAAACGCTGCTTGCACAAATCAGGCATCGTGTTGAACTTGTTTGTCTTTTCACTTCTTTTACCTATCACTTCTCTTTCTCCTCAGTTCACCGATCTCCTAGCTCACCTAGCCTTTCCTCTCCTCTCCCTCAAATATCTACATCATGAAAATTACAAGGCAGCAAAATCTTATGAAAAGAAAACTAGGTAAAGTTCTGGTCTATTCCACCGGGATCAAAAGTCCTCGAAATAGGCTGTGGTCAGGGCGATACAACATTGGTACTTGCTGCACAAGTTGGGGAGAATGGACATGTTGATGCTGTTGACCCTGGGGATCCTGACTATGGTATTGATATGTTATTTCTTTGCTACTCATTATTGTCCTTCTTCTTCTCCCCGTCCCCGCTCTAATATTGTCTCTCTAACCCAGGCGTTGAATGTTGAGAGAAAATGGAATTATATTCTCACCAATCGAAAAACTAACAAACAATAGGCTCACCATGGACTCTCTCCCAAGCCCAATCTCAACTAAAATCCGGCCCACTAGGCCACCGCATCACGTTTCACAACGTATTTCCAATTCCCTTTCTCGAATCACTTCTCTCTTCTCAATCTTCCTCCTCGCCCACAATCCAAGACTCAAAACCATACACTCACATCATTCTCTCCCATAGCACCTTTTACTTTTCATCTCCCTCTCTCTTCCCCCAACTAATCTCCTACATTTCCTCCCTATCATTATCACCCCCCCAAACCTCAACCTCCACCCGCACTATCCTTACAAAACAAACCCAAATCTGCATTGCAGAATGGGATCTCAGCGCCCCTTCCCCCACTCAATTTCCCCACCTCCTCGCAATCATGCTGCAAGCCGTCTCAGAAGGCTTCAAAAAAGAAGGAGAAGAAGGAGGTGGAAATGTAAGATGTGTGCGCAGCGCAGCGCAGATGCGGAAAGTTATGGGCGAGGAAGGGTGGAGGGGTTGAGAGGGAGATGGTGAAGGAGGGACGGGGATTGGAAGATGGGGTTTGGGAGGTGGGGAGTGTGAGGAGGTGGAAGGAGGGGGAGTTGAAGAGGGTGGAGGAGCTTAAGGGGAAGGAGGATAGGGAAGGGAAGAAGGATACTGTGCTGCAGATGATGTATGATGTTTTGGATGCGAGCTTGGGGAATGTAGAGGGGGGTGTGAAGGGGGTGGAAGCAATGGGGGTTTGGGTTGCGAGTTTTGTGAGGGAGGATTTGGAAAGTAAGGGGAGAGAAATTTGAGGGGAATTTTAGAGGTGGACAGTTTGTGTGAGGTCATTAATGCATACGAGTAGAACAGTAAATGAGAAGTTGAAGCTAGATGAATACAAGTTCACAAAGGTAGATCTCAGAACCTCCTTTGTATGTCATCTACTATCATCAGTGATATCGTGAAACCCTTGCCATCCCCAAAATTACCAGGCTTCCATTCCCTATTCACGCTCTCTAACATCCTTCATTTTCCTGTAATTCCTCTCCCCCCACTCTCAACCCATCTCCACCACTCCCCAAACCTCGACATCTTCACCCTCATCCACAAAAGCATCTTCACATCCCTTTCCCTCTGCATCTCCAACTCCCGCACCCTCTCTTCCAACCCCATAATCTTCTCCTCCAACTGTGCCTTTTCGAGCGTAAGGGTGCCAATGATATCCAATTCCCGTTCTTCTTCTTCTTTTTGCTCACTCACAAATTGATGTTGGTGTAGGGGTTGATCTTGTGTCTGCTTCAGATTTTCTGTTTTCCGCTTGGAAGATTGAGATAGCGAGGCGGATAATACTATATCTGATTTCGATTTTGATTCCGGCTTTGATTTCGTCATCAGTCGATTTGTCGACTGCAGCGTTAACGGAAGTTTGCGAGACTAGATCGTGAAAATAAGTAATCAGAAAAATTCCATACCAATATGAATAAGAATGAAACTTCGGGCCATTAATATCCCCGGTACAGAGGACTTTTGAGGCACAATTCCCATTCACATCTAGATTGATGTAACAAGACAAATCTCATGTGGTGAAAATCTACTTTCATATCAAAGCATGATTTGAAACTTGTAAATGTGGCGGGAAAAGAAGTAAATTCTTACCATCTTTCCACTTTGTTCTGGAACCTTACTGCGTTAATATGATGCGAGGATCACTTCTTTGCCTCTCTTTTGCATTGTCCCTATTTGGCGTTGACTTTACAACCAGATTGATGATACTAGTGATGATAGTTAAGATATGTAAGACTAGAGACAATAGAACGCGTGGTACCAGAAATTAACCCGGGCCCTGAATGGTGATGGACGCCAGATATTGAAAGATTCTGATTTTGTCAGAAATAACGAAGACAGGATCAAATTTAGATATTTGGGTGTCAGCTCTATGACTAGATTCAACGAACAACGAATTTTAAAATAAAATGAATCATAGCTCATAATATTGAAGTATCATGAAGTAGAGAAATATCTGTCTAAATACAACAAGCAAGTTTGATGAAAGGCTGATGGCTTTCCAGCCCGGTCTGTAGGCATCTTGCGGAAGAGAACAAAAAAACAACAAACAATACAAAATGAGATCAAAAGAAGTATGCTGACTTCGTATACGCATTACTCATCTCTCATCCATCTCATCCATTCATACTCTCTTATGCGCAAGAGATATTTTTATCCAAGGTCATTCGTACTGTGCACTGCACAATAGAGTCTTCTTCTCTTTCTCATAACCCTAACCTGTACCTTTCAAACGCGCATCTACACAACGACCTTTTCCAGTTTTAAATCATTAATGACCATATATCTTGACATTCCAATCCAGCCCCATCTGAACCACCTCATCTGACTCTTGTGCGCTGTTGTCATGGCCTTTTGTGCAGTTCTGAGTTGTCCCACCCCGCTCATCATTAATAAAGGACTTGGATGATCGCCTTTCTCTCGCTTCGAAAATGCCGCAACTGCCATAGTATTCAAGGTATCGAAAATAGACGTGTACTTTCGGAAAATTGAGACACTGGTAAGTGTATAAAGATCAATAGGACATTGCCATCCTGGACGATCCCGCATCATGGATGCGATCAAGGCTCGAGAGCCGTGGTACAAGGAAATATGATTTGGGTGCGAAGAAATTCCCTGCGCATCAAAAGTTACAATAACATCGATAGATGCAGTTGGTGCAGTTGTAAGGTCTGTTTTTCTTGTGTGAGGAGGGCAAAAGGCAGATGCCAAAAGGTTGGCGATCTTTTCTTTATCCCAAATCTTCGTCATACTATCCGGGAAATCTCTGTTTAAGAAACGCGATCAGTATAAATAGTACTAATGCGACAAGATTCGAGGAAGACATACGGACTCGTGAAGACGAAAACATCATTTTCTTGTCGCAAACCCAACTGCATCCCACTCTTAACAAGTTCCTTCTTCCTAGTTTCTCCTAATCCATCTGCATCACCTACTGCACATCAATATATGCTTAACTCGATATCATGCAACTTACGTACCACTACTCAAACAGAGAATTTTAACATGGTTTCCAAGTTCCGGATCCGTAAGAGCCTGCATTGCTGGCGCAAAAAACATAGCTTCATCATCAGGATGCGCGATCAATAGACATATCTTCTTGTTACGAAGTTTTGGAAATTTCGAGTTAACAACTGTGACACTATATTGCCATGCAGCGAAAGTGATGATGGGGATGGTAAGGAAATAGGTCCATTGCATTTTGGGCATTTCAAAGGTATTTATGGGGAACCTTTGTTAGAGATTCGGAGTGTACGTTGAAATGATGCGACGACAAGTATAAAATGGTGTGGATATGAGAGAATAGTTGCAGATCGAGTATGTTTAAGATTTGGGAGGGGTTCGTGAATAGAAACGAGTGGAAATGACCGGTTTGTCGGTCAAGAAATATATGGGTCCTTGAGCCTTGCGCTAAGTGATAAATCGAGGTTCACTGCAAGGGATCGGATCAAATATTGACCAATGTCATCCAAAACTACATGGTTTAGATATGCACGAGATGGAATTCATCGCTCTTGCATGAACACGACCTAATCAAGTATTCGACAGCCTTTCGTCTCATGTCTTGAAAATCGTCAGCCTTGGTTACTCGGTATACGTGTTTAGGTACTCGCATCTATTTCCCACTACCTCCGAACAACAAGGCTCGCAGGGAGTCAACAAGTATTTATACTCTTTTTGAAAGCCGCGAGACATTCCTCCCTATACAATCACTCATTCCGAGACAGCAGACATCATGCCAGGCAAAGAACGGAAATTGAAGCTCAAAAGGCCAGATAGATCTGGCCCTGATCCTTCCATCGAAACTCTTCTCGATATCGCAGAAAAACGAAATTTAAGTGAAGTTCAACGACAGCGTCAAGCAGAATTAGATGGGGAAAATGATGAGATCTTAATCGGAAGACTCGGAGATTCCATTCTATGGACAATCAGTCTTACAATGTTACATTTCACTCTGGATGTATTGGTTACACATCAATATGCCGAAGAAATCGTCTGGAAGGATATCGTTTCTAGGACCCTCCAAGCATGTCCTGGTAAGTCTTACATTATATTTAGAAGTAACAGAATATTTGCTGATTTCAACAGTCATCTGGCTTCTCTTTTACGCCTTCCATCCACATCCCGAACCGTCGAATTTATTACCTCAAATACCTGCCAAGGCGCATCCTTATGTACACGAAATCTTTTTCTCCGCTGCTAGTATAACAGCTGGATGTTATCTAATACACCTTACAAATGAATATGGTCATTTTGCCACAATGAAGCAGGCTCCACCAGTTGGGACTATCTGGATTTGGGCGGTGATCGAGTTGAACATCTTATGGGCAGTACCCAGTGTTGCATTTTGTGCTATATATCTGAAGGTCAAGGGGTACGCATTCCTTTAATCGACAAGGAATGAGATTTTGGGCAGTGTTTAGGAGAGGGCCTGTGCTGGAACTGGGAGGTTCCATCTGATGCGGGTGCCCATCGACCCCTCGCCAGCGCCAACTACGGATTGTGTTCTGGCAGGGGCTCTTCATTCAACGCCAATTACAAAGTGTCCAAATTCACTGGATAAAGTCGTGCACCGTTCGCTGGTGCAGGTGCTTAGGTGGGCCAAACGGAGAGAGCAGTCGAGGGAGCAGCTAGTGGTCCAAATTCATGAAGCAGGAGCCAGAAAAGAGTAGTCATGTTTCCTCGACTGAATTTACTGGTATGACTGAACTCTCCGCTAGACAGCCGTCAACTCTGGGGTTCGAAAATGTTCAAGGTCGTAGGTCTCTGGTTTCGGTAACGGGGTAGTCGTTCCAGTCGCAACTGGAGTTTCGGACTGAGAATCGTCGGTTCCAAAAGTATCATTTCTTTGAGCTTCCCAAGGTCGAACGCCCTCAGACTCAATTCGATCACGATGCATCAATCGATATACTAAAGACTCTAGTCGATCTAGCTTCTCATGTTGAGAATGAACTGTACTTTCCAGTCGGTCAAGTCTTTCGTGGTCTAATTCCTTTTGCTTCTTTGCTTGTGATTCTTGGTCTCGAACTCGTCTAATTTAGTCAGTTTCGAGCCCCTAAACCATGGGGTACCATACTTACGATGACATCATACTCATCTGTGCAAATAAAACTCTAGCTCCTAATGCGTCTCTTTGCCTAACTAATTCCAAAGCTTTTCTCCTCACAGGTAGCCACGACATGGCTACACTCGTTCTAAATGCCATGCTTCTCGGTACCAAGGCCCATTTCTTTCCTTGATCGTCCTCGGGACTAGCCTTCAATTCGGCTTCTGTTACCAATTCTAGTAATCTCTCCTCAAGCTTTCCAAGTTCCTCCATCACAGAGACATACATCTGATATTCCTTTTCATGTCCGAAACGATCTTTTGGGCCATCAGATGCATAAACCAAATCATGAAGCCACTGTGATTCAGTTTTATGCCACGAAAGAGATGCTTTGACTTGGAAGTATTCGTTATCAGCATTGCGTAAGTAGGTGAATCGAACGTATACTGCTGCTGCAATAGCGGCTACAAAGGTTAATATTCCTGCGACGCTTGATGTTATAGAGAGAGGACTGTCTTGACTAGCCATTTCGCTTGGAACTAGAATTCTTCTCCAAAATCTCGAGTAGTCAAGGCAAATAAAATGAAGTCAAGAATCGATCATCCATCTTTTCATGACATACAATAACCCAAACAAGTGTCTCCATATCAATATTGGCTGCGGTTTGTTCACACGCTTATGTCAAATATTTGATTGTTTTCTCTGCTCAGCCACAGTTCATGCAAGGCTAAGAGATATCATACCTGATTTCTACGCTAGTCCTCCTTTGGTTTTACCCCAGACCTGATCAGCGCTTGTGCCAATAATCGTAGGCCGCGCGATCCCCGCTCCATTCACTCCACTCTTGTTATGTCGCGTGGAGATTCACAGGGCATGATTGATTTCATTGAATGCCAAATTATTTTTGAGCGGTGTACTCGGTAGTGTTCATCATCTCTCTTTCTGATTCTTCTTGCCATGTATATATTGCCCTACTGTGTTCTTCCACGTACATAATTTGTTGCGTTGTTTGATTTACCTTGGCGCTCTTCTATCATGGTCGTCGTATCCGATTTCGAAGGAGGAAAGGAGGTGAGTTGAAAATATACCCGCGTTCCGGTCCGTCAACGATCTAACAATGTGTCGCAGAGAGTTGAAGAAGTAGACTATATTACAGTGGAAGAAAATGTCGCAGATACCAAAGCATTGGTTTGGAAGCAAGATCTAAGGATTGTACCTTTATGTGCTGGTATTTACTTGTTGTGTTACCTTGATCGTTCCAACATTGGTCAGTCCCACTTCTTGTCGGCCTCACGTCGTGTGTTTGGAGCTGATAAAAAATAGGCAATGCCAAAACGCTCAATTCTTCTACTCATGATGATCTTCTTTCCGATACACACATGACCAATTTTCAATATATGTATGTGTGGACCTTGTTCCTGGATTTGGTGATTCCTAACGCATTACAGCATTGCATTAATGGTCTTTTTGATCGCCTATGCGATTTTCGAAGTACCATCGAATTACTTCCTCAAGAAACTCAGTCCAAGCAAATGGATTTCTTTCTTAATGTTCTCGTGGGGCATCATGACAATTGGACTTGGATTTACTCATAACTTCGCTGGTGTTACAGCTGTGAGATTCCTTCTCGGAATGTTCGAAGCTGGTACATACTTTCTAACCTTTCTTCTCCGGCAGTAATTAACATCGCAATAGGACTATTCCCAGGTCTAGTCTACTATCTGACTTTCTGGTACCGTATATCTGAACGCTCAATTCGTGTCGCATTCATTCTAGCCTCCGCGACTCTTGCAGGAGCATTTGGTGGCGCTATCGCTTTTGGAGTCGGTCACATGAATGGCACCCGCGGAATGTCAGCTTGGAGATGGCTATTCGTTATTGAAGGGATTCCTTCTTGCCTATCATCCATTCTTGTGTTTTTCTATCTGCCAGATTATCCAGAAACGGTAAAATGGCTATCAAAGGATGAGAAAGATTTAGCCACAAGTAGACTTGCGACAGAGGGAGCTAAAGGAGGCGATAAAGGATTGACGTGGCAAGAAGCCAAGGAAACTCTTTGTACCTGGAGATTATATGCTCATTATGCAGTGAGCATTAAACATCATCATAATGCTCTATGACACGCTGACCCAAAGTTTAAGATCTATTTCGGTATTTCAACGCCTTTTTCGAGTTTATCCTTATTTACACCAAGTATTACCGCTGGACTTGGGTACAAGAACCTCGAAGCTCAACTCATGACAGTCCCACCATATGCTGTCGCTTGTACGTTTACTTCCTCTCCCCTAATTAATCAGTCTTAACCCTTTAAAGATGTTGTAACAATCCTGGTATCCTGGTCTGCCGATCACTTCAACGCGTAAGCTGAATCCCTTCTTCTCTCCTCCCAATTATCTAATCTCCCTCAGTCGGGCCCTACATTCCTCGATAATGGCCCTCGTTGGCGCCATCGGTTTCACCGCCTCCGCTCTCCTGCCCCCTACTTCCTATAACTCCCGTTATGGTTGTCTCATAATCGCCGCCTCAGGAGCCTTCTCCTGTATCCCTCCTCTTCTCGGTTTCCTCTCTTCAAATATCTTCTCAACAGCCGGTATTGGACTTGCTATTGCGTTAAATATATCAGTAGGAGCGCCGGGACAAATAGCAGGTGTCTGGATATACAAGTCGAATCAAGCGAAAGACGGTTTTCCGTTGGGTCATTGGGTGAATGCTGGTTTGTTGTATTTTGTGTGTGTAGGATGTGTTGGATTGAGGTTTTATTATGGTTGGAGGAACAAGAAAGTTGGGGAGGGAATGAGGAGGTTTGCTTATTGAGAAGCGAGTTCAATCTTGTTGAATCCTTGAGCGTTATGAATTTTGGTCAGAATTTGATGAGGGATGAGTATGGACTGCAGGATCCAGCAGCCTAGGCTCACCAATACTTCTCAACTTTCGAAATTTTTAACAAGTCCATTCTTTAATTGTTTGATATTAAAATGCACGTATTGATTGTTCCATCTCTCATAAATAATTATAATAATCCCTAAGATACATAAATTCATATATCAAGAGATATTCACAAGACAATTTTTTGTAGTGTCCCATTAGTCCATGCACTCACTGTTGGCTCCCTCTACAAGGTTAAATATTGCCTGGGATCTCTAGACGAATAGACACATTTATTAAGATTTAATTTTTCACCACTTGTAATCTTGTTTCATTCAAACGAAATCTAGAGTATCTGCAAACTTCCAAGTTCCTTAAATCTCAAGCATTTTTTCTTAATATCACATGATTGTGACTCACGTGTTTGTCTAGTCACGACTTCATAATTTCCATCTCAAAGCCTCGACCCCCCATTTCCATCGAGCAACCATAAAAGGCTAAAGAATTCCAATACAATCATATCGAGAATCTCACAATATAATAGATTGTATCTCAATCGCCACTCGTCGCAAAATATAAACGGACATAAGAACATCCACTTAAAATAATTTCTTGCCCCAAGATTTACAAATCCAGTTGAGGGAAGAAGACGAAGCGAATAAATAAAACAGGATAGGAGATCGCAATTCTATTAGAGACTGTCTGCCTTCAATCCGTCTATTTATCTTTCCAGACGATAAGGCTACACCAAGTTTCGGAACATAGCCCCAAAACATCTTTACTGTCAATATTTTTCCCCCGAAATGGACCCACCAAATGCTACCCGCGGACGCGGAAGAGGAAGAGGCTATGGGAGAGGCCGTGGCAACAACGATAGAGCACCACACTCCCATACCAACTATTCTCCAGTCCCACGCATAGCGCTCCTGCATCCCGGAACACCGGTATCGATTGTTTTGAAAATGGATCAGGGGAGTGGGAGGGAAGTGAAGGGGTTTGTGGGAGAGCTTTTGACGAGGGGGGATCATCCGAGGGGGGTGAAGGTTAGGTTGAGGGATGGACGGGTGGGGAGGGTGCAGAGATTGTGTACGGAGGCGGAGGCGGAGGAGGGGGATGGGGGAATGAGGGGATTGGGGAGGAATGGGGAAGTGGGTGGGGGTGGGGGTGAGGGTGAGGGGAGTGGTGATATGAATGAGAGGACAGGAGGCATGAGGAGAGGAGGAGGTAGAGGTGTCAAAACGTACTCGGATTTTAGGACAGATGGGTATGATGAATCTTCCGCGGCGAGCACCGGTGCGGGGGCTAGTTTGGAAGATTATATTGTTGTGAAAGGGAATCGTAAGGGAAAGAAAAGTGCAGCTGAAGAAAACAAAATTAGTGAGGGAGGCACCATGGAGCCAGAGGAAAACTGTAAAAATGACGAGGAAGTGTTAGAGGGAAGATCAACAGGGGATGTGTTCAAAACCGCAATGAGTACATGTCCGGTTTGTGGAGAGTTTGAGGGCGATGAAATGGCGGTCGCGCATCATGTTAATGGTCATTTTGAATAATTGATGGGGGTGTTTGGATATTTGGAAGGTGATTAGGGATTCTATGTAAGATGCTTTGCATATTTTGATCTTGGATCATGTAAATATCAAAATGATTGAATAGTAACAAAGGTGTGGAAAGGATTCAAATTCTAGCTCTCACAATGAAGGGTTAATTGGGTAGCTACTTCTCCTAATTCAATTCAGAAGATTGGTGTAGCAAAGGGAATGATGAACCCTTTTGTAGTTATAGTAGAGAAAGAAAATCGATAGAAGTGTTTCTTTCTCAATTATACCTCTTTCTATACCTACTTCATTACACTGTCCTTACCGTCATTTCTGGCTTTGATCGACCTTAAATTCTTAAATCCTTTGGATGATTCAATACAACAAGAAACCAGGTTGAGGTCTTCATCAGACATCTCATCTAAGATTGCAATGTGGTACTCTCAGTCACTCCCTTGAAAGAGAGACCGTTTGATATACAAACCTACTGTCAATCACATTTCATTATGCATGGAAATCCAAGAAAAATCTTCAAGAAAATATCCTTCATCTCAGAATTTTACTCATCTTTGTCTTCAGTTCTCTCATGCAATCTCAGCCTTTGATCGCTATCTTTGTATTTCCAACAAATAACAATCAACTCATCAATCTATTAAACCATTCCCTTTCCTTCCCCTCCAAATTCTACATCAGGAATTTCGAAACAATTTCCTAAACACATCCATTTCAACCCATTTTCTCTCAGTTCCTCTCATTCATCCGTCCCCAAGCGGAGAATTGCCACCACAATGCCACGCAAAAACCGAGCCGTTAAACCCAAGTCTGAACACCAATCGAATTCGCCAGCTGAGCCAGAACCCGAAGCGCAACTCCGCGAAAGTCAAATAAGCACACAATCACAATCTGATTCCTACGAAGAAGATTTGGGACCCGAATCCCAGCTCCGAGAAAGCCAAATAAGCACTCAGTCGTATTCTGACTCCGATGCAGTGGGACCAGAACCTAGAGTGAAGTCTCCAGTTGCCTTAATCGAAGAGTCCCATGATTTGCTAGAGAACCAAGAACCAACTTTGTCTACTTATGTTTCACCCCAGGAGTTAGCACATCAGACCAAAATCGATGAGATAGAAGCTGAATGGGAACGCGCGCCGGCCTCAAGTGATCAAGCTGCCCAGAATTATAGGCCGAGACAAGAGCGATCGCTTGCTACTGAGATCCAAACATCGAGATCAGGCGCCCAAATGGAATTGGACGTCGAAGACGATCCTCTAAATGTGTCAAGTAATGAGGTGTCTCAAAACCTCTTTCAGTATCCCCCTATGCATCTATCCCAGAACCAAGCTGTTCGAAGTGAGGGGTCAGATTCCGATGCTCTCGACAAAGGGGGAGAGCTTCAAGAACTCTTCAGGAAAGGGTTATTGCGAGATATAAGTCAGGGGTCTTGTTATCGCATCGTTAATCCAAGCATGAAGCCCCCTGGTCAATTCGACCGCGAACCTGCGTCGCAAAATCTCCACTCCAACACAGAGAGCCGACCCAAAAGCGCTGCACCCCCGTCTCCAGCGCCAAAATACCACAAGGTGGAAACTACCGAGATGGTTCGTTCAGAAACTACGAGAATAACACGAGGCTTCCAGCAAGAAAAGACACGCATCGAGACGGTATTGAAGAGGGATCCTGACATACACACTTTGCGCGAAAAGGAAGAAAAGTTAGAGGATCATGAGACGATGCTGAGTAATCTCATTGATGAATTAATGATAGAGTTGAAGAAGACAAGAGGTGAGTTAAGGAAGATTAGTAGAAGGTACAGAAAAGCCTTGGTAGATTCTGAAAAGTCGTCGGACTGATGGGCTGAGAAGGGTGGGTTGATGGAGGAAAAGAAATCGATGAGGAATTTCGAGCTGGTGCGCTGGCACAGTGCATTTTCATGTCTCATAGAGGGAACACTTTCACCTCAAATTGCAAGTAGGTAGTTGAATGAATAGCTAAATCAAAGGCAGTCATTTGTAGTCCTATATTTTGTGAGTCCCATTTACATGATTCATCCTCCATTTGAAAAGCCCAAAATTGAGACGAGCCAAGAGTCCTAGTTTCCGGAATCCATGCCCCCCTCTCCCTCAACACCATTCGCGCCCTATGCCAAATTGACAACTCCAGTCCCTTCCCAAGTACTAACCCATCCAGCAAGTGGACATAACATATCAGCCATTCCGCAAAGAGGCGACCACCAATAATTGAAGAAATCAACCGTCCCATTTGAATTCACTCCCGTGATTGTCGTTAGAATGAATGAGAAAGTGTATACGACGAGGAGAAACGCTATGATCATATCAAAATGTTGTCTTGTCGCTCTGTTTGCCGATTCATTAATTTAGGCACAGCGAAATGGAATGTACAGAGTCCAGACTCAAATTGGATATATAAATACATACCTCCTCCCATAAACCCACCTCTCTCCTCTCATGATATCCAACCACCAAAATCCAATACACACAAACCAAAAATTAAACAAGGCACTCAAAATTCCCCAGAGAATCCACAAGCTTCCCCATCCTCTAATATAAAATAGATTCAACGGGATATGGAGTAATATTCCGGTCACGCAAACGATTTTTCGAATGGTATTTTCACGATCATTGTACCTCCATTGAGTAAGCCATTGAGTGAAGGTCGATCCATCGGGAGAATAGGTAGAAATGCTAGGTAGACCGATTCCTGCGCCGAAGGAAATACGATCGTGGTTGGTACCCGATTGACTGAACGTGAGGAGAAAAGGAAAAGGCATTTCGAGATGAGAGATCTCGATTGAGAATTTGAGAGTGCAGAGGAAGCAGAAGGAAAAGGAAAACGCAGAAGGATGAAATGGGATGATATATTTGACCTCAATGTCGTAGGATGGATGCAGGGGTCAAACTGTACAGCCTCATTGCCTACACTGTGGTCATCTCAACCCATGCTTCTCAACGGCGCAGCCTATTGTTCCTATTCAATTGCCAGTGAGTGAAACGCTGTTGTCTGTAGTCTTTGATGGATCGAATTAAATGTGAGGTTTGTTCATATTTCATATGTATGTACTATAAGTTTAAGTGATAGTAGTGTTATATGGATATATATATAGTAGTAAGCTATCAGGAAACAATCCCTGATACTGTGCCTTTTGGACAGATTGCGTGTGTGGCGTAGTGGTAAAGCTTACAACTCCTATTGTGTCCGCTTACGTAACAAGTAGCGTGTCCTTGACGTTATAAAAACTAATAGATATTATTCTGAAGAGTGTTCGGTTTTCATTCAATAGAGTGAAATATAAAAAGTTTCAAGAATTATAAGTATAGTTCTTCATATAGATTTTTCAATTTAATATGTTTCTTAAATCTGAAATTCATTAATTAATATTCTATAAAGAAAATAAAACTAAAAAAAATAAATATTGATAATTATTAATAAAATCCATAAGAAAAAGTTAAGAAAAAGCTTTTGATTCATATACAAAAAACAAAAAGATTCAAAAGATTCAAAAGATTCAAAAGATTCAAAAGATTTAAAAGATTAAATTGTAAATATAAAATCAGAAATACTATATATAAATTATCAATCAATTCGAAATGTTAATATTTATCACGGAGGTAATAGCTATTTCAAATGGTCACTTTGATTAGGAGATAGGTATATAGAGTAATAATAAACTAAATTGACTTGAGATATAATCATAAGGATTATATCTAGTTTATATACCCTGATTAGGCAATGGAGTCGCTTAATTAGGTATATAGAGTATACAAATGAATTGAATAAAATAGTTTTAGTAATTATAGAAATGAGTACTCCTGAGGAGTACTAGAATTAATACCGTAGGGTTACACCATACAGTGAATTCCGTGAAAATATTGTAATAGTATTATACCAAGATTTAACTCAATTGAAAAATGAAGGGGAAATAGGACCAGCCCTAGCGCCTTCGGGAAAAAATGCTGACACATCCACACCACAACCATGGACAACAACAAATAAGAAATATGACAACCATCACGGTATTATTATCCCCCTGAAATGGCAGAAAAAATCCACGATGCAACCTTGCCAGCAGCTCTAACAATTCCATTTGAAGATCTGCGCTCCTCCGAATAATTCTGATCTGGGAGATCCCCTAAAGAATAAGAAGACGAATTCCGCCTATATCTACGCCCTTCCCGTTATCTTTCAGGGTGATATCCTTCAGTTGCTTCTCTTTCTCTGTCCCATGGTCTCTCATGACGATATCTCTGTTGTAGTCCTCTGTCCATATGGTATGATCTATCCAGATCCTGAGGGATTCGATTCGGCCCTCTGTACTCTCCCATGGTTGGTCTCCTCATTCTCCAGGCCTCCCCTCCGCTTCCATCACCCAATCTCGATCGATGTGCTCTTTTCATGATGTTATAGTGGTTAAAACCATCACCGCCTTCGGGATTTCCAGAATAGTAAGCTGTATCCGAGTGATGGGAAGGAGATAATCCCGTGGGGACTGGTATGGAGTTTCGTACAGAAGAGCCATATTGGGCAGAATTCGATGGGATATACCTGGACTCACAACATGAACAGGAAGACCCTGATAAATGTCGTATAGCCTGATCTGGTGCCTCCTCCTCATCTAAGTCGTCTGAGTAGTCACCAGAAAGGTAGCTGGGTTGAGGAGACAGTGATCTTCCTCTGGGAAGAGTCCTTGAAATTTGACATTCTCGCTCGGAACCTAAATGGCTTTCGACTTCTGATTCTGAATCAGAATCAGTGTAAGAAATGACTGATGATCTTTCGTCATCTGAAAAGTCATCTTCGGATCTGTATCGCCTGTAGCTTCTCATTGCGCGCCGGAGTGTATGAATAAGAAATTGTGACTGGAGATATTCAAGAGGTATTGGGAATGCTTGATTCTGAAGACTGATTCTTTTAGAAGGATTCTCGGGGTATTTATGAAAAAATCATTCTGATATCGACGAGAGAGATATACCTAGGTAGTCGCACCGCAAATCTAGATGCTCACATCGGAGCCTCGTCGATGTTTCGATTTCATCAGCAATAAATTCAACCTTTTTTGTCTGGACCGGCATACGTAGGCTTGAAACCACACACATTAAAATACAACTAATTTCTTACTGTGGTAGATCTACATTTTATTGTTCCTTCTATTGGTTGTCGATTCTTGCTGAGGTCGACTGAAGCGCCGCGCATGGGGGCCGCATCGGTGAATCTTACCCCCTCACCACGCGTAATATCAAAACTGGCAATTCAATCGGCTTTATGAGGCTCAAACTCAAATTCGCGGTTATTCTTGTGCTTTGTTGCGCTCCCCCTCTACCATTTCTCCCAAGTCCGTGTTTTGGGTATTTTTGCGCGCTGACTGCATTTTGGTCGGCATTTTGGTCTTAACTTTGTTTTGAAAGCTTGTTTGCCTATCAGAAACGGATCAGATGCCAAAAGCCAATTGCGAATTTGAACTGAGTTTTCGAATAGCGCGAAGTCCGCCAAAATGTTACAATTTATATATATATCTAGAACGGACAATCAACATGTGAGCATTTCGCTAATCGCCATGATTCGGCCAAGCACGCAACATCAAGTCGTTCACTTCTGCAGAAGTGCTCGCTCTTGAGATTGAAACTGAGTGTATCAGGATTGAGCTCATAGCCTGTCACCCAATACCTTCGTCGTAGCTGGTATGTGATCTTGCAATAGATCACTTCCACCATCGGGGTGTGTGAGAAAAATCATTTACGATCCCGAATTCTTACAGAGCCTCCTCTTACTAGGGCTTTTCCTTTACAAATATCGTCATCTTCTCTTCTAGCTTCTCTATATCATTTTTGAAACTTTTATTCAGTGTTGAATGAGCAGGACTCGTTTTCAATTCCCATACATACTCTTTTCTTATGAATCATATCAAACCAAACTTCCTTCTCGAATAATACTTTCAATTCCAACAGTACCTTGTCGGTGCCTCAAATTTGTATCATAGATGGTAACTCCGATATTTATGGTCTCGGTATTCGAATCGGTTTCTACCTCCAATGGTATGCCTCAATTCTTGCATCTGCTCCCAGAGGTTATTCAGCAAAAGTTGCTTCGGACGAAGTTCAAGGCCTCATATTTTCGATTGTTCTCTTCACCGTTGCGACTTTCCTGGCTCTGATCATTCAAACCTCGAAGCTACAACTGGCTGAAGTTTATATTATTCTACTCTTAGTAGTAGGCTATCATTATTACTTCATACCTAAGATGTTTATGGCACTCCTCAGCTTTATCAAACAGCTTCTCAGCAAAGGGGAAAAAGATGAGACAGGGCAAAAGAAGCACCGTGGATGGGAATTTATTCTTCTAGCTGGTTTATTCTTCTGTGCCATTTCTTGTTTCCAACTATGGTTCTGGGGTGGACACTTTCAGGATCGCAACGGAAAGTCTAACACTTGTCCCAGTTTTGGATTTGGGTTCATAAAGATTGATCTTGAGAATACTGCATTTCGTGCTTTCAACGTTACATATTGGGTTTTGTTGTTGATATTGTCTTTTGGGTTTATAATGCATGCTTGTGATTTGTACATCCAAAAGAGAAAAGCGCCAAAGAGTAATTACAGCCCGTCATCTTCAAGGTATGTCTTATCCCTTGTTTTGTTTCAATTTGAATGAACACAATTTCCTAACAATGCAGTAGCTTGAAATCCGGTGCTGGCAGCACGAGATCATCGAAAGAGCCAAACTCGAAATTTGATTCCATACGGTTTGGAATTCTTTTCATTTTTATGACGGTTATGGTTATTGCTATTGAAAAAAGCATAATATGGAATCAAATTACTGGAGTAACGACATTAGATGGAGCCGGGCAGTTGATACCTTTTCTTATCGGACTGGGATCGTTGTTTAGGGTTTGTTATGTTGGAGTGAAAGGTGATGACCGTCGAGAGGAGTTATGATTATCCGGAAAATGATGATGCATATCGGTGTTGATGAATGTTTGGTCGGATATTCTTAAGTGTAGCTACAGCATGCCCCGGGTGGGAAACTGGAAATAGTATTGTCTTTATAACTTACAAGATTCATAAGAAAATAGTCGTTTTTCAAACTGCTAAGTATATAATTGTCTACTGTACATAACGACTGACTTACGGCTGAAACTCTCTATTTCATTCTTGATAGGATTCATCCCTCTTCTTATTTACTCTAGTATATAGTTCCCTGTCCTCTTATGGTGGAGCGACACAGCAATTCAATGAATAGATATCATCTCCTTTATCTACGAACGCAACGTCTTGCGCTCTAGTAGAATCTATATACGCAACATCTAGGATTCACTCTACAATCTATTCAAGTTGATCGCCACAGATGATGCTCATGCCATGTTTACCCCAAAAAGTTCGAGTACTTAGCCTTAGACTTTCAACTATGTGTTTGCTTTCAGGTCTCAAGCTAATTTGATATAATCTTACGCATCTTCCTGTAAATTGTACCAACTATCGATATTGCCAACTTATTCAACTTGATGACTTTCCTATCATTCTCTTGGCAAGCATATTTGGGTAGTGCTTTGGACTTCATCATATGTATCTGATTGAAAATAAGCAAAATACCTGTCATTGTAGACTTCACACTGAAGATTTCTACCTTCCTACAGAAATGGAAGGATAGGCTGGAATGTAACGTGACGTCTGCCTACTCAGTAATCATATCGCTTACATAATCCACACGAAATTAAAAAGTCCAAGCTCAAGGTCAAATCAATCTTGGAAACTTCAAGCTTCTTCAGTGGAAATTTCCTTCATTAATAAATTCTCCATACAATCAGTATTTGCATCAAGACGCTTTCAAAGCGTTTTTTTGTAATTTCATGAACATCTGATCGTTTTCTTGAAACTTCAACGAAAGTTCTTCATATCGAACGCCACAAAGGAGATACAGAAATAGAAATAAATTGTTTCGACGCCTTGTTTGAAAAGAGGTTCAATACCCGCGTTTGGTGAGCTGCAGAAGCTCAAGGAAAGAGATAGGCCACCGATATCCGGACACTTCTTGATATAAATCCCTACCTATCTACACTTGGTTTCCTCCTATTCTTCGCTCATTGTATCAACAAACACTACACCTCAAATATGTCTTATCGCGTTGGTATGTAATTTCTCTTTCGTTTGCGTCCCAATTTCCAACTTCTTGTCTTCACGTGACAACGCGTTTTATGCTCCACGGCGAGAGAGGATCATCTTTCTTAATGGACGGATTTGAATATTGATGACTGACTTTTACAGAACTCGCAACTACTGCGCGGGCCGGATGTCAAAATAAGGAATGTAAAGATAATGGTATCAAGATTCAGAAAAATGAATTGAGACTTGGTACTTGGGTTGAGATTCAAGAACATGGAGGTTGGCAATGGAAACATTGGTATGCTTTTCTTTTTTTATCGTATTGGATGAAGTGAAGTTTATTGAGATGTTGTTTTTTACACCTATGATCTACAACTCTAACCTGCTCGTACAATCTGTTTCTAATGCAAAATTAGGGGATGTGTCACTGGAAAGCAACTTGAGAATATGAGAAATTATCTTGAAGATGGTAAGGGTGGCTATATGTTTGACAAGATGGATGGCTACAATGATGGTGGGAAGGGTAGTTTAGATGATCATCCTGAAATGCAGGAGAAGGTCAGACGAGTTGTTGTTCAAGGATTCATTGATCCTGAAGATTGGAAAGGTGTAAGTATTTTGGATCATTTTCACTTGAATTCCTTTCCTTTTCTCCCGTAACACTCACACTAGGAATAACTAACCAAAAGTAGGACCCTGAAATGAATATCCTTGGTCAAACAGGAACTCGTACCTCCGAATCAAAGAAAAAGATCAAGGAGCAAAAGTCGGCTGAAATGGGTGATCTCACGGAACTCCAAGCCAAGTGGGATGAAGCCGAACAGGAAAAGCAGCAACTCATTGATGATGGAAAGGCGAATGGTATGAAAGTTAAGGCTCTCAATAAGAAGATTGCAGAATATGCAAAGGAAATGACAGCTCGTCGAAAGGAAGAGGAGAAAGAAAAGGCAGAAAGAGAAAGAAATGCTGTTAAATCGGAGAAAGCTAATACACCAAAGAAGAGAAGTAGAGTGAAGAAAGAACTTGAAGAAGAGGGAGAAGAGGATGAAAAGCCAGCAAAGAAGATGAGAGGTGGAAAGGTCAAGAAAGAAGAGGAATCTGAGGAAGAAGTCATGCCCGTTAAAAAAGCTCGTGGAAGAAAGGCTGCAGTTAAGAAGGAAGAAGACATTGAAGAAGATAAAGAGGATGTCAAGCCAGCTCCTGTCAAAAAGTCCAGAGGAAAGGCATCCGCTGTCAAAAAGGAAGAGATTTCCGAAGACGAGGAGGACACGAAACCAGTCCTTGCCAAGACTTCCAAGGGAAAAGCTCCTGCTGTCAAGAAGGAGGAAGATATCGAAGATGAGGAAGATACAAAACCCGCCCCGTCTAGGAATTCTCGCGCCAAGAAACCAGTCGTTAAAAAAGAGGTCAAGGAAGAGAATTCTGAAGAAGAAGAAGATACCAAACCAGTCCCTGTCAAAAATTCTCGAGCCAAAAAGCCAGTCGTCAAAAAGGAAGTCAAGGCAGAAGATGATGACGAGAATGAGATCTTGACCAAGACCAAACCAGCTCCAGTCGCGAAGAAAGGTGGCAGACAGTCAAAGAAAGTTAAGGAGGAAGCCGCATCGGTAACCCCAGAATTGGCATCTGATAATGAGACTTCGAAGGATCCGAAGTTTGAAGCTGAAGATGAAGACATGAAGGATGAGGAAGAGGAAGAAGAGGAAGTTAAGCCTGTTGTCAAGAAGAGCAGAGGGTAAGTTTCCTAATCTTTTTTCTTTTCTTTCATTTATTTTTTATTTTTTTGGATCATGTCGGAAATTGACGAATGTATGTATGTGATATTAAGACATAAAGTAGACGGCCCACCAGGAAGACAAGAGCTTGATCCACGCACCGTGGATTTACTAGCTACCATCCAACAATACCCAAACGGCATATATACGAGTAGCGGTCGTGGTCTCACTGGTAGACAGTTGCGTCTTATGGCTGCGATTCTCAGGGGCGGGACTTATCGGCCGGGAAAATATAGTATGTAGACTGGTGGGTGAGAGAATGAAATGGAGTGGATGGCATATAGTATTATGATTGATTTTGGGGAATTTTGAGGGATTGGAGGGTTGACAGATGGAGGTTCGAGTCATTGACTTACTTACTTGTGCTTTGCTTGCTTGCTTACGAAAGAGAGGTTTCTTGCTACAATTATAGATGGATGGGTTGATATCAAGGTGTTTTTGTTATTTTATGTATATGTCTATGTGTTTATGTAGCTACGTATCTATGTATTTCAAGGGAATGAAATGAAATAATGTGATGAATGAAGACATGATTGAAAAACATGAATGGTGTGATTGCGATGAGATGAGAGATGTGAGATATGAATGAGAGATGCGAAATACGAGATGTGGGATGTGAGTAGGCATATAGGAGTTAGTAAATGGTAAATGGTAATTAATATATTGAGACGGATATTCATAAATCCGGTGAGATTTTCTATTTTAGTTTGATGGAGAGAGAGAAAAAGAATGGGAGAGAGAATGAGAGAATGAGAGAATGAGAGAATGAGAGAATGAGAGAATGAGAGAATGAGAGAATGAGAGAGAGAGGATGGAGGATATATATTTATATTTAGGAGAATATTTAGGAGAATATTTAGGAGAGAAGGAAGTAGATGTGTAGTATGTGAGGTGGATGATGTATGAGAGTGTTAGTGTATAGTATGTGAGGTGGATGATGTATGATAGTGTATAGTGTTAGTAATGTGAGGTGGATGATGTATATGAAATGGATAGTATATAGGAGTTGATGATGTATGAGGTATGTGAGGGTGAGGGTGAAGTGTATAGTGTATAGTGTATAGTGTATAGTGTATAGTGTATAGTGTATAGTGTATAGTGTATAGTGTATAGTGTATAGTGTATAGTGTATAGTGTATAGTGTATAGTGTATAGTGTATAGTGTATAGTGTATAGTGTATAGTGTTAGTGTATAGTGTATAGTGTATAGTGTATAGTGTATAGTGTATAGTGTATAGTGTATAGTGTATAGTGTATAGTGTATAGTGTATAGTGTATAGTGTATAGTGTATGTGTATAGTATAGTGTATAATTTTATAAATTGAAATAAAATGAAGTTTTGTAAATTTGGAAGGTTGGAAGGTTGGAAGGTTTGGAAGGTTTGGAAGGTTTGGAAGGTTTGGAAGGTTTGGAAGGTTTGGAAGGTTTGGAAGGTTTGGAAGGTTTGGAAGGTTTGGAAGGTTTGGAAGTTGAAGTGAGGCGAGGTGAGCGATTATCTAGTTATTAGGTAGGTAGGTAGGTAGGTAGGTGGTAGATAGATAATAAAGTAGTATGTAAAGAGATAATAAGGAATGATGGAGAATGATGGTATGTGATTGGATATAATTGGATAGGATATGATAGGGTAATTAGATGTAATATGGAGGATAAAAGAAAAAGAAGTAAAAGACGAAGAGAAGAAGAAGAAGAAGAGAAAAGAAGAAGAAGAAGAAAAAAAAGAGAAGAAGAAGAAGAAGAAGAAGAAGAAGAAGAAGAAGAAGAAGAAGAAGAGAAGAAGAAGAAGAAGAAGAAGAGAAGAGAAGAGAAGAGAAGAAGAAGAAGAGAAGAAGAAGAAGAAGAAGAAGACGAAGAAGAAGAAGAAGAAGAAGAAGAAGAAGAAGAAGAGATGATGATGACAAGAAGATATGTAATATTCGTATGATTTGTTATGATATGCTATGCTATACTATGCTGTGATAGAGATAAATAAATGTATATATACCATGAAAATCACGCAGCAAGAAGACAAGCAACACAGCTACTATTCTATCCGATGAGATGATTCATCACTGAGCTAGCTACTTCGTACCCCCAATCTCCAATCCAGATTGCCCACCCTAATTTTTCTCCACCCCCTTCCAGCCTCCTCAACCACCTCCCCCATTTTCCTAAACACCTCCTCCAACTCTCCCTGCACTCCCCCAATCACACGTCCATCCCCACCATAATACCAATCATACACCCCCTCTCCCCCCTTCAAATCCCTCTTCTCTTTCCACTCCTGTTCTATACCCGTCGTCCACTCCCACCTAACCGAAATTTTAATCTTCTCCTTCACCATCTCACCAATTTTATTCGGAGCTTCTGATCCCAGGATCGGAATCGACGAGACGACGAAACAGATTTGTTTGACGCCTCCTTCATATGGTGATCCTCCTGAGAAGATTTTGCGGAGGATATTGGGTTGGGTTGTTGGTTTCCAGGATTCTTCTCCTCCTTCGCTTGGTTTGGATGAAGAGGAGAAAATATGCGCGAGCCAACAGCTGACGGCCCAGAGAATGTAATTTTTGACATAATCCCACTCTGGTACTGTGTTGGGTGGTGGACAGATTTGGAGGAGAGGAGAAGTTTCTGGTGTTATGCGTAGATAGTAGATTGGTCGAGAGTAGTTGAGGGTAGTGGTTACAGTGCGGATTTGAAGGGACGAAGGCAATGGAGTGAGTGGAGTTGTGTGTGAAAATGATGATGGGATTGAGGAATGAGGTGGTGATGAAAGGGGAAAGGGGAAATTAATTGTGGTTAGTGATTCGAGTTGATTCGTTAAAGCTGTGAGTATTCGTTCGGGAGTTGAAAGATGTGGTAAAGGTGAAGAAGTACCCGGGATGATGGTATAGGTTGGTGGAGTTGGGAGGGAGGCGGAAGTAAGTGTCTTACAAAGCGGGGTGAGAAGTGAGTTAAGAGATGAAACGACCGTTTCGTGAGCGAGGCGAGTCACTAAAGAACGTAGAATAGGAAATGGGTTGTTTGGACGTGGTTGGCTAGAGATTGGTGGTGGTGGACGAGTCCGAATACGATATTGTTGGCGATGCGAGAGAGATAGAAGAAGGTGAAGGGTTAGATAGATGCCATTGGCAAGGTATGAATCTGGTCTTGGACCAAGTACTGGTCGGAAAGGATCAGTAGGTACTGTCTGAAGCTCGATTAAGATTCTTTTAGTCGGAGAAATTGGAAATCTGATTGTGTTCGTTTTGGAATCTGATTGGAGGCCATGAGATGCGAGAGTTCTAACTTCCCGAGTCATTTCTTGCCAAAGTTCAGAGGCAAAAATCGTGTTTCGTGCTTGAAGAATTAAATCTTGAATAGGGGCATCATGTGGTACTGCTTTAGGAAGTATGGTTTCTCCGGTTGTAACTCCATTGGTTTCGATCAAAACTCGTATACTTTGAGGCTCTGGACTTGCAATCCCTTGGTCCAAATATATTGACCCATCAGGATTCCGTCTAAGTGCACCGAGACTACGATTTCGAAATGTTGGAGAGGCTATAGTATGTTAGCATAGGTTAAGGTGGGAAAAGTTGAGTATACTGACCCTCTGAAAATCCAAATCTAACACCCAATGTGTGTTTTTCTTGAGGCAATCGACATACTGCCCATCCACTTTCACTCACAGCAAGGACTTGTTCCCAATACTTGGTTTCTGCATCAATTTCTTTTTCTAATCGAGTGGCAGACGCCAAAATCGAATCTACTGTCTTGCTGAGATTTGATGCTTTCCAACCTTTGGCTATCTTTTTATTCTCTTGATTTTGTTCTTTGGTAAATCGTGGGGCTACGGTTTTATCCGCACCCAAGGTACCCATTCCAGCCAATTCACGAAGTGATGGTGATATTGATGTGCTAGCTTGTACGGGAGTATCTTTCGAAAGAAGGAGGGAAATGAAATCAAGAGATATCATAGCCGCATTGTGGGCATGTCTATTGACAAGTCAGTATTTGCGCATTGCTCTTGACAAAAGAGAACATACTCAATTTGACCAAGAATTTCATCTCTTGCTGTGAGAAGTTCTTTCATTCGATCGGGTTCCTCCTCTGCTTCTCCATCCTCACTGGAACTCTCATTCTCCTCTTCATCTCCTCCAGCTTCGGCTTCCGCAATTTCTTGTCGCAGACTGTCTTCTGAAATATTGCGAAAACCACCTCGTTCGGCATTGATTCTTGCGATCAATTGAGGTAATGGAATGGAGGTATTGGATGTATTTGGCGCTGGGCGCAATGAAAGTGGATGGTTACTTGGGAGAGTTGACATTGTGAGGGGCCGGATAGGATTCGAGAGATTGATTGATTTGTGACAATGAGAATGAGATTACTATTAGTGATTCCGCGACGCCTTCCGTGGATTTGAAAGCTTCTAATAAGGCTTTGAAGGTCTCCTGAAATGTTCTACGGTTATTGATTTGGGGATTGAGTATCAACAACAATCAAAATACTGCCCCGCTTAAAGAAAAGAAGGTTCACCGCTTTATTATTGCTACCAGGTCGCTCTGGAAGCTGTACGAGTACTTGAGTACTTGAGCACAAATATCCATCACGTGCCATTCATCCATCTATCGTGTATCTCTTTTGTATCTACCAATATTCAATAGATCTCATCAGATGCATATATTTCAATGTCAAATTGATATTCCATGATACTACTGTACTCTGAAGTGAGCATCCTTAGCATCTTCATCATGTCGATAGCATACTCGAGTAGCATCGAGTAGCATCAGCCTTCCACTTCAGATCTCTCCAATCAACTACTCGAATTATACATCCCGGCCGTCTTTCAAACCTCCCTCCCATTGTCGTTGTTGGAAAGTTTTATGTAGGAGCTTGTTTCTTCTCCTTGTGATGTCAGAAGTATAGGATATAGTATAGCGCGCCCGAATTGAGTCCGACACTACGATGTACATATGGCTCAGGTACCAGAGATTCACCAATCACGATTGTTGATGCAGTATCCGCCTTGTAGAGTTTCCGCAAAAACATGACACAATCGGTATGAAAATGGACATGGAAACTTGAACTCAGGGTAGATGAAGGTAATGAATGGAATGAAAGGTATGAAGTGGGAGTGGCAGTCTGAGGAGCAGTCACCGACGACTGAGAGAAATGTTGACTGTTTGGTTGAGGTGTATATTGTAAGAGAATGAATGATAATTGCATAGGTACATATATGCATATATATCCTAGGTACAGACATACATGTATATCCATGGATATATACATATCGTGATACACATATAAGTAATACATACATACCTAGGTACTATCATGATACATGGAAAGATTTATGGAAAGATTTATGGCCTTACCTACACATCAAGAATCATTCTGTCCGCTCACATGACTTTTGAATTAATGTATATCTTCATCATGATTGGAATTTATACCTTTTACCAAGACTATTGTCCATACCATACGGATTTCTCCAATTTGATACCGATGCCGATGATACCAGTCAGTGCCAGTACCAATGCCAATACCAAACCGATAAGCAGAGCAGCCCACGGCCATCCATCCATCCATATCCATGTCCCCGCCCATGCGTCCCATCATCAACAAAGCCGATAAAGCTCCTCGTAAAAAATATTGACAAGGTCTCAGCCCACCAAAATACATGAAGGACCCATCTTATTTCAAACTGCTCTCTCAACTTTTCGTCATTCTTTAAAAGTAAGAGAATCTACTAGTCGATACATTCTTCATACCTATCTCAAAACTTCATTCTTCTCTCTTCCCTCTTCGCTTTTTTCTCTCTTCTCTCATACTACTTTTTACCTAACTTGTTCATTATACCCAAGATTTCCTTTCTTACCTCAACCTTACCTCAACCTTATACCCCTCCAACCTATTTACTTTCACGAAACAACGACTCAAAATCCATCATGGCTCCTCAACCCCCACCACCCCTCGAGGGGAAGAAAAGACGTATCGCTATCATGACCAGTGGAGGTGATTCTCCCGGTATGAATGGTGTTGTGCGAGCTTGCGTTCGAATGGCAATTTATAAAGGATGTGAACCATATTGTATCTATGAAGGATACGAAGGGTTAGTTCAAGGAGGAAAATTGATCAAAAAGATGGGCTGGGAAGATGTTCGTGGATGGCAATCAGAAGGAGGTACTCTTATTGGTACTGCCAGATGTATGGCTTTCTACGAACGACCCGGCAGATTACAAGCAGCAAAGAATATGGTGTTGAATGGAATTGATGCTCTCATCATTTGTGGTGGTGACGGCTCCTTGACTGGAGCTGATAAATTCAGAGCGGAATGGCCTGGGTTGATCAAGGAATTGATTGAAAAGAAAGAATTATCGGAACAACAAGTTGCACCATTCAAACATCTCAACATCGTTGGATTGGTTGGTTCAATTGATAATGATATGTCTGGTACCGATGCTACAATTGGTTGCTTTTCAGCTCTTGGCAAGATTTGCGAGATGGTGGATTATATCGAACAAACTGCTTCATCACATTCGAGAGCTTTCGTTATTGAAGTTATGGGTAGACATTGTGGTTGGTTAGCTTTGATGGCTGGTGTTGCTACTGGTGCAGATTTTGTTTTCATTCCAGAAAAACCAAGAGCAGACAATTGGAAAGAAGAGATGCACATGGTCATTCAGAAGGTATGATTATTATATTTTTTTTCACAAGTTTTGATCGTACTAACAATTACACAGCATAGACAATTGGGAAAGAGAAAGACAATTGTTATTGTTGCTGAAGGTGCTCATGATCAAGGAGGAAATAAGATTTCTCCAGAAATGATCAAGGATCTTCTTGCAGACAAGAATGGACTCGCTCTTGATACACGTATTTCAACATTGGGTCATGTTCAACGTGGTGGTTCTGCATGTGCTTATGATCGATACCTTTCCACTTTACAAGGTATCGAAGCAGTTAATGCTGTTCTTGATGCTACGCCAGAAACGGTTACCCCTTTTATCGCCATTAACGAGAACAAAATTACAAGAAAACCGCTTGTTCAATCAGTTATTGATACTCAAGAAGTCGCAAAGGCTATTGAAGCAAAAGATTTCGAAAGAGCTATGGCACTCAGAGATACAGAATTTTCTGACTTTTACGATTCCTACATGACTACAACAGCCACTGATCTTAACAATGAAATGCGTCTTCCTGATAAGAAGGTATGTGATGATAAAAATTATGTTTCTTCCAATACTAACATCATCTAGCACATGAGAATTGCTATCGTACATGTTGGAGCCCCAGCTGGTGGTGTTAACGCTGCTACACGTGCAGCTGTTGCTTATTGCTTAACTCGTGGACATACACCAATTGCGATTCATAATGGCTTCGCTGGATTTGCCCGTCATCACCAAGATAACCCAGGATCAGTTCGAGAATTTGATTGGTTAGAAGTTGATGGATGGGCTAGTAAGGGTGGTTCAGAAATTGGTATGAACCGTGAACTTCCATCGGAATCTGGAATGCCATTGGTCGCATCACTTTTTGAGAAGTTCAAGATTGATGGTCTTCTCATCATTGGAGGTTTCGAAGGTTTCCATGCCTTATCCGAACTTCGTCAAGCAAGAGAAACTTATTCTTCTCTTTGCATTCCTATGACTTTACTTCCAGCCACTATTTCCAACAACGTTCCAGGAACAGAATATTCGATTGGTTCGGATACCTGTTTGAACGAACTTGTTCGTTATTGCGATACCATTAAACAATCCGCTTCAGCTTCCCGTCGTCGTGTTTTCGTTATTGAAACTCAAGGTGGTCGATCTGGTTATGTTGCTACCATGGCTGGTCTCGCTGTTGGTGCATCAGCTGTCTATACTCCTGAAGAAGGTGTCAGTATTGGTATGCTCGCAGCAGATATCGCACATCTCAAGGAAGTTTTCGAGAAAGACAGTGGCCAATCAAGAGCTGGACGTCTTATCCTTATCAACGAAAAGGCATCAAAGGTTTACCACGCCAAACTTATCGCTGATATGATTCGTGAAGAAGCTGCCGATCGTTTCGAATCCAGAGATAGTATTCCAGGTCACGTTCAACAAGGTGGTACTCCATCTCCTATGGATCGTACCCGAGCCGTTCGCTTAGCTATCAAATGTATTGAACATCTCGAAAAATATGAAGATAGAACCGATAAAAAGATTATCGAGGATAAACAAAGTTCAACGGTTATTGGTATCAAGGGTGCACAAGTTGTATTCTCTAGTATGGTTGATGTCGAAGAGAATGAAACAGATTGGGCAAATAGAAGACCAAAGGCCGAATTTTGGTTGGATTTGAAGGGATTTGTGGATATTCTTGCCGGTAGACCAGATGTTCCTAGACCGGAACGTAAATTAAAGGGATGGAAGGCGAAGGATAGTAAGAGGGGTTTGATTTGAGAGGGTGGAGATTGAACGAGAAGGGGAGATATTTTTATGGGGGATGCATTGACTTGTATGACGGAAGTGGAGAGGATAGAACCAAAAAAAATGAGATATGAGAGATGGGGAATGGATGAACTGGAAATGAAACCAAAGAATGGATTGACGGAATTGATGGGATGGGATATAAACGTTTTGACGGGGATAAATGAATGATTGAACGAATGAATTGAGATGAGATGAAATGAAATAAGATGAGGTGATGCATGGAAAGGGGGAAGAAACGAAGAACGAAACATAAATAGCTTGGAGTAGTTGGTTTTCAATATTGATATCAATGAGATGGATGATCACTTTATGACTTGATGACTTGATACAGTATGGTGTTTCAATGCTAGAACATCATTTTGTCACTATCTATTTCAGGTACTAGGTGCTAGGTATCTAATCAATAATATACCCCTTAAGTTAATATCCAAGCGAGTGTCCATTCATTCATTCCTTCCCGAGATCATTATATCATATCTATCATTACATCTATCTCTCTTCTTGTGGATTTCCCTCTCTCCTGCTCACCACGCTTAAAAGACTCTTTCTTGGATACGCTACTCGCCGTGTTCGATATAGCATTCTGGACTTATATCTTTCCTCCACTATACCGCATCCACAGCATCATCCACAGCATCATGTGATCTGATCTGTCTCGCTCGTTTTTGTATCTCCTGAGCGCGAGAGGCGTGGTGAGCGCAGGTTTCACAGGGGGGTGAGAGCGAGAGATTATCTTTTTCGTGAGATTGAGGGGAGGTGGAGGTGGAGGTGGAGGTGAGGTGTGCATTTTCTTTGCTTTTGGGTAATGAGAGGGAGTCGTGTGGATCTTCGATCTCGGTTTCGCTTTTGTCTGATTCGGAAGTTGAGTCTGAGCCTGAGCCTGAGCTTGAGATGGAGATTCGGAATTGGAAATTAGAAGTCGAGGTGGTTTTGAATTTAGGAGCGGGCAGTAGATTTGCGGAGATGTTTAGAATTTGCAATTTTGTAAAGTGCGAGAGGTGGGTGAGGATGGAATGGTATTCTTCGCTCTCCTTGTCGTAATTGTCATGTGGTTGTTGATGATACTCATTTCCTTCTCTTTCGTCATCGTCTTCTTCCTCCTCGCTTCTATCGTGAATCTCTGCAGATGATGATGATGACGATAATGATAATGATGATTCAGAAACGTGAAGTCTCAAAACTTCGAGAATGTCTCTCAAATGTGTGATCGAATGCAGAAAATGATTTAAATCGAATGAAAATTCCAATCCTTCTCTTTCCCCGATTTGAGTATCGTAATCCCATTCCCATTGTAAAGATTTGAGAAATTTGAAGTAGCTGAAAAATGGGATCAAGGAATCTTGTCGAAGAACCGTGTGAGAAAGGTGGAGATGAGTGATGTGGAAGGTGAAATTGGGAAGGGGAGGAGAGTAAAAGGTTGAGAGTGTGAAGGGTGTTATTGGAGATGGGTTTAGCGCGTGTTGAGTAGGGGAAGAAGAAGAAAGAGAAGATGGCAAAACGGAGAATGGAAAATGATAATCCGAAAGCATGTGTGTATCGACCTCTCGTATTGAGGGGATGGCTAAAAAGGGGAGGCCGCGCAGAATCTCAAATCCCATGCGGGGATAATGTATAGTATCGTGTTTTGCCAAATGCAAAGACCGTAAATGCGGGAATGAATATGCTTGTGGCTGAACTATGCGGGTGGGCTCGCGAAGTCGTTGATTTTGTAAAGTTGCCGCTCGGTTTAGCACGGTTTCGAGATAGGGATATCCATAAGGACAACCGCTCGCGTGGTTGATTATATTGAGAGATTGGAGATTAGGGAGGAGACAGAGGATGAATGCGACGATGGCATCCCAGTTTCCTTGTAGGATAAAATTGTACCATTGTGAGGTGATGTGGGAGCCAAAGAATGGGGAGCGTGAGCCGTCTTCTAGGGTGTAGATGGATTTGAGACGGGATTTCAGGAGGACAAGGTCGTAGGGGGAGAAATTGGAGATGGAGATGTCGTTTTTGTAGCCTAGGAGGGCGTTGCAAGTGAAGGTTTTAGTGTAGAGTGCGTAGTGGGGATTATGGAGAATGGTGTGCAGGAAATGGGGGAGGGAAGTGCATGTATCGCCGAGGTGGAGGAAGTGCGAGTACAGGTAGGGGGTGATGTAGTGGTGGAATTGGCGGGAACAGAGGGAAAAAGCGGAGAGTGCTTCTGGAGATGTTATTAGACGGAAGAGAGTGAGGAGGATATCTGTGGGTAGGTGAGTGATTGGGAAGTTTGAATTGGTGGTTGGTTTGGAAATGGGAGAAGGGCGCGGTTCAATTGGAAGATTAGCGGATTGAATTGAGGCAGTCATTTTTGATGAGACCTGAAGATATCTAATGAAAATATAAATTGAAAACTCAACTCCAAATTGTATAGTATTCAATGGAGAAACCAAAAACGCATGGAGTATCGAAGACACCGACTCTCATCTAAATACATGCTCTCAAGATCCAAGCCCCCATTGTTAGACCATAAATCATGACCGTTTAGGGCTTCAAATATGGAGAGTACTTCTCCATGTTTTAGAAATTGTAGATTATCAGAGAAACTGCAGCAATCACATCAATTACTACTAAGCATTGATGCAGAAAATGAGATGAAGATTCACCTGGTGATCTGTGTCAAGCTGGTAAAGGAGCACGGCCATAGTAAGCAATTTGATGTAACCGCGCGGTACGAGACAATTCGAGCAATCCTGATGATAAGATGGATGGGTAGAGGCATTATCTTGAAGATTTGTATCAACACTCTTACGATGTTGTTTTGGAGCCGACTAAGTTCATCAAAACTTGAGGACCTGAGTTCAATGAAGAGATGAAAGTAAATGCGGAAAATTCGTGAAGAAGATCAAAGGTAGAATGATAGCAGGGGCCAATCACTTGTTAGTCATCATCGGATAAACTTCGCTACGTAAGTTAATCCGGCGTCCAGAAATTATTGCCGATGGTAGAATGACATGCCCATTCGGCGTCACAATGATATTCCTTCATCCTTCTGCAACGACTTCATCATCAATATGGAAGCTCATATCCTTCAGGACTGATGGTCGGATACAATCCTTACAATTCACAAGAAATACTATTCGTGATCCAGAGATCTAGAAGTCCACGAGCTCGGGAGAATTGCCCTTGCTTCTTTGGTGGCACCGTTGGCTCAATGGCAAGTGCCATCTTGGTTGTTTTCAATAATTCACTTTGAGGCTCTCCCCTGAGTAAGATCAATTTACTCTCCCACTTGGCATATCCCAGCTTGTCAATATCTCTTGTTCTGGGGGTAATCACTTTAATCGTACCTGCATTGATCGACCGAAACCTAGCGAAGCCTTACAAGGCAATGAAGGTGACGGCAAACTACTTCAAATTATTCTATGCTTTACACATCGTATGTTTCTTGACTCATCTCCTCATTCTCTAAATTTGGATAATTATTGCACAAAAAAGCATTTTGTGAAACCTTACCATTCATTGCCAAGAATATGGCTGTTGAGCTGAAAAGATGCACATGATCGGCTTGCCTACAATCATACTTCGGTAAGGAGAAGCAGGATTTTGGGGGCGTAAACGATTCCGAACTTATGCAGGTACGATGTTGATATCCGACCTGTCACACAGAAATTTTCAAACCCTCAATATTATTATCGACTGTTCTATTGTTCAGTTAGTTCATAGTAAATCAGCCCTCTATTATATTAGGAGCTACTACCTTAAGCCAAGGACTATCATGCGGAGAAGTGAGAAGAAGGTATTGTGATTTCCTTGCGTATATATTGTGTCCTTTTCAGTCCTATTCCCCTTTCTCATCTTTTTACTATCGTCACTCGTTTCTCTTTAGTCACTCTTTAATAAACACTCGTTTTTGAACGTTGTCGCATATAGTTTCCCTTAATATATTCCAACTATCTACCCCTTACCACAATGAAGCTTTCCACCGGTGGTCTATTGGCCAGTCTGACAGCTTTTGTTCTTGCAGAAGATCTACTTTTTGTAGATAAATTCGAGTTCAAAGAGTTTGCGGAGGCAACATCTGTCCTTGGATACACTACAAAGGTGGTCAGTGAGGCACAATGGAAAACAATGACAACAGCCGAGTTTGCTGCTTTCAAAGCTATTGTCATTGCCGATCCAGATTGTTCAACATCACCCAGTGATGTTCAATTCTTGACTGATACCAAGAATACCTGGGGACCAGCAGTCCAAGGGAACATTGTCGTTATCGGTAAGAACAAAAAATCAAGCTCTATTGAATTTATGACTACTCTACTAACTCAAATATAAGGCACGGATCCTACTTTTCACTTTTCAGCCCAACCTGGTGTCAAAGTTCTGATTGATAACTCCATCAAATTTGCAGCATCTGCGAAAAGTCTCGCTGGCACCCAGCAGACTGGTCTCTACTACGCGTTGTCTTGTTATTATAACAACGTGGATTCTGCGAAAGTAGAATCACTCTCATACTTCGGAGACTTCACTGTCCGAGGAAACCTTGCTTGCTACAACAAAGCTCACATTGTTGCATCCTCACCTGCTCTTGGAACTCTTAATGATGCTGCACTATCTAGTTGGTCTTGTAGTGTCCATGAAGCCTTCTCCAGCTATCCTTCTGTTGGAATCAATGGATTCCAAGCTCTTGCTATTGCTCAAGATGTCATTGGTGTCGGATCGCAAACTTTCGGTGACAAGACAATTGGACTACCATATATCATCAGTCGTGGTGCGACCCCAGCTGGATGTGGTGATGGAAAATGGGAAGCATCATTAAACGAAGAGTGTGATGATGGAAACACTGTTGCTGGTGATGGGTGTTCTGCAAGTTGCAAATGTGAATCCGGTCGCCCAACTGGTGATGGACATTGTCTTCCAGCTTTGACACCAAACACAACAACTCCCGTTCATACTCCATCGCATTCTGCCACTCTTCCACCATATATCCCATCGGGGTCTAGTGGAGTTCCTGTCCCATATGGCAACAAAACTATCATTTCAACCATTGATCATAACAGGACAGTCACTGCTACCATTCACGACACTGTTACAGATCATGATACCAAGACTGTTCATGACATTTCAACAGTTACCACGTAAGTGATCTTTTGGCGGTGGATAGTTCTGTACTAACTTGTCCCTAGAACTTTCATTCCTCCTCCATATGTAACTCCCGCATGCCCAACTGGAAACAAGATAGTTGGTGTTGAAATTGTTGTTTATGTGTCCATCATTGAATCATGTCATACTATTGGAGATAAAACTGGTTCGTAACCCTATTCTCTTTCGCTCAGATCATCACTGACATATCAAAAAGTTACTTCATATATCACAAGTGATTGCTCCACTGAACAGAAACCAATTTGGAGTACATCAACTGTAGGATATCCTTGCTACGCATGTGCCTTATCTAGTGCCGGTGTTCCCTGCCCAACTGGAGGCTTTATCACAGCCACTACAACGTCATGCCATGAAACCGCAATCCCAACTTCGTACACTTGGACTCCAGTTCCACCGACAATTCTACCATGCAAGACTTGTCTTCCATACACCATGCCAACATGTCCAGTATATAGTACACTTCCACCATCTTCCGTCTACGTTGTTCCAGTTCCAACTCTCGGAACTCACTCCGAACCAGTTAGCCGTATCCCCGAGACTTCTATATATGTACCTGCTCCATCTCCAGTTACATACACTACCTCTATATACGGAATAGGGGTCACAACTTATATAACTTACTCAGCCGGTCCAACAGCAACTGCAATTGTTTCAGAAGTCGAAGGTATCCCTACTACTATCATCACGTATGTTGCTCCGACACCGGCTCCAACATACGCCGCAACCATAGTACCTGTCTGCCCACCTGGCGGGTGTAAACCAGCGACTTCTACGGTTGTTCCAGTGGGTCCTGTTGGAACGACTTCATTCTTAGGTTCCCCCACTTATGTACCATTCACAGGGGCAGCTGCCCGTATTGTCAGTGCCAATGTGGCGATGATGGTCGGTGCTGTAGGTGGTATTTTTGGATTGATGATTGTTTTGTAGATTGAGTAGTTGAAGGATGTGAATTGGGATTTAGGATTATCAACGTTATGAACGGATTGGATGGAAAGGCGTCTGATAATTTTGTATGGATCAGGAAGGTATATGGCATGAAGAGGAGCAAAATTACCTTGTGAAAAGAATCTTTAGGGAAAGACGTATTTATTCATTTCGTACTACTTGCGAAGGGTTTCCGCTTTCTATTTCTCAAAAAGAGAGGAAGACATGGGGGCCATTGCAATCGGTTTATTCTTTTCTTTTCTATGGTCGATTTTTGATTTTGGTGTATGGAATGGATTGGTAATATATGCACACACATCATTCATCAATTGAACGGTGAGGTGTTAAGATGTGTATGGAAATATAATTGAATGTTTTCATTGTACTATCTCTTTCTTGTTGATTCATTGCTTGATTCGTTTTGAAGTGATTGTGCCTTCTGATCTATGTGTACACGTTCAAATTGTCAATCTCTTGAAATGCCGTTAAAGTACATCTGATTATACGGGTCAAAATTTTCGGAATCTTGTAAAAGAATCTTACAAGATTCTACATATGCTTTCTTTTGCTAAAGAAGTACGACCTTACCTTGTATCTTTGTGTCTTGATCCAAGTCAACAGTGTATTAGGATACTGAAACTCGAGATCATAATTCTCATAATATCGGCTCGCACTTTTCCTTTTCCGTTGTCCGTTCTATGTAAGCGGGGCGGGGTTGTAGCAGAGCGGCACTATTGGGTGAACAAACCTCGGTAAAGTCTCGAGGTATAATTTGTTACAGATTCACGCTTTCTCCTTCCATTACACTTTAGTATCTAAAGATTGTATTCAAACCTACCTTCAATCCCAATCAAGTATCTCTTTGCTTTCATCAAATGGTATAGACATTGTGTTGAAGTCTAAAACCCAATTGAGTGCAATTGAAATTTTTGGAACACAGTTTCATTATTGTGCTACAACGCGCGTCATGGAATTGGACTCCTTATTCACAATCTTCCCCGGAAAACATCTATGGATCTTCGGCGCCATAGCTCTAAATCTGATCAGAATCCCTTTTTGGCTTATCTACTATGTTCCCTCCGTTACCCGACCCTCGCCAAAATGGACCTACACCCAAGCCCTCCGTATCCGTATCATAAAAGCTTTCGTCAAATCCGTCTCAATCACCAAATCAGCTACCATCATTAATCTCCTTCCGGGTGCCGAGGGATCACGATTTTTAACCATCCATCCTGCTTCATCATCCCGTTACCAAGGGGTCACTATAACGAATTCTGAAATCAAACCAGAAATTATCGGTGGCACGTGGTATCCACACCAACCATCTTCTGGAAAAGACGCTGGAGATGTAGTTCTTCACTTTCATGGAGGAGCATATGTAGTTGGAGATGGACGAACGCAAGATGCTGGATTTTGCGCAGAGACTTTAATTGCTAATAGCTCTGCTTCTTTTGTATTTTGTCCTCAATATAGACTTGCTTCAAGTCCGGGTGGGAGATTTCCAGCAGCGCTGCAGGATGCGATTACGAGTTTCTCTTACTTAAACGAGACAATGGGAATCAAGGCAGAGAATATCGTTGTCTCGGGGGATAGCGCGGGAGGAAATCTGACAATGGCATTATTGAGATATCTACATGATAACCCAAACGTGGGTCTACCAAATCCAGGATGTGCATGGTTATGGTCTCCCTGGGTCGATCCGGTTTCTACGATTGTCGAAGGAATCTTCCATGCTTCTCCATACTCTCGTACTGATTATCTTCACGAGGGATTTGGAATCTGGGGAGCAAGGGGCTTGACACCACTTGAGGGAACGGGAGTAGAATTATCTCATCCGAATATTTCGTTTGTGGGGAATCCGTTCAAGATTTCCACCCCATTGTTTTTTAGTACAGGAGAGTGTGAAGTACTTTTTGATGATGTGGTGAAGGTTCATAATCAGTTCACGGAAGCGGGGAATAAGACTGAATTGCAGATTGAAGAAGGGGCGGTGCATGATATTATTTTGATTGGAAATCTTTTAGGCTTTAAGGAAGAGGCGAGGTTGGCGGCGAAGAGGGCAGGGAAATTTTGGGAGAGAAATAGATAGACGGGGTAGATTGATGGATTGCAGATTGGTGGATGAGTAGAAACAGGCTTTGGTGTTTGTATCACATACCTGGTTAAAGGTATAGATTTAAATTTAGGATAGATTCAACGTATACTGAACACTTCCCTGCAGTTTGTCTTCTGCTTATTCGTGGGAGAAAGAATAATAATAAGATTGTTACTCAAGACTGAAAAGTCACAAAAGTTCGGGACTTCAAGCTATCGGTTTGAGGTAAAAGGGCTCCATCGAAAGAATGATTACATGCCTTGAAAGTAGTGATTCAGAGATATAGAATTGTTTCGACTGGTTTGTATATGATTGATAGCTTTTCTATGAATGAAATTGAATTAAATTCGAGATAAGAAATATATATAGTATTATTACAGTACTTTATATAGAAAAAATTAATGTAAAATAATTTCTGTATTTAATATTTATTATTTAATCTTTCAAATCTTTCAAATCTTTCAAATCTTTCAAATCTTTCAAATCTTTCAACTACAGAAACAGTAACAACCCAAGCAATAACCTCCATCCAAAGTGACAACAGAGGAAGGTGCTAGTCTAAAGAGGCATATGATGAATGATAAGTTCGATGCCAGAGCCCTAAGGGGTATAGCTGGTCCAATGATAACCAGATCCATTACAATAAAATGCGCTTTCCTTCACACTACCAATATAATATCACGAAGTTACAGGAAGTCTAAAGATAGTCTTGTATAATCTAAACGTAATCATATAGAATAACTTTATGACTAAAGTAGGAATTGAGTTTCTAGTCTGAAATAAGAATAATAATATGGCGCATATGTGTCTCGTTGGAGAGATTTCAAGCGAGACTAAATACCTAGCTTCAAACTAAAATAGCTTGAATATAATAGCCCTAGGTATATAAACTTAGATTCCTCACGAGATTCGGTGGAATCTTTGTTTGAGATTATCTAGTCAAAAATCGCATTAACATGGATTGTAGTTTGAAATATACAATCAAATAGAATTATTTTAACCTCTAGACAATTCATCTTAGTCTATCAAAATTTTCTCTGTTCTGATTCTTGAAATCGACGTTCTCTTTCAATATCCAAGACATAAAAAGATGTTTTCTAGACTGATAACTTACCTACGTTCTTAATAGGTGGATATGCATTACTGAATAGAGATGATTCGAATGATGTTGAAAAGTCTACCGAAAAGACACCTCTGATTGTCAAGACACTTGCAACACCGAACCATTCAGGGGATCATTCGGATGATAAGAGTAAAGAAATTGGGAAGGCACATCCAACTATTGAGATCTCGGAACATTTTGATGTAAATCTTTCACTTCAAGGACGTACAAATCAGAGCGACACATTCTTTGTTGATCCAGCAATCAAGAAACAGATTGACGAATCCTACGATACAATCGATTGTACTTCGGAAACATCCAGTAACGCCTCAGAGCTCCTTCCCTCTAAACAACATTCCAAAGTTTCAACTTTCTTTGAATTAATATTCAAATCAACTCAAAAAGAAATGCATAATACATGCAAAATAAAGGGCGGGCGGGGTGGTCGGTTTCGGTGTGATTCGGGAGCGTGTGTTTCAACCCCGTCCTCGAATTCCTTCCCTAGATCACCTGAAGCAATTCAATCCTCAGTGAATGCTCTTGGAACAGGGGATAAGAGACACAATCGAGCTTAGCGTTTTTCGGAATCTTTCTCGGGAAGATCAAGCTTCTTGAAAGCAACACTCGGAGGAGCTATGGCAGCAGCGGACACTCTTGCTGAGAAAATCGAGAATGAGAAAAAACAGTTGAATTATCCACCAGAGCACCAAAATGGGCCCCAAAACTAGCATTAGCGTTTTCCCTGAACGACAAAGTCTGATTGCTCGAGAGTGATCAAATATTCCTGAATTTAAATAAGATCAATGGTCAATGAGGTTTCTGTTAGGCGATAGAGTCCATTTTCGTGTCTTAGGGGATAGGCTGCTGCTCGGGATATGTGACCTCGAAAGTTTCGTACGAGTTGTTGGAATGTTGATTTGAAGATGAGAGAATTCAAAGAATAGGGGCGTTACATGGACATTCTACAACGGAGGAAAGACAGAGCCAATCATGGTGCTTGATGATATATTGGAAGTGAAGAATTGTGTCAATCAAGAAGAGAAAGATGAAAGCAGCAATTAGTCGAGATCAAGGTAGTAGGTAAAATATAAAATATACAAAACAATATGCGAGAATCAGAATGAAAAGACATGACACTGTTTGGAAACGTAGTGGACAATGTATGCTATAGAATAATGCTTTCATAATCCCTGTTAAATTTCCTAAGCAAATAACAGCAGCCCATATAGCCCCTCGAGAAATCAAAACAGTGTCGATGTCAACGCAGGAACATTATTGACCAAGTAAAATGATACGCATGCAGTCCCAGATAGGTGGAACGGCATATTAGTAATTGTCTGGACCCATAGTCAACGCCATCCCAAGACGTCTATTGGCATTTAAAACAGATGCCAACAGATAAATTTTTTTGCTTTCAGATGAATTCGTTTGCGCGGTACGACTGATACAATTGAAGGCTATGCTACACTTTAATACTACTGGACTAGCGATAAGATTGAACCTCCGAGTATATTGGAGTTTCTCTATTGTTGGGTCGTACCGACCCTGAATAGGATTCTCATAGGGAGCTACGAGAATTGAGTATCAGGTTTGAATGTAGTAGCTAATCCGGTAATTCTACACAACATCTATGCTGCAAGGAGACACGAAGTCTTGACATTCAATCCGAACTGCCGTCATTTAAGCTATACTCACACATGTTTTGTTGCTTAATTTTGCACCGTTGAGGCTAGATGCACTCAGCAGATTCAAAAAACATCCCCTCATGCCCATTGCAGCACTAGGGTCCAAGATACGACGATGTCATCATTGATAGAACGAACAGGAACGTGTACTCTGTACACAGAGTTGAAACCAAACTTTTGGCTGTACCAAAACTTCGTCGAGTTGAATTGAAATAAATGTGCAAATACAATCGTCACGAAGTAGGGTGCTCTAGATGGAATACATTTGCGAATCATGCTTGGAAAGAGCATTTGTTGCCATGTTGCCGCGGATGGCGTAAAATGACCACGAAAGCATGATGGCTCCGAGACGTTGGACAGAATGAATCACATCGAAAGCAGGCGTGTTTAACAGAGAGAACACGACCGACATAGGTGATTCAGACAAAGTGAAAATTCATGGAAGCCCCAAGTTTAATGAACGATGTGATGATTTCGACGTAGATCGAATATCCTGTGATTTTCGAATTAAATTCGAGATTCAAATTCCATACGTAGATTGAGTTCTGACTCGTATCTTGATTCAAAAATGGGTGGAATGAGTTTTCTTGACCTAATCAAGAGCTCCTCCGATGGAGCATGTCTGGACCTACTACCTAAGGCGTTGTCATGTATGTTTTGATGATGCCTTTATTATTTGGCCAGGACTTTGTATCGCTCATGTTATCATCCGAGATGGCGAAGTAGCTTTTTAAAGTTCACACAACTCGAAGTGGTTGAGCCGCAGTCTGCATAACTATTCGAGTTCGAGTTTTGTTCTGCGACCTCTCTTTCTTTCTCTTTTCCTCCTTGGCAAATATCACCCTATAATTTACCATCATGTTCTCCCGGAAGTCTCTTGACTCTCTTTTGTTCCCAATCATCTAAATCTTTCGCGGCGAGTCTCTGTAATAGCGATGAACATTAGAAAATTGCTCTCAAGCACAAGTATATAATGGCACACTCACATAGTATTCTTCTTTCATATCCACTCGCCTTCCAGTCTTACCAATTCCTAGCTCCTCTTCTTTGCTTACTCTTCGCACACGTTTATCATGTTTCTCGTATCGGATAGCTGTGGCAGGAGTAAGGAAGAAAGATCCAGCTACCATAGTTGCAATGAATGGTAGACCGAAGAGGGCAAATGGATGTTTGGCTAGAGCGCTGCGATATCTTGCGGCAAGGGTATTCGACTCTGCCGCTCCGCGAAACTTCTTGCTTCCAAAGACTGCCATTTTGTGATTCCACTGAAAGAAACGAACACCTGTAGTGTAGAACCAATGATAAATATCAGGAAACGTTGAATTGTGAATCCGGAAAGTTTGAGTCGTTCAAATTAGGTTCCGTACCTGTCGCCGCAATACGATAAATGAGCCCATGATTTTGACCGAAAACCGCTAGATGCCTTGGAATCACGTGCAAGCGCGAAACTCTTAATTGTTTTTGGTGAAGGAACGCGTCGACAACTTCCTCTTTTGTGTTATCTCATCAATTTCGTGATATTTAATCGACCAATCGCCAATCCTTGTGAAATCCATCGTGGTAGTAGATGGTCATGAAAGGATGGCACCTCATGAGCCGCCGACTGGCACACCAGGTCGTTGGGAAGGCCCTCCATCAACTATGGCTGCACAATTAATCAATAATCTCTCTGCGAGAAAACAGTCTCGACAAGTCGAACATGACTCTTTACAGTCACTCATGACTGAAGTTTCCAGTCGAGAAAATGATTCATCCGACTTCACGGATCCCGAAGCTATGCTTGAGCACAAACATAAACTTCTATATGTTGTCGCAAAAGTAGTTTTAGAGAAACTCAACAAAGATGACCCTTTTATGAATGTCCAAAACGTCATTAACCAGGCTTGTGAAGCCCTCGATGTTTTCATTTCCACTGTCAAAGATGTCCCAAATATACTTAATTATGTATCCACCCCAGATCGGCCACTCAAATCACGCGGTCTAGAACCCTTCTGGATATGGTTGTTCCCACGGGTTCTTGCTTGTCTGGGTCGTCGGGATTCTAGAAAGCTCACAGCAAAGATTGAGGTTTTCTTTTCTACTTCATTTGAGGTCGTCGCCAGATCACCAAGACTTTGGGGTCTTAGTTCTAGCTTTTTTATCTACCTTAAGGACAGTGTAACATGTGAGTATACAACCACACATACATTACTTAACAACTACTTATATTTTCCAGCTATTCTCACCATTTTTCAAACCCTTAGTCTTATCACTCATGGCTGGGAAATGGATTTCATACTACCATCTGATCAATTCAAGGTATCGTCATATTCGTTTAGTAATGAGGACGATATGAATGAAACATTTCTCCAATGCACATACAGATTGCATAATAAAGCAGCCGCTATGCAACATGCCATATGCATTTTATCCATCTTGGCAAAGGTGTCTATTCAAACTGCATCCTTTCAAGATGCAACTCCTGCTTTCCAAGACTACCTAGCGTGGCTGTTTGATTCGTTTCACGCATCCTACGAGTTACAAAAGGTATGGATATCTTCCGGGAATTCAGCGCAAGATTGCGAATCTCCAGCGATTTCTCTCTTCTGTGGCCTTCAGGCACTTTTATCATCGTTTCAGAATTTGCTACCTGAGACTTTGGTTCGTAAGGGTTATGCCTACCTCACAACTATCGGGGCAGATATTATCGTAAATCCGTCAAATATTTCCGACAAGGATGTTAATCTTGCTTTCTGTCGGACTTTATTGTATTTGGCAAATATCTGCAAAAATTACGATTCGACATGTAGAATTGTCCGTTTTTCCCTACTCCCGAAGCTTCGCACCGTGCTCGATGACGAAGATGCGAGCATTATGGTCGGGAATGATTTCCAGGTATGTAACCCTTTTAACTTTCAGATTTTGACTAAATTTTCTATAGAATGCTGCAGCTACTTTGCTTTGGGCCTGTAGATCAGCAGAGAATTCTAGTCTTGGGCTCGTTTTACCTCATGTAAACTTTGATACTGATTCTTTGAATGCCGACCTTAATCTTCTTGTGCTGAAGGACATCAAAAGTCGATCAACCCAATCAGCTCCACCCAACAAACGTCGAAAAATCCATTCAGAAGAGGGCCTTTTGCAAGAAATAATTGCCAAGCTATATTCTCTCTTCGGTGACCAGGAGGTTTTAGATATGGATGGGTTATGCCATCTAGCTGAGTTAGTATGATTGTTGATGCCACTTGCCTTTCTCTAACTTTTACTAGGAAATGTTTCGCGGGATTGACTGATCTTGACAGGTGCAAAGTTATTGACTATTTATCTATGATACCATGTGCCGCATATGGCTCATTAACAGTCACTCGAGACAAATTTGAAAACATAGTATCGTCTCAATGTTTTATCTGTCAAAAGCTTCCCCCCAGAGCCACAGCATTAGACGAAGATGCATGCCAAAAAACCGGCAGCGAAGCAATTTTGATTCTTACTACGCTGATCAAGTCTCCCGCCTTCCACGAGTCACGACGATCGAGGGTCCTTGCAATGATAGCCGTTAAGGCCTTTGCCATACATTTTCGAGACGAGGAATTTCTCAACCTGGAAACCTCTGCAGTGGGACAGTGGTGCTTAAAATCTCTTCAAAGTTCCATGCGTGAATTGAGAATCGCTGCAGGGTAAGTGACTGTCTACTAGTGGAGTACATTGGAATTCTGCTGATGAATCTAGTCGCACAATACCAGAATTTCTTCAAGAAGAAAGGGCCCCAAAGAATCTTATCCTAAAGAATAGAACAAATGTGCTCATTATATTACGTGATCTGTGCGAGAAGCCAACTCTTCATTGGCAAGAGACATGTGTTCTTGCTTGGGGTCAACTTGCAAGGTTTGTTCAACTCATTCATCTGTATCCTTCTCATGCTTACAAGTTCAGGGTCTTGATTGATGGCGAACTGAATATTGTTCTTTTGAAGCTTGTTGAATATTTAGGACATTCGAATGCAATCGTGTCGAACGCGGCCTACAATGAAGTAAGCTGACTTATCTCGTTGGCAAAATTTACTGACCTTTAATCAGATATTGAAATTGGCGAATCGAAACGGAACTGGTGACAAGCCTGTCGAGCGGTTATTTAGTCCTTTCTGGGATAGTATTGCCATTGCTGCTGTGAAGGAACTGCTTAGCCGACCACAAACTGCTCAGCTAATGGCAGATTTATTAGAGATTACAGTCTCCGAATTTCTTATCCTCACACAAGCATACACTCTGCCATGGCTAGTGCTATGGCGCGATGGAAAGACTATCAAAAAGATTGCTTCAGCTCGGAACGAGGAATCTTGGCGAGTATGCACGGACACTGCCAACATTGTTCATATTATGGCTTTGTTGCTGGTGCAGGATGTTCAAAATATTGAAAGCCACACAATGTCTGTACTGAAATTTGTCTCTTCAGACTTCGAGAAACGAGGACTGGACTTTGAATTTCTTTTAAAGATGGATCCTTCGAGCACTTTTCTTCACCTTCTCAAGGTGGCCGGGTATGCGGACAACAGTAGAAAATCAAGGGTGTGTAAACATTCTTCTCATGTATGAACTGAGAACTAACTCTCTTAGATCCGACTTGCTTTGCAATTTCTTGTCGAGAACGTTCAAAGCCCAGATCAAATCCGCAAGAAGAACAACCCGATGGCGGCATTTTTAGAGCAGCACAACCTTGGCCTCGTCACTCGCATATCAGAAGTCGTGAATGATACTAGGGATGAACATTCGAGCTTCGAGAAGAAACGAAACGTGAAAGCGATTGAGGAGATGGTGACAATTGGCAAGACCTACACTGGAGCTGCTCGACCACAAGTAATGATATCCCACCAATTGTATTTTTATATAGTAGCTAACCATATCTAGATATGTGCCTGCCTACAGTCCGCCCTGGCCCAGAAAGACCTTCAAGCCTCAGCCTTTTCAGCCTGGTCAGCTATGCTTCGATATCTCGGTGATGATGACGTACAATGGATGCTTGAAAGCACATTTGTTACTATAATACAGTACTGGGAATCTTTTGACGACTCTACCAAAAAAGCAGCAGAGGAAATCTTGCAATACCTTTTGAAAGAGCGCGCCCGTCTTATTCGAAATAGAATAGTCGAGCTACCATCCCTCTCCAGCCTCCCGCAACTTCGTGATGTAGAGCACAAGCTTAATACCATGAGGAGACCGACAGATGTCAGTAATGCATTTCAAATATTTAGCCGTCGAATTCAACATGAAACAGCTGGAGTTGTCGCACAGGCTTTGTCAGAATTAAAAGTCTTACTTCAAAAGCAGCAGTCCTACCTTCAGGCGTCAGCTGTGAGTGAACAGCCTGACGTGGTGATTGGTAAGCTTGTGCGTTCAATCCTGGATGCATGTGTTAAGTTCAAACGAATCTCATAATGATATTGCTAAGCTTTCGGGAGAATGTATCGGTTTGATAGGCTGTCTTGATCCCAACAGGGTTGAAGCCGTTAGGGATCAACGAGAAATGGTGGTTGTCATGAATTTTCATGACCCTGAGGAAACTACAGATTTTCTTTTGTTCCTCTTAGAAGAGGTTATCATCAAGGCATTTCTATCTGCGACCGATACAACGCTACAGGGATTCTTATCTTTCGTTATGCAGGAATTATTGTCGAAGGGTGGGTTCGCAGACGTCTGCGCACCAACTTTGAGGGGTGCCCATAAGGATCCGAACAATCCCCTTTGCAAAAAGTGGGAGTCTCTTCCAGAAAGTGTCCAGGCAACCCTTACACCTTTCCTCAGCTCGATGTTCTCGATATTGAAAATGGAAGTTCCAACTACCACATATCCCATATTTCGACCTGACAGTTCTCAGCCCAACAGGATCAATAAGTACAATAATTGGCTGAAAACATTCGTTCTTGATCTTTTACAGAAACCCAAAAATCCCAACGCAGAATTGATCTTTCCTCCTTTGTGTCGAGCTATTCGAATCAAAGACCTCTCTGTTGCAAGTTTTCTCTTGCCATACTTAATTTTACATATAGTTATAGAAGGGGACGACAAAGAGAGAGGAAACATTGGTGCAGAATTACTTGGAATTTTAGAGTATCAGCCGACTTCAACATCACATGTTAAGCAAGAAGAATTAAGGCTATGCAGCGAAGTAAGTGGCGCTATCCTCTCAATCCAGCTTCTATTCTTAACCTAATGACCACAGGCCGTTTTTCGAGTCCTCGATTATCTTTCCCGCTGGATACAAGCGAAGCAGATGATAGTGCATCGAGAAATACGAGCTGGCATTCCCGGTGGTTTGGAGCAGATTGAAAAAGTGACCAGGCTTATCGAAAGTATTCCTGCTGAAATTGTTTCAGCTCGTGCTATACAATGTAAGTCATACTCTAGAGCTTTGTTCAATTGGGAGCAGCACATACGTCATGTTCGTGAAACGAAGAAGCAGGATGCTTCGAGAGAAATTTCAGATCTAGAGCGATTACAGGAGATATACACCCAGATAGATGAGCCTGATGGTATTGAAGGAATATCGGCACATCTACATGTGTTGGATATTGACCAAATAGTTCTCGGCCATCGCAAAGCAGGACGCTGGACAGCTGCCCAAGGGTGGTATGAGATTAAGCTTGCAGAAGACCCTGAAGACGTAGACGTTCAGCTCAATCTTCTTACATGCTTGAAGGAGTCCGGGCAGCATGGTAATCTTAAATAGCGCTTGCTTCTCTTGAACCCTGCTGACTAGTCATAGATGTTCTACTTAATTATGTCGAAGGTATGCATACTGCCACCAAAACAGTAGGAAAGCTATTGCCCTTTGCCACCGAGGCTTCTTGGGCAACGGGGAGGTGGGCTGCGTTGCAAAAATATACGTCAATTGCTGGTCGAGATTTGGAAGAAGACTTTAACGTCAGCATTGGCAAAGCATTGCTAGCTTTACACGAGAAAGAGACGACGAGATTTGTTTCGTCCATTGAGGATCTCAGAGAGCAGATTACTTGCTCCTTATCAAGAGCTACTACATCATCGATTGCATCTTGCCACGATCCGATGCTAAAGCTCCATGTGCTCACCGAGTTAGAAATGATTGCTGGTGTCGATCACACTGAACCAATATCAAGGGGAGAGCTCCTTGAATCACTCGATCGCCGTCTTGAAACAATTGGTGGTTATTTAAATGACAAGCAATATTTATTGGGCATAAGGAGAGCCGCCATGCAATTATCTAGGTAAGTTGAATATTAATACCGCTCAAATTTCTTATCTTTACACCAACGCATCTGACTCTGATACAGTCTTGAATTTACGAAAGGAGATCTCGCTTCTGCCTGGTTGACTAGTGCGCGCCTTGCTAGAAAAGGAAATGCAATTCATCAATCTTTCAACGCTGTACTTCATGCCTCACAGCTCGGTGATGACTCGGCCAAAATAGAACATGCACGACTTTTATGGAAAGAAGAACAGCATCGAAAAGCGATTCAAAGTCTTCAGGGAGCAATTGATAGTAATGCTTTTATATCTCATAATGAGATAAACAAAGCATCTCTAGGAAGTGCTGATAATACACATCGGAAACAGCAGCAGAATCTCCTCGAAGCAAGGGCTAATCTTCTACTCGCAAAGTGGCTTGACCTTGCTGGCCAAACAAACTCATCCGCCCTACGGGCCCAATATCAACTAGCTGCAAAGACCCATAATGCATGGGAGAAGGGTCATTATTATCTAGGGCGTCACTATAACAAGTTGTTAGAATCATCCAGTAACTTACCATTCGAAAGACAAGATGACAACTATCTTTCTGGCGAGACCGCGTCGCTAGTGATTTCAAACTACCTACGTTCGTTAACTCATGGCACCAAGTATGTTCACCAAACTCTACCTCGGATATTAACACTTTGGTTGGATCTTGGAACGCAGCTCAGTCAAAAGATTGACCCAAAGCGTCATTCTCAAGAGTTTGTCAGCAAGATGACTCAATTACGAAAGAAAACGTTAGATGATCTTCACATTCGATTCAAAAAATACATCTCCAAAATGCCGGCCTACATATTCTACACAGCTTTGCCACAGATTGTATCAAGAATTACACATCCACACAAGGAGGTGAATTACTACCTTCAGCTGATTATGCTAAAAGTTGTATCGGCACATCCACAGCAATCACTTTGGAGTGTGTTGGCTTTAAGTACTTCAACGCAACTGGATCGTCGAACTAAGGGAACGGAACTACTCGCAAAATTGCCAAGCATGTCTGCGAAGGCCGATCACAATTCCATAGACATCAAGGCTCTAATCAGAAACGGACAAGCTCTTACTGCTGAAATTTTAAGGCTTTGCGAAGCTGGAGATTTCAAAGAATCTAGGGTATTCAGATCCAGTTTATCTAAAGATCTACAGTTTAAACAGAAGGTCTTACCAAGTGCCCTTGCTTGCCCAGTGGAAGCCGCTTTGACAGCGAGCCTGCCGACTCTCACCGATAAGGTGGTAACACACAAAGCTTTCTCTCGTGATGTCATCACAATCAACTCTTTTGAAGATGACGTGTTGGTATTAAATTCTTTGGCGAAACCCAAGCGAGTGAGAGCTCTGGCCTCGAATGGACAACACTATGGTCTCCTTTTCAAACCGAAGGATGACCTTCGTATGGATCAGCGTCTTCAAGAATTCAATGGCATGATGAATAGGTCTCTGAAGCGTGATGCGGAATCAAGTAGACGCCAATTGTATGTCAAGACATATGCTGTGACACCTTTGAATGAGGAATGTGGGATCATAGAATGGATAGAAGGACTTCAAACACTTCGCAAAATACTTACGGATTTATACGGAGCGCAGGGGAAACGAATCAATTATGCGGAACTTGGTATGTATTGCGAGGAAGCAATGAAAAGCGAGAAGCACCTCCCATTCTTCACGGAAAAGGTTCTTGGCGAATTTAAACCTGTATTTCACAAATGGTTTGTCAAGCAATTTCCCGAGCCCTCAGCCTGGTTTTCTGCTAGACTTCGCTATACTCGGTCATGTGCTGTTATGTCTATGGTTGGTACAATTCTAGGTCTAGGAGATCGCCATACAGAAAATATACTTTTTGAGGAAGGAAACGGAGGAACCTTTCACGTAGATTTCAATTGTCTCTTTGAGAAGGGTAAAACCTTTGCAAAGCCAGAACAAGTTCCTTTCCGCTTAACTCATAACTTGGTCGACGCAATGGGTATGTACGGCTACGAAGGTCCCTTCCGCAAATCCTCGGAACTTACAATAAAGCTACTACGCCAGCACGAAGAAACTCTGATGACAATTCTTGAAGCTTTCATCTATGATCCCACACTCGATCTCATGAAAAAAGTCGATAAGAAGAAGAGAGAGATAGCAAATGAAGGGATGCTGAGTGCGCAAAAGGTTTTAGATGTTATTCAGCGAAAGGTGAAGGGACTGTTACCTGGGGAAAGTGTGCCGCTTAGTGTGGAGGGCTGCGTTGACGAGTTGATTAAACAAGCCACAGATCCGAGAAGACTGACGGCTATGTATATTGGGTGGTCTGCGTTCTTTTAAGGCTGGGAAGATTATAATGGATGTAGATGGTATGGAGCCACGACCTCTTATGATGGATTAATATACAATAGCTATCGAATCATCTCATGTGGTTACAACCTAGCACAAATTCTGCACATATCGAGCGCGGTTATAATGATAGTGAGGAGTAACTGATATTTGTTTTGTTACACTATGGACTCCGTGTTCTCTCTCAGGGTATCCAATATTCCGCACTGCAGTCCAACAGTATAAGGGTTTAATGGTCTAAAAGCAACTAGAAATTTGAAAACAGTTCAATATTCCAATCAAATTCAATATATAATTTGAAAATTCTAATTGGTTTAGGAATTTAATAGACTGCAGTCCGGATTATTGAACACTCTGTGAATCTCTCTACCGATCTGCTGCTATTACATGAATTCCTCCATCACATTATACACAACTTTCAAACTACAGATTGTGACCTGAATTTAAGATACTGGCACGGGAATTTGAAACAATCTTTACGACTCTGGGGTAGGTAGTAGAGCACTCAGCACTTCATAAAACAATACCCACTGCTGATCGGTGTTAAACTCGAATTCGACGTGAATACTGCACATCCGATTGGCTAGTCTTGGCTGATCTACGCATTGGTTACTTCAGCTGATAATGCATGTCATCAATCAGTCAATTTAGATCACTACTCGGACTCCCGATCAATCGATCGATGTCCGAAGATTTTCTTTTTCTGATAAGTAGTTTTACCACTCACAGTCTTCAGTAAAAATTTCTACTAACCCCAAGACGGAATAGAATCAATTGGGATTCAATGACAACTCATTCTCATCTGTTACTATCAGAGTATTCCTATACTAGTCTGAGTTACTTTCGCTGAATACGAAATTAACCAAGGCATCTCGCACGAATTGTCATACAATGGCTTTCAGCTTATCAGCCGTGCTGCATACATGAAACGTGTAAGCGCGAGTCGATTTGATGATGCATAAAGGACGACATGTCGTGAGTTACCTGATATCATCACCACCTCAAAAAAATCTACAATTGACTAAATTATGGAAATCACAATTGTAGGCGCGGGAATCGCTGGTCTCGGTGCTGGGATTGCTCTAAGGAGAGGTGGACATAAAGTTACTGTTCGTTTTCCATTCATTGCATTATTTTCGACGGCCTTGTTATATACTATCTGATACCCAAAAATTAGAAAGACTAACATGACCCAAGATACTTGAACAATCTTCCCTTCTCCACGAAACAGGCGCCGCTATAACAGTGGCACCAAATGCGTCACTCATACTTAAATCATGGGGTTTCTCGCCCGCGAAATCGAAACTGGTAGCTCTCAGTGACGCAAGTATTTGGGATGGTATGGCCATGAAAGTTCTGGTTGATGGTTATTATGGGAATGCTGAGGAGAAGTATGGGATCCCGCTGTATGCGGCTCATCGGGTTGATTTACATAGTCAGTTGAGAGAAATAGCGACGAAGAAAGATGGAGAGGGGATTCCGGTTGAGTTGATGGTTAGGGCGAAGATAATTGGTTATGTGAGTATTGTTGATAATGCGATTTGTTTTAAGTCTCGGGTTTTAATGAACGCTTTTATTACAGGATGCTGTGGATGGGAAAGTTACTCTTGAAGGTGGAAGAATCTTACAAGCAGATCTCATCGTCGCAGCAGATGGAGTGCACTCAACAGCTGTGGACCACGTGCTTGGTGCAAATAAAGTTCAAGCAGGTGATACTGGATGGTCTTGTATGCGATGGCTAGTGCCCACAGAAGACCTATTATCAGATCCCGAGACGGCTGATCTGGTCGAAAATTCTGGTCAGAGATTCTTCGCACCAGCTTCCGGTGTGGGCGGCTTCGTATGGTATCCTTGTAGAGAGTAAGAATCTTGTGGACATTCTCTATGATATTTTTGGGCTGATCAAATCGCAAATTAGCAACGAGGTGCAGAACTTCTTGTACTTGTCAAAGGCATTTGATAGTTCTCATGCTACAGAAAGTATAAATCCCGCATGAATCTTTTGTATGACGCTGAAAGTGGGTATTAGGTTTCAGAGCGTCTGTAGAACCAAGTGTTCCGATGAAATATGCGAAGCCTGAGTTTAGTCCCGCTTTGCAAGCTGTGATCGGGTAAGTCTGCTTTCAGATGGTTATATGTATATTGAGTAGTTTCTCACAAACAATGAAGGAAGGCACAAGATGTTAAATTCTGGAAATTGATCGCTCGCGAACCAATCCCGACATGGCACAAGGAAAGACTCGTGCTGATAGGTGATGCTGCTCATCCTATGCTTCCATGTAAGATCTAAATCGTTACAAACCCCTTTCCTCCTACGCTTTCTAACATCCAACATTAGTCCAAGCACAAGGGGGATGCCAAGCCATCGAAGATGCGGGCGCACTTGGAATATTATTGAATCAAGTAGATCCCAACGACAAAGTAACACTGGAGAAGCGACTTCAACTATATGAAAGGGTTAGGAAAAATAGAGGCTCGTCTCTACAGATCCTTTCGAACCATAGTCCACCTGCATCGCAGGCTATTCGTGATGAGGCTGCTAAGTATCTTCCGGATGGCAAAACACTTAACACCACGGATGATATTAATGATTATTTGTTTTCGTTTGATGTTATTAGAGAGTGCGAGATACTTCTGGCAGAAGATTCTATTGATGGTGGTGTTTGAACTCAGCTTTTGAGGGAATAAAGTTGATGATGTTAAAGAATCTTTACCAAACTCCACGATTTGCACAAGCAATGGCAATATACCATTGAATCATCCCGCTCATGTCATATGTTGATAGTATAGAACTGTGACTGATGCGATATTACTTAGACATGCTTGGAGCCTTAAAATTAGTTAAGCAGAGAATTCGCTTAGTATCGGGCGAACAGAGGACGAATATCACCCGTACCTCGAGGCCTAAGCGAAGAATGATCCTTCACATCGACTAAAGAAGCGACCTGCATTCATGAACAAACACACTCTTATACTATTTTTTGTAAGTTATTGCTTTAGCCAAGAACAACCATGCCGAAAACTTTAGCAAGCCCAGCTTTAAATGCCTCGCTGACCAAACCAAGGTGCACTTTAAACACTCTTCTATTGGGTCAGAAAATAACGTAGATAGGCCGATTATTGGCAGCATCGTGTATGATCGAAATGCTTGGTATTGAATGCTACCTCGCTTACACTCTTAAAAGGCAGCTGCAGAGGGTACAGCTATCGAAGGGTAATATGGATAAGTCGATCATTGAGAATTTTGAGCACGATCGAAACGCCTCGTATCGAATATCACATCGCTTAAATTCCAAAGGAAAGCTGGAAGAGATGCAGCTGCCAGAATTTATTGTAGATTGGTTGATTTTCGAGCCTTGAAAGCGGGGTACAGGTGCTTAGTATTAAATGCGGCGTTTTTAAAAGCAGCTGAAGAGGATGCGAGCCCGTGGGATACCGAGAGATTTGTCGATGTTGACGAGTATAATAAGAGCCCATCCTGCCTCGATATATCGATCATTATATCAACAATTCAAAGACTCACTTCATACACACTAGTCCAACATTACTAAAGGCTCCATCCAACGTGACAACTACTACTATCGCCGAATTAGTGAGTCTCCTCACGCTACCACCACGGCCTTCCGCTCCAATTCCTTACCAAATTACCAGCGGTACCGTGGCATTGTTTCAAGGAGCTGCATGGAACTCTGTGAGGACCGATTTGATTATCGACGACTATATTCCCAATCAGCGTCATGTAGTTCCGGCCTCTCAATATGATCAAACGTCTTGGATTTTGCATAATTTGCCACTCGGTACTGTCATGACATTCCTTGCTGCAATGAAAACAAGTGGTCCAATCGCAGATCAAAGTGATGCGTTTACATGTATTGATTTGGTTGGAACTGGGAAGACCGAAGCAGTTGATCTTATCCCGACCGGCATAAACGACCAAATTTCGATGTTTTTCTGGAGAACAGTTGATCTTAATATGGGAGCCATTGAGTTATTTGACGCTTTCGATTTCACTGGTAGATGTTCAACCATATTTCTCAGTGAGTGGCCTGCCGATACTGTTCACTCGATTATGCGCTGGCAGTTGCAAGACGCCATTAGCTCAATTCGATGGAGGACATTAAAAGATCGGCAAACGGCTGTGCTATTTGATGGAGCAGATGGTACTGGGACGGCATATAGCAATATCAAAGGCTGGGGTACCACTAAAGAAGTTGCCAAACTCACGGATATTCGCCTAAATGATGTAGTAAGCTCTTTCAAATGGCAGAGTATCAACCCCATGAAAGAAATCATCGAGCCTTTCAGAATCATGGCTTCGAACTCATCAGATGAGGGAGGACTCACTTCTGAAATCATTGGGACAAATAGTAGCACCGAACCACAACCGGTCACAGTGACTCTCAATAACTCCACTGCTCAGTCTGTTACTATCGAGACCTCCGATCAACATGTCGCCGGCATCTCGACATCCTTCACCCAGACAGCTACTGCAGGTGTTGAAGGGGTAGCTTCCACTTCGACCCAGTGGACCGTGGCAGTCAATTACTCCTATACAAGGACTGATACCACATCTAAAACTCAGACTAAAACAGTCGATCTCACGATTTCGCAGACCGTTAATGCGCCGCCGATGAGTAGCTATGTCGCTACCTTGCTGGTGACTATTGGGCAATTACCTCCCACGGAATATTTCACTACTGCTCAGCGTTGGTACAAGGACCCTGTTGCTGGATCTCAAGCAGATCCTCAGAATAATGGCTGGTATAAGAGGGTTGAGGATGTGAGACTTAGCCTTACAGGTAGTTTGGCATGCAGAACTCTGGTAAATATCAAAGCCACACCGCTTTGAAACTTTCTGATCCAATCATCTTGAGTCCATCATTTATCTTTCGCTTGGTTACGTTTGTGGTCTCAATGGGTCGAGGTTTTGAAGTATTTGGGCGAGTAATCTTCGTATGTAGCCTCTTCGTAGGAGAAAAAACAGGCCGCAATTGACCACTAGCAAAGCTCTTCAACAATCCAATTTTTCCATTCCAATTCAAAGAATTGAATGTTTAAATGACTTTCTGAAATGAAGATTGTTCAAAGAATTAATAACTTTTGTGATTTTATTATCGGTTGATTTGTTATAGAATTTATTGGGACGATCAAGTTTGGCCTCTGTTTTCTACGTAACCTTATCGCCAAGGAGGGTGGGATTTTGCGGTGGGGGTAGCTTACATAATCGCATTGGACCCAAAGTACCTAGATTGCCTTTACTGTGAAAAGAGGAAGATGTCAATACAAATCCAATACAATCGAAGGGTATTCTCCAACCTGTGAAGGGTCTGAGAACAGAAGCTCCTCTTTTCCAGAAATAACCATTCTTTAAATTCACATGTCAATTGTCGCCCGTTTCCTACTCGCCAGACATCTTTTCGAGGTTCATTGATCCAAGCCACGTCTCAAAAAGAAAAGCCTCAATCTAAATCTAGCCCATGTACAGTGGTGGAGGTTGCTTAGGACCCCTTTCCTAGTGTTCTATGGGTCTTGAAACAACGGCGTGTGTTGATTCGAACGGCAGACAGGTTGAAAATAATGAGAATTTCAACTTTTATCAGATTGATGCCTTTCTTGGCGATAATACCACACTGTGGCGGGATGTCATAGAGATGATTGTTGGACGAACATTCAAGAGGCAAATCAACTCGTAACAACATCGTGAAAGTTTTCACGATCCATCGAGCTATGACTGTACATACGAGTGTATGGGGCCATTCGTAACCTCAACGGGAGATGAACATCCGCATTACTCAACCGCGTATGTCTTACAAAGTCTGATGAAGAGCCAAGCATCATTTCTTATTTCTCATACAAGACCCTTTGCATTCATCAACTCTAATGCCTTGATCGTACAATGGTCCAGAATCAGGGTAAAACAAAACATATCAAACTCGCACGGATGATCTGATGAAGCTCCCGGATCTAGTGATCTGTGCGTTATCTGCCGTGGATGCTTCTCTTAAACAAGCTTTTCTTTCCGTTGTCACCCATGGGGAATATCATATAAGTATTGTTTCTTGAGATCCTTTACTTTGTTGTGGGTTGAACTCGAATTTTTCAATTGTTGTATCCTAGGGTTTGTCGTTCATCGAGTAATTATCATGTCATCACACGAAAGGTAGGTGAACTCCCTGATGTCTTCGATGAAAAACAAGAAATCACGAGATGCATCTTCTTTGGCTAATCAGAGAATCAAACAGGCATCTTTCATCGAGTTCCGTCTCTAGTCAAACCCCATTGAAGAAGACTTATAGTCATGGATCGATATATCAAGGAAACGAAGAATCTCAACCAAAGTTAAAGTTACTTGAAAATCCTCTGGCTCACAATAGAAGAAAATATTCGGTGACCCCTCCAGTTCCGAGTCCTATACATGAGATCTCTGGTCCTATCAATATCGCCCGAAAACAATCTTACGATGAATCGATCGAGAACCAATATGATGATAGGAAAGTCGATCCATTTTCAAAAGATGGTGCCGAGGAAGAAATGTTCGAAACCCCCGAGTTTCGAAGATATGAGGAGACTACGAACATGGAACTTTTCTATGATCTCTTTTTCGTTGCGAATTTGACGACGTTCAACGATGTACATGATATCAATGAGGTTGATGCACTCAAGTCATATGCCGGATTCTTCTGTATCCTTTGGTTCTTGTGGTTACAAGTCAGTCTTTTTGATGTTAGGTTTGTTACGGATAGTATATTAGAGAGAATAGGAAAAGCATGTCAATTTGGTGTGATGATTGGATTGGCAATTGTAGGACCGGACTTTAATTCATCGGACCAAAAGCCTGGTGCTTTTCGTTCACTGGCAATCATCTTGATGTTTTCGCGACTGGTTTTGAGCTTTCAATATTCTGTTATATTGGTATGTTTCTCGTGTTCTTCGGGAGAAATCTTTCATTACTAATGAGTATTCAGTATCACGTTTGGTATTATAAAAATTCAAAATTACCACTCTTTCTTGTTGTTGTGACCAATGTCATAGCTGCACTAGTATATTTTGGCACTTCTTGTATGTTTTCCGATATTCAAATTGGCATTAAGCTAATGATTTTCAAGTGGATTCTCGGAAGAAACATCCAAGACTGGCAAAGTATTCATTGTTTGGTATGTCACAGCTGTCTTAGAAACTGCCGTCAACATTGCTATATCGTCGAAGTGGAAAGTCCTGAGCTTTAGAGGATCTCATCTTGTCCAAAGAATGACTCTACTCACTTTGATTATTTGTAAGTAGATGATCTTAAGGTCCAGGCGAGTCGTCACTAATCCCGTTGCAGTGGGTGAAGGTATAATTGGAATTAGCAAAAGTATTGCAGATGTAGGTCTCTCTAACTTCTTGATTATTGCCTATTCAATATTGACTATATATAGATTGCAGAACAAGAGGAGAAATGGACCGCACCTCTCATTCTCACTATTGTATCAGCGGTTGGAATAATTGTATGTATTAAGTTCTCACTCATTTTTGACACAACTACTAACAATACCATTTAGTATTTCCTCTACATGCTTTATTTTGACTGGCTTAACCGATCTCAATTCGGTTCCATTCGTCAACAAATATGGGCATTTCTCCATTTCCCATTCCATCTTGCACTAGTGTTCCTCGCTGAAGGTGCTGCCCAATTCATCAGATGGCGAAAAGTAGTTGAGGTCATCAAGTAAGCTATACAATCAGTCTATCGTACACTGTAGACTTTCAGATACTAATATCCCAATAGCCAAGTCAGCAAACAATACGTGAATCAATTCAAGAAAATCCCCGCTGTCGATAGTCTCGATCTCAGAATACGCTTAGCGAACATCACTCAAAGAATCTTCGAGAAATTCCCCCCAGAATTCACACAAACTTTTACAGACACCCAAAAGGCTTTATTCAATATTGGTAATACGACTCTGGGGTCCACAGAACAATTGGGAAATATCACGACACTATTTTCCACAGTCCAGGATTCTCTATTCGATAATTTCGGAATCGATCCACCGGAAAGTGATAACGCGATTACGGATCCTAATGAAGAATGGAATGAAAATCTTGGAGTTCTCGCTCTTGTGGTACGCAATCAACAGTTTCCCCCCCCCCCCCCCCCCCCCATACTCCTCCCCCCCTTTTACTCCCCCCCTCCACCCCTCCATACCCCCCACCCCACACTAACTTTTTATGATCAAAACAGTTCACCTACTTCTTTCCTCGCGTCCCGGCCTCACCCTCATTCTCATGAACATTCTCCACGCACTCAGTCGACCCCACATGACGCGTGCAGATAAACTTCGCAGCGTGGTCAACTTCATTCTTTCAATCATATTACTCGGACTCGCGGGTATATCGAATACCGATGCGGGATTTGCATTTGCGCAAAGTGCGGGGGTTTTGCCGAGTGTGGCGGGAGTGTATTTTTTTGGTATGTTTTTTTTTTGGAATTTGTGTTGTGATTTGGGGTGGAGTGGATGATGAGATGAGATGATGAGATGAGGAGATGAGGAGATGAGGAGATGAGGAGATGAGGAGATGAGGAGATGAGGAGAGATGAGGAGATGAGGAGATGAGAGATGAGGAGATGAGGAGATGAGGAGATGAGGAGATGAGGAGATGAGGAGATGAGGAGAGGAAAACGAATTGTACTACTTTCGGTGTGATAGTTATGTTGTTAGGATATACGAAATTGCTTTGGTGATATACATGTGTATATGTCAAGAGTTAGTAGATTTTATAGGAAAGAACAGAACCGAGGAGGAAAGAACATAGGACATGGAGATAGCGATGGAGTATAGTAATAAATTAATGAAAGAATATCATCTGATGTATTGAAACTAGATAAAGAGAGTAATGAATGAATGAATAAATAGCTTTTAATAAAGTTAGCCATTAAAGCTCATTAACTCACTCTACTATCTATTCATTCGTTTACTGATGAGGATAGAACAATGTTGATATATTGATATGAATCACTTCTTGCAATTTATAATTGTTTTTCGAGGTTGGAAAGATTGTATGGGTTGTGAAGGTTGTATAGAGTCTTGTATAACATTTCTCATACAGACTATAGGTATAGGTATAGATAGATCATCTCATCTTATCTCATCAATCTCATATCCAATCTCATCACAACAATCTCATATCTCATATCTCATCCCATCCATCCCACCCATCAAACAAAGAAAAATCATCCCATCCATCACCCATCACCCATCATTCACCAATGCAATCCACAAATCTCTTCCAAACAACCAATCAATCAATCAACCAAATCCCAAAAAAAACCCCAAAAACACCCATCCATCCCTCGAAACCCAACCCACAATTCCCATGATATAGATATATAGATATATAAGAACTCAGCAAACCCAAGCCCACCCACGCAAGCAAGCAACAAACAAATAGGTAACAAAGCGAGTGAAAGCTAACCACGGAGTATATATAAACCAACCACAAACCCACGAGCAAAGAAACCCAACAAGCAAAAAAAAATAAAAAATAAAAATAGAAACTCCAAGCCATCCATCCTATCCCAATCCGCCAAGTCCCCCGCATCACCATTCCACAATCTCATAGCTTCGCGAGCTTCGCGAGCTTCGCTGTCAAAGTGGATCCGCCCTCTCCACTCGCCCCGCCCAACATTCCAGACCGAGTAGACAATCGTGTTCATATAACCAACACACTGCGCGACATCTCGACTCCCATCTCCCTCTGCTCTCATTTTCAATTTCCCCTTCTCTCACCATCTCCGCACTCCTCACTTCTCCGCAACAACTCTACACAATTCTCCCAAAACCCCTCTGAATTTCCCTCTCCAGATCTTCCTCTCAGAATGCACTCTCTCATCCTCTCCCTGCCACATCATCTCAAACCTCTCTTTCAGCGTCCCGAAACTTCGATCCGGAAGAACACTAAACTCAACTTCCTCCAAAACCAACTCACGAACCGGGATGCGCGAAACCATAATCTCAGACATCGCTTCATTTTCCTCATCATCCTCATCGTCATTGTGAGCCGAACGAAGGGCCGAGATAGAAGCATGGATATCACGATCTGATTTTCTCAAAGCCGTGAAAGAAGCTGGAGAATCAAAAGTTGAAGACCGAGCAAGACGTCTAGGCTGCTCATCCTTTGCGTCTACAGATCCGAAATCGAAAGTGGAAGATCTTTCGAATCTCTTAGGACGAGGAGGAAGCGCTGGCGGCAAATCTCTCACTTCATCTCTTACCTCTTCGTGAGATGGAGATTGAGGTTGAGCTTGTGCTTGAGCGTTCATCTCAGCTTCAATCTGCGCCTGCATTTCGCGTTCCATTTCCTGCTCCATTTCACGTTCCATCTCTCGTTCCATTTGCGCTTGAATTTGTGCTTGCAATTGCGCATCCGTGAATTCGACGCGGAGAGAGGAGCTAGGACTTTGATTTGCGGTATCATTGGCGGTGGTGGGGGAGAGATCGAAAGTTTGGGGGTTAGGGAGTGGAGCGACGACGGGGAGGAGGGGAGAGGTAGCGGGGGAAGATTCTGCTTGTGGCTTGCTGACCACTGTAAAATCTTCATTTGAGACAACGGGAGCAGGAGTTGCGGAAACAGGATTCTCCACATGAACAAATTCATCATGTGCAGCTTCCACTTCCGGTTCCTCACGAGGAGCTCTCCCAACCAAAGTCTTATTCTTACTTTCCGCGATTTTCTTTCCCCCATTCTCCCGAACATCCTTTACTACAGCTCCCACCAACTTTCTAATCTCTCCACTAGCGCCTTTAGCCTGCTCAGCCAAAACGGCCTTTCCAGCCCTAACATCCCAGATATTGACTGCCCTCTTCCCCTCATGTTTGCGTCTCCGTTCATCAGTACACTTCAACTCATTCCTGAGTTGATATTCCAACTCCGGTAATGTAAATGCTATTTCATGAATGCCTCCACTCTCATCTCCGTTCGCAAGCAACGGTTTCGAGTCCGAATGTTGCGAATGTGCTCGTCCATTAATCTGATAAGGTGGTCTCAACCACGCATCCATCAGATTCGTTGCACTATACAGTAACGAAAAGGTACTTTGTTCCTCTACTTGTTTAAGAACTCCCCTTCTAATCCCCTCTCGGAATTGATTTCTTTCTCCTCTTCTTCCTCTCCCCTGTCCAATTCCCCAATTACTCAAACCCCACTTTGGTGGGTTTTGAATGGGAATATTGAAATCCGTTTCATCGTGTCCAAACACAAGATCGAATTTCGCATTTGGAACGATCCAGAAAACGGTTCGTTGTGTATAACGTGATAGTGGAGAAGATTTCCAATGAAGTGTTAAATCACCCGTCATGGAATCCGGATCCGAAATCTCTCGACCACGGATTTCTTCTCCGATTCCAAAACCCATTCCGATTCCAGTACCGGTTCCCATTCCTTCGAGATCCCGTTCTCGCTCTGTTTCAGAAGATGCATCTTCTGGTTCTTCCGACATTCCTTCCGGTTCTTCAGTCAGAATTGTTGGAATATTTGTAATGGACGGAGTTACAGGATGTGAATTTAGTGCTTCGAAAATACTAGGATTGCCCTCCGTTTGTGTATGCAATATTTGAGGTCTTTGTGGTGTTCTCGGTGGCGTATCAACAACCATCGCCCCAAATGTGGCTCCCGGTCTTGGCGAGAAAGGATTTAGGTTAGCATCTGGAAATAACGGACTAGTTAAATTCGATCTTGAGATGGCTTCTGGTGTCGGTTCCAAGAGAGAGAAAATGGGAGGAGCTTGAGCATTGGAAGGCACGAGAGTAGCAGTTGTGGAAGTTCTTCTGGGTGGGATTCTAGGTGGAAGAGCTGGAGTTGTAGATGTAGAAGGAGGTGTATCTTCTATAGTACTTTCTCTACCTAACGGCGAAAATATTCTTCGTGAAAGCGGTTCTGTCCTTGATCTTTGAAGGGGCTTAATTTCAGCAACTGGTGCGGTTTGAGATCTTGCTAGATGCTTTGGCTTAAAAGGGATTTTTGGTTTCGATACAGATTTTGAGCGTGGTTTGGCTTCACGATCGGCATCTGGTTTTAAACCAAGGGAGAAGGCGAATCGGGAAGAAATGTAGTTGTAATCCAGGGATTCATTGTAGTAAGCCTGGGTATCGAATTCTGTAAATTCCGGAGTAAGATTGGCGCTGGCTGTAGTTGCAGATTTTGGTGATGGCATAATTTTGATGGGGAAAGTGTAAGTTGTCTGGGGATTTGTTAACATTTGCATCGGAAATGATAGTTTGGTCGAAGAGCTGATGTTAAAAAGAATTGGTGAACGAGGGGTACCCAAACTTACTTTTTCTCCTGTCATTCTTTGGTCTCTCAGTTCGTTCATTGGTAGCAGTACCAGTCTGAGGATGATCGGTATCCATCGTACCATAAGCCAAATTATCGTCGTTCCTCATATCGGAAGAATTGGAAAGCTTCGCTTTACCACTCGACTTTCGAAGAACTTTGGAAGAAGAAGGCAGACAGTTGAATATATTACAACAGGACATGAATACCTTTCCGCCTTTCCGCCAAGTTAAAAATAGGTACGAGACCAAAAAGCGGTGTTGATAATGTGATAGTGGCAAAAGGAACCAACTAACCAAGCTGTCCAGCAGCTAGAATAAAACCGAGGGGGCGGGGGGGGGAAGAGTATCGGTAAGGAAATGCAGGGAAAAAGTTAAGAATATAAAGGCGTAGTGCGTGCAGCCCTTCAATATGTAATGATATTGACGATATATGAACACACTTCTCACACTTGAATATGAAAAATATCGAAGATATGAAGATATGAAGCTTGAAACAATCTGCAAGCACAAGAAAAGGAAAGATATGCGGTGAAATATATTCATATTCCCACTTCACAACGATTGAGCTTATCGAGTATCCAAACAAATGCGGCAGAATTCTAAACAATTCCATTTTTTAATAATATCCAACTCCATCTCTTTTCCCATTTTCACATCGGAAAACGAGGCTTGGATTTGATTCGATAAAAATGGGGACGCTTGGAAATGTTCCCATTTTCACCTGACGTGGTTCCTATCACCACCATCCCGCAAATGAAATTCACAAGCAAACAAAGGACTCTGCAAAGCGAAAGGTAAGCGGATCAACCATCAAAAACTTGCCAGCGAAACTTCTCGCCTCACGATGAAACACGAGAGTCTACTCCGTTAAAAAAGCCTAGAGTGGAGCATCTTCTTACCTACATAACTCGATTATGACATTTGACCGTTTGGGTGGTAAGAGTTGGATGATGTGAATAATAATGAAGAGTCAATGAGGAGTCAACGAGGAGTCATAATTGGAAAAATCCGGTAAATGGACAAAATTATCCATCGTTTCGAGCAAAGAACCCGCCCAGATGCATGAATTTGCTGTACTTTATGGACTAGTCCCGTACAAAGTATGTTGGAGCTTTGATTAGCTGCAGCTGAAGAATCTTCGCTGCAGCTTATTGCTGGCTCGTTAGGTTAAGACTCGGTTAGGCTTTGGCTTAATTATGGAGATGGCATCGGATCCTCAAATAACGGTGAGAGAGGCTGGCTGCAAACCTGCGTAATGGTTGCGATACGGATCGCCTGCTCCCCGTACCGTTGCTTGCCCCTTGTACATGCATTACAGAGTGTGTACGGACTCCGGAGTACATCGTGGATTCATCGCACTCTCACATCGTACCGCATCGAGTGCCAATGAATGAGAGGATTGCAAATAAGTACCCCAGACCCCCTTCGAGAGCTTGTACAAGTGACTCGCGAGATTAAGGAACGACCAACACAACAAATGGTCACCATAGCTAAGCTAATCAGTAGCTGTGTTTCGAAACTCCTATCACGCTTCCGAACCTCGGTATCTCGATGCTCGAATCCAGCGATGATCATGGACATGATAATACATGATAAGACATGAACATCACATGAACACCACAGGTGTTGGCTCTCCTGTTGGCTCGTATAGTTCGTGAGATGTGGAACTGAGGAAGCAACCCAAGTAAAGATAGAGTAACACTCCGTACTTGGACGAGTATTCATTGCCCACGTCAGTCATTTGGTTGTTGGTTGATTTCCCCAGTTTGCCTGGGTACCCACGAGGACTGGAGAATCTATGAAAAGTATACTAGTTCTAAGCAATTGAGTTGATGGAGTGTTTCAAGTATGTATGATGTGAAGATCGAAGAGAGGGGTAGCAATTTTGGTGCATGCCTCTGATCATGTTGTTGCTCTAGTTTTAGTACAAATAATATGTAGAGCAGATAGAATTGACGTAGTGTCATGATATAGAAGCATGTGATGATAGTCAACGAAAATTATATGGGATTCAAGGACTTAGTTATTGTAGAGTGGTGAGAGGCATCCAATTATGAGGTATTGGATATCGTCATTTCAAGCAGATGAATGTAGCTTCCTTGTAATAGATCGGTAGGTGCATGTTAGAAGTCCTGATCGAGAGATTGAGTGTTCAGATAAAGACAGCACCTACCTGTTCATCACACAGAAGATACACGGCCTACTGTAGGGTGAAGTGAGAATGTATGCAGATTGAGACCTCTTTATGTATGATGCTCTTTTTCACCAACTTCACAATTGATGGCACCAAACAGCACTATTGCGTTATGAATAAATGACCGGTCCCGGAAACGAAACTTAAAAAGGGCAATATTTTCCGTGATATCTTGTATTTTAATGCAGGGAAGAATTGCATTGTTATAAATATGGTGAGATCTCTCAACTAACCCCCCAATCTATCTTCGTATAATGCTATTGCGCACACACAAAAATCATAGAAGTGATATTTATCTGATCCGCCCCAGCTTGCCATTGTACAAAGTGTTGAAGTCCCAATTTCCAGATGTGGTATCTTGTCAGTCCAGTCCACCCCAGTCCAGCCCATAACGCCGTGGTCTTTACTATGAATCCATTCATAGAAGTCCCTCCATTGTCGCTGTCCATTTAACAAACCCTGATATAATATACCCCAAGACCTCTTTCAACGAAGCCATCAATTCCTCTTGGGTTTCTTTCCCAGTTTGTTCGCCGTCAGTAAACTTGATCGCTATAGGAAATGTACCGTTTTTAGGTGGCTTTCGACCGGGCAGGCTCGTGGTGCTAATTGAGGTTCGACAAACCGGGCATGATTTCCTGCCGTTATTCCCTGCGTGTAATGCTGAGTGAAGACACCTCGGAACAGAAGAGATGGCCTATATGATATTAGAAGTGCTAGAACCGAACTTTGTGAAGGAACATACCACAATGTGTACCGTCAGATCCGTCGGATTATCAATACATATGATACACTGGAACTCTACCAATTTGGACCCGGTTTTGTTTGCTTCATCTTGGTTTGTTGTTTGATCAAGTCTTCTTGTCTTTTCGCCTTCGCGGCTTCATATTCTTGTAGATTTGAAATTCTCGCAGAGATCAACCACTTCGATATCTTCCTCGGGTTTTGTTTCTGATGGTGAAAAGCTTGCGACGTTTTTGCAGATGTAGACTTTGAGAGACTTGGCTTTCGTCGTTGTGGGGATTTCGGTCTGGTGAGTGTAGCTGGGCGTAAACTGGTGCCGCTAAGAGCTCTGCGTCTTTCTGGCGGGGGAACCATAGCTGGTGATGATTCAGTAAGATCAACTACACCGTAACTATCGGAAACTCGACTGGGTATTTGTGGTGGCGATGCAAATGGATCGTCAATCTCTTCGTCGTTTTCGTTGTCTTGTGAAAGAAAAGTGTCCCAGTCGAAATTTGCTAAAGCCTCGGCGTCGTCGTCATAAAAGGAAGACCCTCTTCCTGGTTGTGAGGATGGTCGTGAATTTTGTCGACCCACTTGATTTGATGGTGGTGGAGGTGGTGATCGATACCGGACGGTTTCGTCAAAAGGATCAAAAGAAAAAAGATCGGGGGGAGATGAGCTCCGAGAGCGTTTTGTGCGGTTTTCACCAGGTCTTGAATTTGAATTAGTGGTTGTTGTAGAGGCGGATACGGCTCCAAGTATCATTGCCGATGCATTGCTCCTTGAATCGAGACGGTGAGAGGATTGTTCTGGCTGTGATTGTCCTGTATGGGAATCTGATACAAAAAGTGGTGATGATGATATTGCAGGTAGCTCCAATCTGTTCTCGGGATTTGGCCGACTGATTGGAGGTAAAGTTAGAGATTCAATGTCCTCTCCTCTACCAGCCAAAGATTCGTTGTTCCATAGTGAACGGTTGTTTGAGTTTGCGTTGGCGGTCGATGCCGAATTTGGATTTCTATTGTTGTCGTTGTTGTAATGGGGTGAATATGGATAGCCTGAGGTCATTTTGGTATGGAAGTAAAATTACTGAAAGATGATAGCATGAGCACTCCGTAGATTCAAGAACAGTAGAATAATAGTTTCTTCTCATCTCATTCATACATAAGATAAACAATGAAACCCAATCAATGTGCCAACTTTTGTGCGATGCGAAATGGAATGAGAGAGTATTGACAGTATAGAAAGTACCTAGGTGGATAGGTACCGTATAGAAAGGTCTGAAGTCAAAAGATAGAAAGGAGAATCGAGTACCGTCCTTAGGTATCTAGTACTAGGTAATCTATATTTCGTCTGACCGCAACAAAGTTTCAAGGGAGTTGGAGTGAGGCTGATGAGAGTGACAGCGAGAGTACGAGAGAGATTGAGAGTAAGGTTGGAAATGAATGGGTTGCTTTGCTGTCGATGTTGTTGTTGTTGTTGTCGTTGTCGCTGTCGCTGTCGTTGTCGTTTTATTTTCCCCTTATACTCTGGGCGAGGGTCAAATTCAATCTACCTAAGAACTGGGCGCTGTACAGTATTAACACCTATACGTCGTGTTTGTACTTGTGTGTGTCTCTATGATGAATTTCGTTGATTAGTTTAATGAATGTTACACTATCCGAATCATACGAGTAGCAATGGGCAAAGCCCGAAGAAAAGTATAAAGTTTCATACGAACGGGAAGAAAGAACGGAAGAAAGAAAGAAAGAAAGAAACTCAGGACAATATTGCTGCCGGTGGAACACTTATGAAAGATTGATACAAATGCCACTCCTCTCTGGAAGCGTCTTATTGTTGTTAATATGATCAATGACGGCAATATTTCCCCTTCCTTACTGGTAGGTAGCTGATGATAAAACTCCGAATTTCTGTCTTATCTGAACAGGTCAGATTGAAAGAAAAAGATCCTCGGGAGCGAAAGAAGTTATCGATAAGGAAGTTTTGGCACGATATTAGTCAGCGAAAGGCTGAAAAATTTCAGCCTTGCAAGGACTTCCAAGGTTACCTAGTAGGTTAGGGGGGTCGCTACCTATACTGGTATAATACTGTATTTATTGTAATGTCCAGCCTTGCGTTTAATTTTATTGAAAAATATTATCTAGAAATCATGCTCAATAAATCCTTAGCAAGTGCCACACCACAAGTGGGTAAAAGGAAACAAGAGAACTCGAAAGAATACGTACTGACATACGATAATAGTATATACTTAATATGAGTTGATTACCAACCATATTTGATTGGTAACCCAAAGTCGATTCCAGGTTTCCATCAGCCTCGTTAAGCCACACGAGGCTACACATCAAAGCCTTGTCTACCTGGTCCATCACCGGTATCCTTATCATCAATTGGCCACCCCCCGCCCGAAAAAAAATAACCCTACACTTTGGGAGGCTTGACAGGACGTCACTTATCAATCAATTCGTTTTCGTCTCCTGTTGCTTGACATTTTGATATTCATACCTATCTACCGACTAAGTATGTACCAGTAAATTGGTCAAGATAATGATTTAATAAGATTTCTTTTCATATTATGTTTCTTTCGTTCCGCGTTGGTCGTGCAAGTAGACCAAGCGCAAGCTTCATTCGTCTTGCAAAATATCGAGCTCGTAAACCTCAAGATACCTCAATATCTTGGGCGCGATGGCGAACATATGCCACGGAATCAAATGGATCAACACATGATTCGGCACAAGAGCCGATGCAAGTGTTGGCCGAAGTAGAAGATCAATTCAGTATGTAGAAGAAAAACTTCGATAATTAATTTGAAAGTCAGCTAAGCAAAAAGTAGAAGACCCCAGAGCAACCTCGATTCAATGAGATAGGAATTCAACAAATAAGTACTCATATATACAATCAAGTATTTAAGGACATCCAATCCCTTCCCTCTCAAGAGCTCATAGATCTTTCAAAAGATCATCTGCAGAGGCACGAATTACTTGGAAAGAATACGGACAATACTCCTCCGATATCTTTCGATCTTCCCGAGCTACAAGGTGATACACTCGATGAGCATTTCTATAAACTGGGCGTAGATGCTTCCGAACCATACATGACATTTGCGAAGCAATTTGTTAAGACGGAAACTCCACCTCGGCCGCTCAGATGGTCACGTCAAAGTGGATGGACGAGGTACAAAGACGACGGCACGCCTGAAGCGGTACTTGCCCCAGATGAAGAAATGTTATGTTTTGACACGGAAGTGATGTGGAAAGAAAGTTCATTTGCTGTCATGGCGTGTGCTGTTAGTCCTACAAATTGGTATTCTTGGTTATCGCCGTGGCTGTTGGGGGAGACTGATAATGATCGTCAATTGATACCTCTCGGAGATGCAAAGAAACCACGAATTATCGTGGGGCATAATATTGGTTACGATCGAGCCAGGGTAGCCGAGGAATACGACATCAATCAATCGAAGAACTGTTTCTTGGATACTATGTCATTACATGTTGCCGTCAATGGAATGTGTTCACGTCAAAGACCGACTTGGATGAAACATCGAAAGGATCGGGAATTACGCGAAAAGATCGCTGGGGAGACCGACAGTGCAGAATTAGCAGCCTTGCTGGGCCACAAGTCTATTTCGGAAGAGGAAGAAGCAGAATTATGGATAGGCAGAAGCTCCGTCAATTCATTAAGAGATGTCGCAAAATTTCATCTCAATGTCACAATCGACAAAGCAGCAAGGGATTCATTTGGTGAATGTGACCGGGAAGGAATCATGGCAAAACTAGATGAACTTCTTCATTATTGTGCAGCGGATGTTGACATTACCCATAGAGTTTACAAAAGAGTGTTTCCCAATTTTGTCGAGACATGCCCACATCCAGTCAGCTTTGCAGCATTGAGACATCTCTCATCGGTCATACTTCCAATTGATAGATCGTGGGAATCTTATGTCGCCAATGCCGAAGCTACCTATCACAAGTTGTCTGATGCAGTACAAGAACGACTTCTTGCTTTGAAAGATAAAGCGTTAGAGATGAAAGATGATCCTGAGTCATGGAAGAATGACGCTTGGCTAAAACAACTCGATTGGACTATTCAAGAGGTCAAAATGGTGAAGGGGAAAACAAAAAAGGATCCACCAAGACCAGCTATAAGACAGAAGATGCCTGGTATGCCTCAATGGTATAAAGATCTCTACCCTAAAGTCACCGGTCCTATTAATTTATCAGTCCGTACTCGAATTGCACCATTACTTCTGCGTTTGGCTTGGGATGGGTATCCATTAGTATGGTCCGACAAATATGGTTGGACTTTTAGAGTTCCTATTGAAGAGGCTCACAATTATAAACAAAAACAAATGCAAGAGTGCAATGCATTCGAAGAAGCTGATGTAGCTCTGCGAAACGATACGTCCGCTGCTTACTTTAAAATTCCGCACAAGGACGGTCCATTGGCTAAATGTGGAAATCCGATGGCGAAAAGTTATGTGCAATACTTCGACAAAGGTATTCTTTCTTCCGAGTATTCATATGCAAGGGAAGCACTTGAGATGAATGCTTCTTGTTCTTATTGGATAAGTGCAAGAAGTCGTATACAGTCTCAGATGACTGTATATGAAAAAGATGGAGCAAAGGGGCCTGCAAAATCGCAATCCGAGTTAGAAACAGGCTATATTCTACCGCAAATAATTCCCATGGGTACCGTGACTCGAAGAGCAGTGGAGAACACATGGCTTACAGCAAGTAATGCCAAAGCGAACCGTGTTGGCTCAGAACTAAAGTCAATGATAAAGGCCCCACCTGGTTATTGCTTCGTTGGTGCAGATGTGGATTCCGAAGAGCTATGGATTGCTAGTCTTGTTGGAGATGCCCAATTCAAACTACATGGAGGTAATGCTGTCGGTTTTATGACTTTAGAGGGTACCAAAGCAGCAGGTACGGATCTCCATTCTCGCACAGCTGGCATTCTCGGTATTACCCGTAACGATGCCAAGGTCTTCAACTATGGTCGAATCTATGGAGCTGGTTTGAAGTTCGCCTCAACTTTACTTCGGCAATTCAATCCTAGTCTCACGGAAGCTGAAACCTCACACACAGCTGGAAACCTGTACAAGGCTACTAAAGGTGTCAAAACCAGCAGAAAGATTCTTTATCCCGGACCTTTTTGGCGTGGAGGAACCGAAAGTTTTGTCTTCAACAAGTTGGAAGAATTTGCAGAGCAAGAAAGGCCACGCACTCCGGTTCTAGGCGCAGGAATAACAGAAGCCCTAATGGCATGTTTCGTTTCCAAAGGCGGTTTTATGACATCACGCATCAATTGGGCAATTCAATCCTCGGGTGTAGATTATTTGCACCTTCTCATCATTTCCATGGATTACATCATTCGTCTCTACAATATCAATGCCCGTCTAGCTATTACTGTTCATGATGAAATCAGATATCTAGTTCAAGATGAAGATAGATATCGTGCTGCATTAGCATTACAAGTATCCAATCTCTGGACTCGAGCTATGTTTTCCCAACAAATGGGAATCAACGATCTACCACAGTCCTGTGCCTATTTTTCCGCAGTCGACATTGATCACGTTTTAAGAAAAGAAGTCGATATGGATTGTATCACACCTTCACATAAGACTGCAATACCTCATGGCGAATCAATAGATATCCAACAACTTCTTCTCCAACCATCCGCCCATCTCGACCCGTCCATCGTCTCCACAGACCCTCCAAATCTCTCCGATATTGCCTACGAACCCCGTATCCCAGTCATGGAATCCCTTCAGAAATCTACAGACTTGATGTTCCTCAAAGCACAAATCACTGCTGACGATCAAGAGCTCAAAGATATCATCAAGGAGAAGAGAAAATTAAATGAGAAGGATGCACCAGCGAAACCGAAGATTTCGAGATGTAATTCCGTGCCTTATCATACTTATGCTCATTTATTGGAAGAACCGATAATGGTTAGCGATGCTTTGAGAGTGGGTAAGGCGTTTGATGCTGCTAAGGGAAAAAACTGGGCGTGGGATGTTAAGGGAAAAGTGGGAGGCACGAGAAGTGGCGCAGGGGTTAGATTCTAGAATCTTGGTTTACTGGATTGGATGGATGGATATCTTTGGATCGTGTAATTGTATCTTGAGACCGTTGTATTTTCTGTGGCTTTCTTCTCTTCTCTTTTCTTTCTTTTGGTGTATGTATGTTTGTATGTTTGTATGTATAGATTTAGATGAACTTTAGGTACTCGGATACTGTGGATATAGGAGTTGGATCGGTTGGTTGGGAAGGAGAGGGGGAAAGAGGGAGGTCCTTGGATTGTGTTGTATGATATGATGGATTTATTTACTCCCTTTTCTTGGTTTCTTGGTGTGAGGTGGTTCGGATTTATTGGGTAGATGCCTATGAATGGATGGATGGATTAGAAAATGGGAAATTCGTGTTTGTGTGTTGGGTAGATGCCTATGAATGGATGGATGGATTAGAAAATGGGAAATTCGTGTTTGTGTGTGTGTGTGTAGTGGATAAATAAAATGTAGCCCTTCTCTTTCTTCTTTTCTTCTTTTGTTAAGGGAAATTGACAAATGAAAATGAAAATAGAGATGAAGATGAAAATGAAGATGAAGATAAAGATAGAGATAGGAATAAAGATGAAGATAAAGATAAAGATAAAGATGATAGGATATTTTTCATTTGTTAGTCTCGCCTCTTGGAATAGGGGTAAAGTGGGTATATTAGATGGATATGTAGGTTTGCTAGGCGAGGGGGCGGGTAAGTGCTTAGGTAGGTTGGCAGATTGAGTAGGTGAGTAGGTTGAGGGGCCCGAGAAGGCGAGGGATCGAAGGGCGGGGAGCTGGGAAGGGAAAAGGAAAGGGGAGGGAAAAGGAAAGGGAAGGGAAAGATAGGAAAAGAACGTCTTGAACAGTGTTTTCTATGTATTTGTGATAGGTTTTTTCTTGATTTGTTGTAGAGGTTGATGGTTGAATATTTGATATTTAATATTTAATATTCTTCAAAATCCTTCCTCTTTTTTTTTTTTTTTTTCTCCCTTTTTTTTGAGTGGTTCGTCTAAGGTTATCGTCTGTGCGTGTGTGTAAGTGGTTTTTTTTTTTGGAGGGGGGGGGGGTTTGTAGCTTTGGGTTTGGGTTTGGATTTATTGATTTAGAGGTTTGTTGATTCGGGGGTTTAATAATTCGGGGATTTGATCGGATTAATCTGATTGAATTTGTTGTTGTTGTTGTTGTTGTTATTGGAAACAGGGTGGAAGGGGGTCGGAATGAGGCTTTGGGGGAAAAGAGGAGAAAGGTGGGGGGAAAGGGAAGAGTTTTAAAATCAAGCGGTGTGGATCTCTATCTGGATTTCAGTCTCAGTTTTAATTATAATTGTGGATAATGGATGGGAGATGGGAGATGGGAGATGGTGGAGTGAAGAGGGTGGAGGGTGAGTTGTAGGTTGTAGGTTTAGGTTGTAGGTTGTAGGTTGTAGGTTGTAGGTTGTAGGTTGTAGGTTGTAGGTTGTAGGTTGTAGAAGTGAAAGTGGAATTGGAATATTGATATGGATAGGAAGTTTCTATTGGTTCTTAAGAGATTGAAGATTGATTGGAGATTGGTTTGCTGGTGGTTAGGCGAAGGTGCGTTTGAAGAGCTAAATCATCCTTTGGGGAGATCTTTTTGAGGTCAGGAGGGGAAAGGGGAGAAACGTGTAGAGATGCATAACCCCGGAATCTTAATCTTGATCTTAATTCAAATCGTGGATGGTGGATTGTAAGTTGTCAGTTGTATGGATGGAATAGAATCTGATTTGAATAGATTGAAATTTTTTGGGGGGTTCACCAGATTGGACATTGATTTTTTGTTGGTGCTGTGGGTTTGGGGAGGGGTGTTTTCTTTTCCCTGGTTCCTTTGATGGATGAGGAGGAAGGGGAAGGACTGTTGTTTGGTTGGTTGATGGGCTGGAGCTGGGATTTGGACGGCAGTGATGAGAATTAGAGATGCCATTTGGGAGGTTGAGGCGGGGACCTGGAAAGCTAGAAATCTGGGATGGTGAGAGGAGGAGTTTTGTAGTGGCGAGATGATGAATTAGTGAGATTGTGGAATAATGGGATTTGAATTTTATACAGCGATTTGATTCTAGATGAAGAGGAGGATTAAAGATGCAAAGAAACTAACTTCGCGGCTCTAACGGATATTTGAGGTTAGTAAAGGAATTAGAAAGTGTGTTTGGGCGTTCTTTGAAGGTTTCTGGGGCGGCTTGCCTGGTTGGGGGTAGATATATACATAGGCGTAGTGCCAGAATTGGAGATTTGGGGAAGATTCTTTTTACTTCCTGGGATGGATGTGATTAGTTTGAGGTGATGGAGGTGATGGAGATGGATGTACTTGTAGATGGTTTTGGGCTGTGGAAGTGCATCTGGTGATGACTAGGTATGCACAGTATATTAAGTAAGTTCAATGGATTTTGTATGTATATCCTGGCGTGCGTTATATACACTGGCAGCGCTTGTTTTGTAAAATCTTATTATCTTTCTCTCCAAACCCCTTCGAAAATATTAAAGGGCCCCAACGCACGACATCAATATCGAGGACATACGACTGCACGCGTAGTTTTAGAGCCCTTCTGCCCCCATTTCAGGGTACACGATTATCTGATATCGACAGACCGAATTCCACATGCAAATGCTACTATATTCACTCGTTTCACTGTCTGAGGTATGATTTGAGTACAAAGCTCATTATTTTCAGGGAAGTACACTAACTGCAATACTGTCATGTCCTGCATAATATTCCACTCTCTTCCGGACCTCAATCAGATGAGCTCCACCTCAGGGCATAAGTCCCTCTTACAAATGGTAAACTTTCTGAAGAAACCCCCCCCTCCCAAAGCAATTCGTCCTATCATTTTATCTCCGAATCCTCCCCAACTGGTACTTGCGGCTTTTCTGACAAAGGCTTGTGCAACCAAACTTTCGCTGGCATCCATGGTCGTGGAGTTTCATAATCTACACAGTCGTTCAAGCCATATGCCACAACACCGGGGTACAATACCAAACTGATAGGTTCGCCTGTTAGCGTATTTTCGATATCTTCTTGCACGCTAACGTGGAGAGCCATCTGGATGTCATCGATGTGGAAGAAAGAGTTCAAATCCTTGCGCGTGACTATTTTGAGCATTGATCGTCGAGTCCAGATATGGTAGGCTAGACCAGCGGCCTTCTGGTAGATCTTTTGAAGCCTGGCCGTTAGTTCTGGGGTTTCAACGAAGAAGCACCGAGCCGGGCTGTTGAAGAAACTCTCTGCTTGAATGTTTGCTCTATCATTAAGTAAAGGTGGTATCTTGAGTCTGACAGCCTCAGCTTTGTCATTTTTCGAAGCCTCCGGGGACAATAGCCTCATTGTATCAGAGCGCCATCTATGGCATCTGCAATATTCCCTACACTTGTTAGCTTGCTCGTCTAATATAGAGTAAACATGCATACATGACAATCCCTTCTCATAAATAAAATCCAAGCTCGTTGATTCATCTCCGAGAAAAGAGAATGGCGACGAGAAAACATCCGTGAAAAGATGGTGAGCAAGAAGGGCTTCGAGCAAGAATTTTTTAGCCCGTTTCTGAGGTAGTCCCTCAGGGAGTACATCGTTTTTGAAGACCATCACTTTCGATAGCTCTTCCCTCAATGCATCTTTGGCCTGATATTCTCCTTGAAATAATTCAGATAAATCATCAAGCCGAGAGTCGTCACTGGTTGCACTCCGTACCCATTTGCTCATTTCCGCCTGGAATACGAAAATTTCATGGGCAACGGCATCATGGTCGACAGGGAGCCATGTCTCCGCTCTCGATGACTTGAAGGCCATCTCTTGGAGGGCTAGTACAGCTTGATTGCATTCTTTTCTGTCCTGCTGACTTCTCTGCTGGAGTTCTGACTCGTGTTCCTTTAGGTCGACTATCTCCTTCTTCAGTGTTCGAAGCTCTTCATAACTTTGGTGCACCTCGTCTTCTAATCGTTTCAAATTTCGGCCGCTAGCCATTGGAAAATCATGAGACTGGGTTGATTTTGAGACATAAATCGCGTTAGGCAATGGCTCTCTAGGTAGAACGCTTGTTGGTGGGGTTCGGACCCTATTTTGATCAATGTCGTGATCCGTGTGAGATAATAGGGGGGTAGCTTGAGCGTTCAGGGTAGATGGCAAATTTCCTTCGAGCTTGCCAGGATGTGTAGCATGTATAGAACAGACATCTGCCATGATAGAGTCGCATTTTCCAACGCCTGTATGCCTTTCAACCTCAACAAATGGTGAGACATCATGACCTATGAATGCAGGTGCAGGTGGCCTGTTTCCTGAGTTCGCAGAGATCGAAGATGTGGTTTTCTTCAGGGAAGGTCTATCCGAAAGAACTTCTGAACAAGGATTCATTGCCTCAGTGAACCCAACGCGCAAATCTTCTACATGATCTACCACAGAACATTCTCCATCCTTAGTTTTGTATTTGGAAGGACAGGTACTGTGGGGTTTGAAGCGGGCGGTCATCAGTCGAACCCTGCTAGAAATTGAGGATTTCCTGAACGGCCAAGAACTGTTCTGTCGCTTTTCATGGCATGATATCGTCCTCCGTTTGGGGTAGATGTAATCTTTTCGATTTTCACTCTTCATTTTGAGGATGAACTGGTGAAAACTGGCTTGAAGTCCCATATTTTGCGATTTTCTCTTTTAAGTTAAAAACTTGAGGAACATGTGTAGCATTTATGGCAGTCAGATAATTTCAGTACTGTTCTTTTCCAATTGAAGTTACCGATACAATTCGACGGGTTGTGTGGAATTTTCGCCAACCGTCAAGGTAGCAGTAGAATTGTTTCATAGTATGCGGCCTTCAGAGACATTCCACTGTGCGTGGCAAGCTTTGGAACTCTCTGTTTTGGAATATGCGAGATCCGTCATTTGTGCAAAACATACGCGTTGGTATAACTTAATAAGTTAATTCTCATTCCCCCCAGAAATGAGTGCATCAGACATCCTGAACTCCCATATCAACGCAACACCAACGCCAGCGCAAGACTCACGTAATGACATCTCAACTTCCTGGTGATATTTTGGGTCCCAACATAGCAGTTGCTACAGGGTTACCGCCACGCCATAAAATCATTGTCGCTATAGATTTTGGAACTACATTTCTGGTGTGTATTATGACCAAATTTTTCCCTCCTTGCTCATACGTGTCTAGGTATTATTTATGGCCTTAGCACCCAAGAAATTGGCGATGAACTTAGCATTGTGCCTCTTTGCTCCCATCACAAAACCGAAAAGCAGAAGATCCCATCCAGGATTGCATATGCGAGAGAAAATCCAAGCCTCCTTAAATCAGACAAATGGGGCTTCGACGTGGGACCAAAACTGATGTCATGTTCTTGGACGAAGCTCCTTCTAGACAAGAATGCTGTCTTTGGCGAGGACGACGATATAATCTCAAAGATAGTCATCGATGAAGGAATGATGCACTTGCCACCACACCGAGACTGCAAAGGTGTCTGCGAGGACTTTCTCCATGAGTTGTATGTTGCCTTTGCTGGACATGTCGAAAGAACGCTTGGAGTGGACGCCTTCAGAATGTCGCCAATAGACTGCTGGATTAGTTTGCCAGCCATCTGGTCTGATGAGGCAAAGCATGCCACCTTGGACGCTGCCAGGAAGGCTGGATTTGCAGCAAACCCAATGGATGAGGTACACACAATTGCGGAACCGGAAGCGGCAGCGATTGCAACTTTGAGAGAGCTAGCTGCACCAGGAACTCTCAATGCTGTGCAGGTAAGCTATTGCAGCATTTCAAATAATTAATTAAATGCTGATCAATGTCCCAGCGCGGTGATAATGTCTTGATATGTGATTGCGGGGGAGGAACTGTCGATATTACCACATACACAGTCACTTCGGTTGCGCCGAAGTTGACTTTTGAAGAACTTTGCGTTGGAACTGGTCAGGACATCCACTCACTAGGAAGGTCAATCGGTCATCTAGGCCCTCTCTTGTACAAGGAATGGCATCTACTTTGCAGCGAAGCACAGCTAAATATTGTTATCATAGGTGGAAAGTGTGGCTCTACCTATATTTATCGTCACCTTCACGCTCTCTTATCTGATCGTTTCGGCAATGCTTTCGACAGCATCCCATATTCGAGAAAAGGTCCTGGAAGCGCTCTGATGAACAATTGGGAGGAGATTAAGAAATGCTTCGGTCTCGCCACTGAGAATGCTAGCACCTTCGAACTAGGTCCGCTTTACCTTGATTTGCCAAGTTCGCATCAATATGACAGAGACGATAATTCTATCTTCCTATCACTATAAGTTGAACTCGATTTGCAAGTGTAAATCCCCATCGGTATAGTTTTCCACTCCAAACTCAGACTAGGAGTAAGGATTAGACTTGGCAGTCCTGCTCATACATTATCGCAAGCTTCTGACATCTTTCCAGTGAAGACATGAAGTCCGTGTTCGATCCAATCGTCGATCGGGTAATCAAACAAGTTAAAAAGCAGGTCGACCAAGCAAAGCGCCAAAGAAAGGCAAAAATCCATGTAAGTTTCAACGTGACCTTGCTAGCTAGTCGGCTTCATTTTCTAACTTCCATGAAGCGCATAGCTCTTGTGGGTGGAATGGGAGCTTCAAAATATCTATACAGCAGATTATTGTCGTGGTGTGCTTCAAATGGACATATTGAGCTTCTATGCCCTGAGAGCCCGTGAGTATCTTGACGTTCCGGTGGCTCGACGCGTCTAATCTGTAAAATAGTGATCTCGCAGTTTTAAGGGGTGCTGGAATTCGGGCACTCGAAGGACTTGCGCCTCGCGTTAAGTACGTTCGTCGGCACTACGGCTTCCGAATCAGTCGTGTCTTCCGGGAATTTATCGATGAGGAAAAGCACGCATACATCGATGAATACTCGAATCTAAAGTATTGTGCAGGCCGAGCCATATGGTGTGTTTCAAAGGTAAGAGGGCTCCCAAGATGCTTATGATGATAGTAATTCTAATTCTTATAGGGCGAAGTGATAACTGAAGGGTCGTTTCATTCAGAAGGTTGTTCGTCCCCCTACAGCCCTGGAAAAGCCATTAATTCTACGGTTGAACTTTATTCATGCGAAGGAGATCAACAACCTGATAGGATGGACGATCCACGTAAGTTCATGGCCCTTTTCTTGATATATGTTGACTAACGGGTAAAACAGGCGTCAAGAGCGTTGGCAAAATACCTTACAACTTCCCCGCAGATTTCAACTTCGGCATGGACAGCAGGTCAAGATTCAACCAGCGCCTTGACAGGATGGTTCATGAGTTCCATTTTCAGATCCAAGTTATATTTGGTGACAGAGGAGCCAATCTGAAATTCCGGCTCGCTGTTGGTGGTAGAGTGGTATCCGACACTACCATCGAATTTCCTGAGCATTGAAGTGCCGATGGTGAAATTACAATAAATACTCATAGATCTTCGAGGTTGATGAGGAGGGAGAGATAGCGAAAGAGTGACATATCAAGAGTTTGAGTTTAGATGCTTGCGTAGAATTTGGGGTTTCAGTTTTGGTTTTAGTCAACGTCAGCAATAAAGAATGAGAAATGTCTCAATTGTGTGGCTCTGTGTATCAATCGTTTCAATATCGAGTGGAGTATTGTGCTTTGTCCTAGGAGTGACATCAGCATTGGTATGTGATTGAGGTCATCATAGCATTTGCCTGTGTACTTGCTGGCTTGTTCTAGCTATTTTTTTGGTAAGAATACGGATCTGAATTGATTGTTCGGACATGAATATCAGGACTGGGCAAAGAGTAGGGTGTACCACCTCTGCTCCACTCTACAGACATAGAAATATCCATAAGTATTTAGCATGTGAGATTGTACATGAAGTAGATGACATCACATAATTCAGAGATTACACAACTAATACCAAACTGATGTCAACTAGGTAACAACTTCACATTGTCCATTAAAACTAAAAACTTATTCAATGAGACAAGTGACGTTGTATTGTCAAAATATCACCCAAAATATATCAAAGTAACAAATAAAAATGACTCCAGCTTTAAATGGAAATGTAAAACAATCATATGATATTTATCTTTATCTACCAGTAAACCTGCACTCGGAAGTGATCATCCGGTCGTACACATGATTACCTTTTGCTCAATTGATGTGAATTGCACAAACATGCCCCCTAGAAGAAACTGAGGAATAGACAAAATTGAAATATGACATGGAGAATAACAATTTAGAACATAACAAAAAAGAATCACCCAAGTTGTTGGACTGACATCCAGATTTATGAATGGACAAAAATCAACCAGCGATACATTTTGTAATTGACAGTCAAATCACATCCCAGATCTGAGGCGCTCTATTGATTGAAGAGCCTCGCCGTACTTGCTTCTGAATTCGTCTCTTTGCTTTTCCATTTCGTCGCGCTCTTCAATTCGTTGGGCTATTTCCCCGCGTAACCCTTCTAGCACAGGTCTTAGCTGTTCAGCGAAATCGTCTAGGTAGGGTTTGACGAGGTCAAGCAAAGTCGCTCTGTCGAAACGCTTAAGCATTCTTTCACCTAGAGCTTCTGCGCTCAAATCACTTCTGGGAGGAAGAGTTGCTGGCTCCAAGTCTTTCGATGGTCGGGGAGGAAGAGTCTTTTCCTCAAAATCTTGATCGGCATCCCCGGGCTTAGGAACATGAAACCACACACCTGCACGTCGGTACTCGTGGAACTCATGCCACCATCTCTTCTCATAGTAACCTATATCTGCAAGGCCGAGCCCATACCTCAGGATCGCAGGCGAGCAAACCATAGATATTGGCTGGCCATTTGGATTGATATCGGGACTTTGGTAGACCCTGTCGACTACTTTCATGTAGGGATTCTGGAGATCAAATGGCTGGCCCAAGAAGTTGGAGGCGTCAAGAAGCTTTATCATTGGTTCCCTACCCCAAATCCTGTAAGAATGCTCGGCGCCCTGCATATACAGATCCCCAAGTTTCTGTAGTGCATCCGGGTGACCTTTCATGATATATTTGGCGGGACTCCGCATAAAGTTTGTAGCTCCGGAGATTGCAGCGTTGCGCAAGAGCTTTTTTGTTTCCGATTTGACCAATAATTCATCTGGAGACTTGCGTAATGGATGAATGAGTTTTAAGGTGTCTGCACGCCAACGTTAGGAATGCCCTAGATTCCCTATGCATGGTTAATTTTATGTAACCAACGCTTGAATTGAAAAACCTACAGATGTTGCCCAACGACATGATATCGTTGAGAATTCGGGATGTTTCTTCACCTAAGAAGAAGAAAGGATCGGGATAGACAGTCGTGAACAAATGATGGGTAAGCAGAGCTTCAAGAATAGTTATTAATGTTCTGGGTTGTCCCCGAAGACCCTTTGGAAATTCCTGTTTGTCCGGTCCATCCAGAAGGACTATTTTCGCTACTTCTTTGAAAAAACACTCACGGTCACTGCCCTGGAGATCGTTGAGTTGAGAGAGATCTTTTGCTTCTCTTCTACTCCAAATTCTCATCTCTACCTTCAGCCTGCCAGAAAGACTATCACTAACATTGTCATCGAAAGAATGATGCCATTCGAGTTCAGATGGTTCAAATGGCGATCTGGGGGGAGATTCTTCGCGAAATTTGCGCAACTGCTCTAGCAGTGCGTCCCGTTGCCCTTTGAGCATTTTTATTTCCATCGGGAGATTGCCTCCCGCCTGTAATACAAATTCTTCCGTCATTTTGAGATTATGTTGATGATTTTCCGATATCCTCAACTATTGTCATTCCGTCGATTATGATAGAGTTAGTTCTGAAATTTCCCAGTTACCTTAGACAAACTGGATTGAAGAAATTATCTCGAACAAAATAGGGAAAAAATCCCTTTGATTGTTAGCGAAGCCACCAAGTGGGAATAGTCATCAAAAGAGAGTCTTTGTTTCATTTACCAGTCATACTTGAATTGGTTAACAACATTCCAATGTATGCAGTTCATCAACCCTCCCCTGACGCTTTTGGTAGAACCTAGCATCGGAGCTTGAGTTTTAGAAAATCAAGGCCAGTGTAACTACGAAGCCATCTCTATGTGAAGAATGTGGAATGTGGTCTAATCTCAATCGCCAACGTCGTATGGACCATGCTGATGGCGGCTCGGACCGGAGGACACCGAATATGGCTTCTGGTACATCTCGGAGGAACTCCCGTGGAAGATGGTACCTGACAGCTGACCATCGATCACTACCAAGCGTTTGGTAAACGTTAGTAAACCTCATTGAAAGTTAAATTCGAAAGGAGCAATGCATCCATGACGCCCGGGCTATTCTTGGCCGAGTGAGAGCGTTTACTGGCGCGACTGACAAACAAGATTGGTGATTGAAGAGTTCAAGAGTGGGACAGAAAATCGGCACACCTCGGGAGTCGGGAGAGGGATGAAGTGGAAACCTTCGTGATGCGTAAACTCTTGGAAGACTCTTATTAGTTTCTTGATTCCTTGTTTAGGATCTCGAAATGGAAAATAAAATTTCCGTTGCCATCCATGATACCTCTACGTGCCGAAGATGGGGGAATGTTTGGAGCCGACTGACTCAGCAAGAGAATTAGATTGTCACGTGTCGTATGATCTTCTCGAGATTCGATCTGATGATTTTGGGAAAAAATCATCCATTCGCGCGCATTGTTGTGCTGACTTACTGAACGATGGCAGACAAAAATGGAAGGAGAAAATGAAAGGAAAAAGAGAAATGAACAAAGAAGGAGGTATGCAACCGGAAACAAAAGGCAAGTAAAGTCAAAGGGGTGAGAAACTTTCTCGCACTCACGTATACTCCGTTCCGTGAGGTACAATAACCCTTGCATGGCTTGTGAACTTTGTGGGGCAAACACGTTTCGTCTTGTTATTTTCGTTTCTAATTGATGGGATGGCAGCACAACCCATGTTGAAGTTTCCCCAGATTTTTATGGTTTGCGTTCCTGTTAGCGAGACGTCTTGATTGGGAAACTTGGCTACTCCGCCTTGGTGGAACATGAACAGATCTGGAGCCGTCTTCCATCAACACGAGAGCTTGAGCTAAATGAACTCTTTTGGACATAGTAGTCATGGATAATACTGTAATGCAATAATATCCCTCAACAAGTGTCGAGGAGAGCACCAGGTCAGAAGATGAACGCCGTTACATTGAAGCCACAAATAAGTCAGATGAAGGACTAGGTATGCTGCTTAGGGGAAGTCAGATATACAATCACTTTTTAAAGGATCATATACCGAAATGACACGCCTGCCTGAGATACGAGATCGGGAACTGGACTGGATTGAGAATTCTCCGGAGGTCATTCTTGAACCTGTCTCCCTGTCGATCCATCTCACAGACTAATGACGCTGCCGTCCTCCTCGGTGTGGAGCCGCAAATATCCACTACGCACACTTGAGAGCGTCCTGTTTATTACCGCAAGTGTACTTCGGTTACAAACATGTTGATCAAGTCGGCTAAATAGTGACCACTCCAGGCTCAATTTATATATCTTCCGGAGAGATCTGCCACGATAGAAGACGGGACATCCTTCTACATTCTTTCGCATCTACTTCTTTTTGCACGTTCTCAACCATGAAGTTCTTCTATTCCGTATTGGCCTTTGCGCCACAAGTCTTCGCTGCTCTTACTTACAAAGGAGTCGACTGGTCGTCCGTCTCTGTTGAGGAGAAAAGTGGTTACACTTACAAAAATACCGCTGGTACTACACAAGCCCTCGAGACTATTCTGAAAGCTTCAGGTGTTAACACTGTGAGACAAAGAATATGGGTCAACCCTTCCAGTGGCCAATACAATTTGGCCTACAACTTGGCTCTTGCAAAACGCGCCAAGGCTGCTGGATTGAACATCTACCTCGATTTACATTTCAGTGATACATGGGCCGACCCAAGTCATCAGGTAAACAAATCTGCTACTCACACCATTTCTTTAAGAATCAAGACTAACTCCTTTCTTCACCAGGCGATCCCCTCTGGCTGGCCTACCGATACCGTTGGAAACCTTGCATGGGAAGTTTATAATTATACTTTGGCAGTCTCGGATGCCTTTGCCAGTGCTGGCATCTCTCCTTCGATAATATCCATTGGCAATGAGATCCGCGCTGGACTTCTCTGGCCTATTGGCACTACATCCTCCTACTACAACATTGCCAGTCTCCTCCACTCCGCCTCCGCCGGTATCAAAGACTCAACTCTTACCACCAAACCCAAGATCATGATCCACCTCGACAACGGCTATTCCTGGAGCGAACAACAATATTTCTACAAAACCGTTCTCGCAGCAGGTCCTCTCCTAACCACCGATTTCGACATGATGGGCGTATCCTACTATCCATTCTACACCTCCACCGCCACCCTCGCAAGTCTCAAGACTTCCTTAACAAACATGGCTTCCACATGGGGTAAACAACTCGTAGTCGCCGAAACCAATTGGCCATTCGCGTGTCCATCCCCGGCATACGCTTTCCCATCCGATGCAACATCGATTCCCTTCAGTGCTGCAGGCCAAACAACCTGGATTAAGGATGTTGCAGCAATAGTCGCGGGAGTTAAGGGTGGAGTGGGACTTTTCTATTGGGAACCTGCGTGGATCAATAATGCGGCTTTGGGAAGCAGTTGTTCGGATGCTATCCTTTTCGATCCCAAGGGAGTTGCTAGATCTAGTTTGTCGGCTTTTGCTAGCATTTAGACTTTAATCTGTCGGACCTAAGATAATGGAAGGGAGAAAGAGGAAGGGGAATACGGATTATTATTTTTTGTATTTACTTGAACTTTAATATTTGTATATACAAAATTTACTTTGGTATATAACTGGAATGTAAACCGCCGTTTTGGATCATAAACCTTCGCCATGCTTGATAGGACGCGCTCAAGTAAATTAATGACCTGCATGATGCGAATGCTCTAAATCATTCAAATAGCTCGAATTCGACTTTCATCGAGAACGATCCAATTTGCGTTCCCAGTAAATCGATAAGTGAAAACATACAAGTGACATTACATGCAAACATACCTAGCAATCGATGGTGGGAAATTTCCATTCAAAGTATCTAATTGCTTCTGGGTTGAGATCGAATGGGATCATTAAAATCTAACATGCCTGAGCCAATCATTGACCATCACTATCACAAGAGGATTTGCATCCCTCAAACAGCCTCATAGTCTAATATTCTCATTCTGTCGTAAATACACAAACAATTCGCAATCATATGCTCCAGGTATCCATACTCCAAACCTTCGCAAAAGATTTCAGATGAACCACGGTACAAGAGAGTATGTCGTCCCTCCCTTCCACCTATATTCATTGATCATAACTCGTCAATCATTAATCATTTCTCATGGAGTTTCGAAAAACACATTGAGATCTGTTCACCCAATAGTTCAAATTCCATGTGTGGAGCTTCTGTATCGTTGACCGAGGCTAAAAACTTCAATGCACTTTCTTGCGCAGTCTTTAATGGAGTTAAATATTCGCTCTCGACTCGCGACATCATTCCAGGAGGAATGATATTTGCATTTTGCTTTCCTACGACGAAAAATAGAAAATTGAGTGCGGCCATGTGGACTGGAAATGACTCTATCAATTCATCACTCAATTCTTCATCAGATTTGTCGACAAGCGTCGAAAGATTTGGGAAGATTTGGGATTGTGTCTCCAAAAGTGCAGAGGTGGTAGAGAAAAAGGTTTGTGTTTTCCTCTCATGAGCTGTGATCAACTCTTCCTTGAGCCATGTGATTGCAGATGCCTTGAGTGCTATCGCGCCGATTTCATCCGAAGTTCCCTTCAGTGTCTTCGATATGAAAGTCAACCTCATGGCATCCACAGGATGAGCATGTAGGATGGCAGAGGTTAATTTGTGAGTACAATAACGGATGCCAGGAGAAGGGTTTGTGGCAGACCATAATGATAAAGCCCTTAGATGTGCCATATAGTCATTGTCTTTGAACTCCCCAGATACAAATTTATTGGAATGTTCCAACCATATCCCAATTGCAACTACTGCATCAGCAATGGCAATAGATGAGCCAGCCGCAGTTTCGAAAAATCGGGCAACCAATTTGGCATGATCAGGGAATATAGACATGACTGGTTCTGGTGTCTTCGACTTGAACATGACGGATGAGAATATGAAAGAAGTTAGAAGAAATAGGCAGCCAACAGGGGAAAGTGGAATGTCTTCAGGCGAGTCCGGTAGATCATCTTCGGGATTTGGAGCATGTGCAATGGGTTCTTTTGAATGGATAGTATCGAATAAAAGATCGTAATTGGCCAATTCGAGATCGCGAGCAAGGGACTAGATGAATTAGAATTGTCATATTAAACACACAGTATTGGCACTTACCACAAGCTGACCAGCAACTGTTTCTCGAGTTTGATACTCGGGCGTGGTTTGAAATGCCTCTGCCAAACTCGTTCTACCTGCTACAACTCTTTTTGGATCAAAGGATTCCTGCAATCTTCCGGCCCATTCTAAAGGATACACATCGATGTACATTTCCAGCATATGCGTCACAAGTCCCTGCAAAAGCTTCTTTTGTATGGCAGATTCGTAAGTATCCTCTTCTTGTGCTTCTGGGTCGGGTGCCGGAGGCAAATTTGATTCTATCTCTGGGCGCATGACGCTGGCGATACTGAGACTCGATTTACGTCCCGGTAGTGTAGGTCGCTTCTTGCCCGAGACTATGTGCGCAAACTTGCCAATCGCCATGACAGCTCGGTGTGAAGGATGGAACGCTTGCACAATGGCATGTATGGTAGTTGCTAAGAAGCGCGAAGGATGTTTGGTTTTGATTCGAGGGTGAATGATGGAAAGAAGGCTAAGTATGAAACAGAATCGATCGAGGTCGTTTGATATCGCTGTTTTATTCTGATTTTCTACACCATCTTCTCCCCCATGCCAGTCATCTTCAATTCCATCTAGGTCTAGCCTTTTCAACTCTGCTAGAATCGAGATGATGAGTTCCCTCGGATTGGCAAGACGTGCAATCGTGATGAGACAATCATCCGACCCGGGAACTTCCAGAAGAATAGTCATAGCTTCCCAGCCCACAATGTTGGCGATATCAACATCTTGCAACACGTCGTTCAATGCAGCAAGAAGTTGCGATTGTAGCTCTGGAGTCGGCTTTTGTTCTATTAGTACTAAACGAAGGAAACTTAAATACGCCATAGGATCTCCTGCAGGCGGTGCAGTAGATCTGATATCGACGACCGGATCCGGATCTGACTCCATATTTGTTTGCAAGTATGTAAAACGAAAAGAATGGATTGATATTGTTATGGTTATGGGGATGATAGGGAAGTCGAGCGTGGGGAAACGGCGGCAGAAAGTCTCTGTGGCTTGCGAAAAGCGGTGGGGTCGGATGAAAAAATAGCTGTGGCGTTCCCTCCTGAACGAAATCACCGAGTACCTACTCTCGCCAACATGATAACACAGCCTACTGCCCATTTCGTCAATGGATCCACTCGCCGGCTGACAATGTCACCTCAAGATGAGAGCGTTGAACTTCCGTGAAGAATTATTCGCTACCATGCGTAGAATATGATACAGACCATTCATCGACCCTTACCTTTACCACTCATTCTGAGTCAACCTTCGGCGCGTATGCGCGTATCACAGGTTTATGAACCACCCTTGATAGTCTCCATGTTTTGATGGCACAGCATCGCACGTAGCCTGATGTATATGTTGCCATGTTGTTCGAAGATATGTTCTTCTCCTTATGTTCTCCTGCTTTGTATTTTACTCAGTTCTCGATGTTTTACCCAACTTTGTTTGTGTCATCTTGTATGAACTCTCTGGTATGACAGTTCCCTAATGGCGGCCTTTGGCTGGTCAGTCGGCGATTTGGTTTCTGCCATTTCTGTTGTTGCAAAAGTATCCAGAGCACTCAAAGATGTCGGTGGTGCAGCCGATGACTATCGCGAAACCGTTTTATTTCTGGAAAGTCTGAATATAACATTGACTACTCTACACGGTCTCTATGAATCAAACGTTGATCCAAGTATTTTATCAGGTGTGCAGTCACAGCTTGAACTCGTACAAAAGCCCATCGGTGTATTCACTGAGAAAGTCAAACGCAAGCTTGACTCGGTTTTCAATAGTACAAAGAAAGATAAAGGAGTTCGCACAACGCTAAAGAGGACTTCGAGTCAACTAGAATGGGCATTTTGGCTAGATAAACAGTCTCAGGTGCTGAACAGAAAAATCCTTGTCCCTTTAACGGGAATTCAGATTCAACTTGGCATTCACATACAGTCCGTTCCTACCCCCATTTCAGTCTATTTTTTTTAATCATATTGCAGCTCTGTGCTTTCAACCATTGCCGATGACTTTACCACGAAAGTAGAAAAAAAGATTAATGATGCGTTTCCGCTATTGCTTCAGCAAAACCTGGCACCAATAGTAGCTTTAGAGCGTCGTCGTCACACTGAAGAGCGCGATGCAAACACGGCGATATACCAAAAGATCGAGTCATTGCCACAAATAATCGCTGATACCGTGGACATATCGTTGGATAGAGCCCAACAAAAAGATAGTCTTCGTTCAAAAAAGCTGGAGGATTATTGCTCATTGATCATTGAGACGATTGATAGGGTCGAGGAGAGGTTACAACAAAACAACGACCACGCTGCACCCAACGTCTCTGCAGGCACCGAGCCACCTTCCGAAGGGCCGCAAATCTCGTCGCTTCTCATTTCAAATGGAAAAATTCGTCGAGCAAACTCAAAACCTGGTGAAGCTCAACAGACTGAATATAGTTCAAGAGTACCCGTAGAGTCACTTCTTAAGAGCTTGACCCGGCACACTGCCGATACTAGCACTCCTGGTGTCTCTGAATTGAACCATAACCAGCAGCCGACCCTTGAATGCCCATCTGCTGCAATTGGGCAAGCTTGGGAAGAGACCGCAGTAAATTTCAGAAAATTGTTCGTGACCCAAATCATACTTACTATCATTCCCGCTAACAAACCGAAGAATTTCCTTGCTAATTCAAGCATTTCAAGAATATTTTGTTGGATTATGGTATGACACTCATCCTTTTGAAAAATCTTAACTCATTATCATTAGGCCGATGTTTGCATACTTGCTGTATCAGGCGAAACTCATGCAGAAATGCATATTTCGCCTGCCTAGTCTACTCGCTAAAGATAATATAACCTTCGTAGATGCTCTTGGAAGATCTAGACGAATCCCGTATATGACTTACGGGCACTGGGAGGTGATTTTACTATACGTTTGACAGAAATCTTGACTAATATTATGAGTGTCAGACCTTCAACAACTTTGTCCTGGCGGATTTTCAGAAGATTCCCGGTGAAAGTCATGTCCAAAAAAGCCGGTTTGAACTTCTAGCTTCGGATGGTCTCACTACTCTCAATCGGTCTAATTGGAAATCGTTTGTACTACCCAACGTCGAGATCTCAATGGTTGTGAACTTAAGCCTCTCTGTACGTGATGGCAGATGTCCGAAATGTAGAAGGCCATCTGACATGACTGTGAATGGAGCTATATCTGCAGGATTGGCTACTTGGTAAGAGACTCGATGTTTTGTTGGTTTTTCCCTTCTAACTAATATCAGTAACAACCTGGATTGTCAACTGAAATTCCGATTGGTACCATACATTGATCGCGAGTCCGAACTTCAAACAACAGTTCAGAACAAAGACTCTAACACTTCTTCTGTTTCTGTTTGGCTCGAGATCGCTAGTTCTTTGAAAAAGGTTCAATATGCAAACCTGAGGGAAAAATCAAACGCCCTTGCCTTGGCAGATACAAGAGGAGATAATCCTTTTCCTCAATCCGACGGACCTGAGCCTTACAAACACTTGCTAGGAGTAAAGCGCAAAAAGGACACTGGGTCTTACATGCCAGATGAAATCCGCTCGCACACAAAAGCGTTGCAGGAACTGAAGCAGGAAACCACTGAGTTTGAGCTTTATTTCAAAAGTGTGCAGTGCAGAATGTTTTCTCTGGAATGCGAGATTTGCGGGTATTTCGATTTCAATCATATGCACGAACTAACACGCCATATGATTCAAGCTCACACATGCATATACAGTTGCCTCTTCGACTTTGCTGGCTGTCAGCATGAGTTTGCTCGCGAAGATCAATGGAAATGCCACATCACATCAGATCACCTCAATTGGTTGTGCGATATAGGTCAATGCCCAAACGAAAAGGTGCATCCGATCAATCATTACAACAAAGACGGATATTCTGCTAGTAAAAAGAGACACGCTGTAGCACTTCAAAAACGGGCAGATAGAGCCAATGCGATTTTACAGGCTTCATTAAGGGAGAGAAAAAGCTTACCTTCAAAATTAAATTGTCCGGTCAAGGACTGTGAGATTTCATTTGATGGACAAAATTGTTGGGATGATAGAATGGATCATGTTGGAAAGCATATCATTGGCAATACTATCGAAAGAGTTGGGTATTTGTGTTCGAAGCGCTTTTTAGACAACACAGCTGATGAACTGTTTATTGCATGGGCTTTGAGTGAGGGTATTGTACAAAAAGTCGGGCGAAATTTTAGACTGGTGATTCCAGAGTAGTTGGTCTGTGTCTTTCTTTGCAGGGGACCTGGAATCTGGCGTTCGGTTGTTTGTGATGGATATCATGGAGAGATAAAACTTGTGGTAAAGCTTGAAATCTGCTCAAAAGATATGGATCGGCGGGACGTAATACCCTGGAGTATGTAGACAACTCTTTATTTATTTTTATTTGGGACGTCTAATAAATGATTTAACGACCACGTCTGGAATTGTTCCGTACCGCATTATGCCATAAAAGTATTTTCGGATCTTATGCTCTCCTTGCCACTCCTCCATAGTATCTCTGATAGTACCTCCCCGCTGCCCAAAAGTCCTCGGATTACTCGGAAGCATATGGTCCTACCATAATCAACAAGTCTCGCCTTATCCTCATCAATAACACTCAATACTGCCTTACTCCCCAGAGAGTACAGATATTCTGCCCCGATAACATGATTCGCAAGATTCTCAATCATCCTGTCAAACTCATCCATCAAAACAATCTGATCCAAATCCGGTAAGACAGAAGGTCGGAAAAGGAAGCTAAGTCTCTCGATCTCCAGCAGCGAATCCTACTCGAGTGTACATATGAAGCTCTTCGATAGAAGGATATGCGGTTATTTATCAGGTCTCTATCTGTTGGAACATAACATATACCACTACTCCAAAAACATATCCAAGCGAAGAGTTACGCGACCTTCCCCCTCACTAACCGACTATCCTACTGTTTTCACATCGCCGGACCAAGAGACACAATTTTACTTTGTTTTTCTATAGAAAAATGGCTCAAATGTTATTTGCATAGCATGATTGGTCAACAAGCTATTGATCTCATTAGCGATTTAATCACGCGCAAAGGAGACAATTGTCCACGATTTCACAATAGTGATCTCTCAACTCCCAATCTCTCCCTTCATCACTCTCCAACTTTTCGCTATTTGCGACATCGATTCTTGGTCGGGCAGAATTTTCGATTAGTGTAAATGTCTTCTCTTCCTCCCCTCTTCTCCCTCACGAATCCTCGTCCTGTTCCGGGTCCCCGCTTATCTATCCCTCTCACTACTAACACAGTCATCACAATCTTCAGAACATCTAATTACCCTCAACCAGCTATCAAAAAATAATACCTCGTCCCCATCTACTCACTCCACTTTATCACCCCGTCTTTAGATCCAAACATTCCACCATCCGGAAAACAATCCAAGTCTGTATAAATATACATTAAATAACTAATCATCCTTCATATATACTACTCAGTTAATAATGATTATCAAAAATATATCTAGATATCTTCTCTTGATTCAATTTCCACAGTCTTAATATCAACACAATACTTATCGTACCTCAAATCTTTATATATATATATAATAATATGGAAAGAGATATAAACGGGTATGAAGGAATATAAAGGGATATAAAGAAAAGATAAGGTATGGATTAGATATATAAATGAATGAATAAATAAAAAGATAGATAGATAATTTCATAGCAATTCCAATCCCAATCTCAATCCCATTCTCATTCCAAAATAACATTATAAGGGAGTTGAGTTGGGAGTGCATTATGGGATGGGGGTTATTGGTAAGATCTTACCTAGTAAGTAAAAGTTTGGGAGGACTGGGAGGGTTTGGTTTAGGTACTGGAAGATTCTATGGAAGGGGAATAGGTATGAGAGGAGAGGGGAGAGAGGGGGGAGAGGGGAGGAGAAATAAGAATATCTAAGGGATTGGGATTTAGATAGTTGATTGGTTTGGTGAAAGTTGGAATGGTGTTGTGAGAGAGATCATGAGTGAGATGGGGATTGGAGATTGGAGATTGGGGTTATTGAGGAGGGGGATTGGAGATTTTGGAGGTTTGAGGAAGATTTGAGGAAGATGAAAGGGGAATAGGGAAGAGGGAATATGGATAACAGAAGGAACACTAATGTTTAAGGGACTTGTGTCTAAAGAGTAGCTTTTCTTGGGTGAATAATATAGAATTTCGTTTCGGTTAAAGAGGTGTCCAGTTAAATCATACACGAAATTGAGATGTTTATTCCTCACAGAATCTTCAGATTAATTTTCATGAAGATTTTTATGGTCCTTACACCATCTCATTAAAACCTCGTCAACTTTCCTATAGTAAATCAACAAATTCTCTTTCAACAAAACTATTCCCATACATACTCATCTTTATCCCAGTCCAATGCATTCCACAATAAGCTTCCCTCAAAAATAACGAAACCTCCAGCTACACAATAGAAGACTACCTAGGTATTTACACAACTCATTCAAGCACAATAATCTTCGGAGTCTCCCTTTTGACTTTCTTCACAGACCTACTCCCGTTACCATTACCCACACCATCATTCACAACATCTCGCTCCGAAGGATCCAGACTTCTATCTCTCTTTATTCCAGACACATATCTCGAACCTTCATCCGAACTTTCGTCTCTTTCCAATTCACTCTGCATGAGAGACTTGAATTTTCGTTGTTTCCTGAGGGATTTGTTCTTCTGCATAATTGCTTCATCTCTCTCGGCAATCGCAGTATTTTTCTCAATCATCGCTTTGTCTCTCCCCATGTTTGCTCTCTTAATCTGGCTGTTGGCCTGGGAGATCCGCTTTTCCAGTATTTCTTGGTCGGTTTTCAGTTGTCGAATGTCTATTTTCATCTTGACATCTCTCTTTTCAAGAGCACCAATTCTCGCGTGTGCTTCTTTAAGATCAACGATTGCAGAGCTCTTGATTGTAGAGTTCTTCATTTGAGAATCCGAGAGCTTTTCTTGAAGGGTTGCATTTTCAGACTTCATGACATCTCGTTCTTTCTTAAATGTCTCGAGTTGGACCGCCTGAGCGGCGTGACTTTTTCTGGTCTTTCTGAGATCTTCTTCTAAATCCGCATTCTTAACATTTAAATCTGCAATCCTAACGCTAAAGGCATCTGTGTTGGCTTGTGGTTTGGCGGAATTGGACATCCTCTGAGTTTTGAGTTGTTGAAGCGATTGTGTGAGCCTTGCTTTTTCTAACAGGGCATTCGTGAGTTGCTTTGATAGACTTTCCTTTTCAATTCTCAGGGTGTTAGAATTAGATTTGAGCTCTTTGATCTTTGATGATGCTTTTTCTACATCTTGTCTCAGAATTCTGCGACATGACTCGGACTTCTCGAGTTGAGCTTCGATAGAAGTGGTGTCATAGGACATTCTATCACGCAAAGATCTTTGGAGAATGATATTTAATGCTTTATCCAATCTGTTTTCTTGAACTGGCAAATCTTCATTTGAATCAGCGTCAGAAGCTGGTAGTAAACATAGTTGTCTTGGAAAAGTCCTCATTTTCTGTTTTATTGGCTGTAGCTAGCATCCCCGTCAACGGTTTGTTGGAAGTTGGTTTTATGGGCGAGGGAGGAAAGCCGAAAAATGCTATCGGGACTTTTGCTCTTGAGATCTTCGGAAAGTATGATTCTGTCGAAACGAGTCCTGCGAAGGTTATCTCGTTATCACTTGATGTGGAAGACACTATCTTTTGAGGGCATCCGCAGTTTGCTATATCTGCAGTTTCATCATTTGAAGCTGTATCTTCTGATAATACAATGTTAGTAAAGACAAGATTATCAAATAATAGTACATATGGGTGGGAACATACTTCGTGTTACATGCTCCGAGTGCTTGTCTCTACATGTACTGTCTCGGTGTAGGATGACGTGTGATTCCAGATTAATATTGTGAATGCGAGAGAAAAATACCAGCTTCGCTATCTTCCCAAGACACACGTAACTCTCCATTGTTGTGACCATGTGTGAGTTGGATCATGCGGGGCATGTGTTTAAGACACTTCCTGATTTCAAATATCAAATCTGTTCCTCCTTTCTCTTTATCTGCAGTAGAAAGTCCCGTAGTGATGTCATTTTTGTCAAGCTCCCGTATTATGCGTGCGTGAAGGTAGTTGATGATGTGTTCACAAGTGAACATTTGGACTTTGACGGCACGATTTGAAACTGCGTGCCTGTGATAGAAAGCATTCCATGTTCTTATCCCTATGGATTTGTTCAAAACTCATATAGCTTTGTGGAGAAGAAGCCTTGTTTTATCCGGTTTCATGTCGAGACATACGTCAAGATCGATATCATCTCCGTCTTTGACACTATTTCAAAGTTTATTTCGTTATATAGAGATAAAATGGAACGTAATGTCCACAGAAAGCTCTGACAGTATGGCGTGTCTAGAATTTTGACAGTATCGAGGCGACAAATTTCTCCCTCTGGTATTCTGATGGCGTCATTACACTTGTGTATTTCTTCAAAGCCTTCCATAATTCGTCAGACAGAGGAACGGGTTCTTTCTTCAATACGGACTGAATTTTCTGTGAAGTAACAATTAGTTGATGTCTCAAACGAATCAGTAGAATCTTGAATACCTTGTCAGAACATGATGCACCATGGTAAAATTTCGTCCCTTGGGGATTCTTTTCTTGGAGCTGGTTCCAAAGAGTCTTGGCCACAGATTCAGACATTCTTGTTGAAGCTCCATTTATGTCCAACCAGTTTTGTTTTGTGTTCTGAAACATGTTGAGGTATCTGTCGACATTATTTTTGCCACCGCATCTCACGACCTCACCCCACACTTCATCAGCCGGTCTGGCAGCTGACTGGCATCCCAATTTCTATCTCTATCCAGCCGGCCCGATAGAAGTCGTAGCCATACTTGTATAGGTGTGGAGATGACAGTTTTCCCAAATAGACTCCTTTCAAATGGATTCTGCCTCTCAAGTCTGTCTCAAGATGACAGCACCATACTTTGTCTGGATAATTTCCTTGGGCCCAGAGCAATTGAAGTAAAGGTAGGTTTCCAACCATTGCTTTGTATGTATCTCGGTCAGCGGACTTCCAGAAGTACCATAGACAGTGCCTATCTTGACAGAGACATCCTGCGAAGGATTCGGAAGTCTGAATTGAGTTTCATCTGGGTTCTGTGGCAAGTCCTTGTCTCCATCCTTCGCGTCGACCTTGCTTATTCCACAATCTACTACTGTTTTGTCGTTTGTTTTCCATTTTAAACGCCAATAATATCCTGAAGCGGTATTCTTATTTGATAACTAGCACGGCGGAGCATCACCAGTGCGGCAATCTTCAAACCTTCGCCATACTTTCCTGAAAGATTTTCTTTCAAGTCTTTGTCTGTCCAACCCATTTTTAGAGCTTTCCGAGATAGTTGGCTCTGATAATTGCAAAGTTCCAAACATCCTTTACCTTTGTCAAAATTCAAGAAACCAAGAATTTTTCTAGATTCAGGATGATGAACTGTGATCTTGTGCCCCATTGGAGGATATTTCATGAAAATAAAGCGACTTCTCCATGGAGACCGAAAAGGATTGTTTTATCGCGTCTGCCCTGTAATATCATCTTTCGTAAGCTGAGGATATACATTTGGATAGATCTGAGCTTCTATGAATAGAGCACTCACCAATTCAGAAGCAATTCACGAAATGCATCTATCAGGTTCCAGTTCTTAGCATATTCGATACCTATGCTTAGAGTTTCATTGTGAGTTTTTCCTGTCCAGAGATCGTTTTGCTCATTGGGAATCACAATGACTCCTTCGTTGTCCCCATTTTGATCGGCCATTGCTGCAGAAGGTAAGGTCACACTTCGCTCTTTTCTTGAGATTTGGACGTAATGTTGATCTGAATTGATCGCGTCGCATTCGTAAGATAACCGTTCTCAAATGACAGAGAATTGAACCTTCAGAGAAAAAGAAATTTGTAAAACCTTCACAACTTGTAATCAGAACGTTGGTAAAGGTTGAACGAAGCTGAAAATAAAAACACAAAAACCATAGAGTCGAGTGGGGAAAAGATGTTGTAAAGATCATACAAGTCGGGATACCTAGGTAAATATTTTTTTCATTTGCGAAAAGAGGGGTAAGAAATTTTGTGAAGCTTGACAATTCACTGAAGATCGTGATTTTATATTGAAGACTGAGAAGATTTGCTGTATATGTGGATGAATTCGGATGATTGATATATGTGAGACTTACTGAAGTAAGTGAATAATTGACTGTGCGAGATGAGGAAAGGAAATGAGGACATCAAGGAGGGAATAATTTTTCACTTTATCGATATTCAAGAGATTTGAGTAGTTTTGAGAGAGGAAAGAATGCAATGTGTTGTGATGTGATGCGATGTGATTGAAGTGAAGTAAGTAAAAAGATTATCAGATCAACTTTTCATCTGCAACTGAGTTCTCCCCTCTCTTCCCTCTCTCCTCTCAAAACGAAGAGAAATAGCAGGTATGAATATCACTCTGGGTAATGCTCAGAGAAAAGAGATGAAACTGATACACTTCATTTGCAACACAGAAACTTGATGAGAATTTTAGTATTCTATTTTCAACCACCATGCTCAAAACAATTTTTTTTAATAATATACAACACCAATCAAGACAATACTCTCAAAGAAATCTTCTATACTATACAACACCAACTAAGTCAATACTCCCAAAGAATCTTCTATAATATACAACACCAATCAAATCAATACTCTCAAAGAAATCTTCTATACTATACAACACCAACTAAGTCAATACTCCCAAAGAAATCTTCTATAATATACAACACCAATCAAATCAATACTCCCAAAGAAATCTTCTATACTATACAACACCAATCAAGTCAATACTCTCAAAGAAATCTTCTATACTATACAACACCAACCAAGTCAATACTCCCAAAGAAATCTTCTATAATATACAACACCAATCAAGTCAATGCTCCCAAGATTGAGAAACTCAATGCCGAGTGTCCTACTACCATTCCAGCCGCCTCATTCTGAGTAACAGACACTGTCGGTCGTCTCACCAGAAGAACTTTGAATGGTAGCGTGGCTCTGTAGTAAGCCTTGTACATAATTAAGAGCATTAATTTGCTCTCCCACACCAGTAGAGCTATTTTTAGCATTACCACTCCAATCTGAACCACATCCATTATCTCTACAGGTCTTTACAGCAGCTTGGGCGGAGCTGATAAGTTGCTCGGTGATGAGATCGCTAGTGTGTGGAGCGACGGCGATGGTATCGACGAGCCATTTTCCGAGGACACCTTTGAAGGCGCGTTGGTCTGTGGTACAAGAATTTATGGATTCGCAGGCAGTTTCGGTGGCGATTCCGGATGGGAAGAATACGGACATGGTTCTGTTTACGAGACTGTCGAGAGATATTTTCCATTTGATATCTCCGTCGGTATAATTGTACATATACGCAGCGCCTGCAATGAATGTACCTGCATTATCCGAAAATTGCACTTTGTTGATCGCGGAACAGTCTGTGGAAACATCGGCACCGTCAAAAACATTGTGGTCCTCATCGATAAGACCAACCGTTTGAGTCCAGTTCCATGCTGTGGTTGCCCATTCCGAATAAGTGTCGTTGTTTGTAGAAACAGCAAGACGAGCTGCGAGTTGGAAAAAGTTTCCATTCGCCATCGTGTTTTTGTAGCTATAGCCGGCATTGAAAGGAAAGATTTGCCAGCGAAGACCTCCGTTGCAAGATTCCTCATCCCATCGAAGTACTTGTTCATCAAACGTTGCCTGAGCAAGGTCAACCCAAGAAACATTCTGATCTCCTCCTAGTCTTGCCTCTGCTGCAGACATTGCTGCAAGAGCCCAAATGGATTGATCATCACTACCCATGGAAATCGTTTGGTTTAGTGGCATGAAATCGTCATTGGGTCCTCGTTGAGAGGCCAATCCCCGAGTGACAAGTTGATTGTACTGAGAATCACCAGTCAAACGCCAGTATTGAATCAAAGTGTCGAACATGGCACCAGATTCCCACCAGGAGTAAGGTTCGTTCAAAACGCCAATGGGAGCCCCTGGAGTCTGAGACTGTTTGTAAAGACCGACTAGGTCTTTTGCGATTATGCTCGCTGCCGATTTGATGGAATCTATAGATCGAGATGGAATCAGTTTCAATTCTGCAAGGACTTCTTCATGCATCGTGACTTACCAGTGCTGGTGACATCAAGATTAATACCCTGAACCTGTAGTACAGAAAATGCCGCAAGGCCAATGAGTGACTTGATTGAAAACATATCTAAAAAGATGCAAAGAGGAAAGTGATGTTAAGTGAAGGTAAACTGAAGCTATCGTGAGGATGAAATATCTACAACAGCGACATCGAATATATATATATGGAAAGGGCTCGACTTCTAGGGACCAGGGGTCATGAATTTGGCGAACAATTGCATAGCCTAGCAGTAAGATTTGACAGCGCTTGGCGCACGATGACATTCATGGATACGAGATCAAAGCCTAATGAGTTTAAGCTTAACAAAGGATCCGCAGCTACCCAGGATAGTCTTAGGACTCGGAGTCCAAGCGAATACCTCTTGGTAAGCGAGTGAGGTTTGGGATAGGAGTCGGGAAACGACATGGGTTGTTCGGGATAGCTTTCCGAGGATGTCACTTCATGATTTTTAAATTCTTGTGTGCGGAGGCTGAGTGTAATAATAAGTGCTGTAAACATATAGAAAAGCGGTCAAGCTTTTTTCTTCTAAATATAGGGGATTTAGTCAATTAAAATGTTACATTCTTTAAGAATTAATATAATAAACTTCAAGTGGTGAATGTCACGGAGTGAAACTGGAAGGTTGCAGGAAATGAATAGCTTCAATTGATATAGTAACTTTAACTACCTACGTATGAAGAGAGAAGAGAGTCGATGACAGTTTGACAAAGGGATGTGGGGTAAATTAGTGTTTTACATGACTTATGATTCCATTGACTTCCGTATATGCTTGAATCATTACAAATCGAGGATTTATTATGTAAAAGAAGTTGCCGTGGGGATGAAACAAAGAACTTTATATTCACGAGACTTTGGGACACCTCCCGGCATATGAGACCCAAATGGGTTAGCAGCACGTTAATAAGTCTCATGTGGAGGATACGCAGACCTGAAACGTGGATGCGTTTCGTGAGATATAATAGCGTCGATGATGATTGTGCCTCGTCTGGCTTTAGGAATTTCCGTGAAGGAAATCAATGAATTTGAACATCGACTTGCAGCAACTCAATTCAGCTGAAAGAGAAATCTTGTTAGAGTTCTCAAGCTTTGAATTTGAAGGGTTTGACATGGCATTATGATGGAGGGAGCCGTGAATGGAGGGAGCCGTGGTTGGAGAGAGCTTGAAATGTGGTTGTTGACATCCATGGATGGCCCTGCGCGCGAATCCTCCAAGCATTTTTGGGGCTGAGGACATGGAGATCACGGGGGTTTTCAAATCTCAGATGTAAGGTCATGATCAGATATCCTCTGACATCAAGAGAATTACTAGATTACATCTTTTTGGCATACTTATACTCATAATCTTTGTACTCATTGTTTGGCACAAACTATCCATACATCATGTGACCAGTGCAAACAGTGTAGAATTAGCAACTTCCCGAAACGAAATGACTAGACGGCTCACAAAAACAATCTTGTAATCCAAGAATATCGACGATTCAAACTCTATGTCAAGTTGTGTTTTCTGATCCCGCACTTCAACGCGCGTTTGCTCGTTTCACAAGCTCGATTTTGTCTTCCACATCCAGGAGAATACTGTCAGAACCGGAGTTTGTTGCGCGGATGAAAGCAACAGCTGGCAGGTAAGGCTCGGTGTAAGAGTGTGTTGCCGTTGACTGCGTTTAAATCCTGACTTCTTCGCTCGGACTTCTCCTACGAATGGCACTCAAAGGGAAGCAGATTGCCTTTGTGGCTTTGAAATCTGCTTGGGCTGAAATCTGATTTTGCTTTCATTCGCGAATGGCTCACTTTTACAGCTTTGGATGATGGTAAGTAACAACTTTCCAGGCTACTCTCTCTGTTGATTGGGGTGCTATATTGACAAGAAGCCGCAAGTAAGAGTGCAGTAGATTAGAATGTTTTACATCTCCAACCGGTTGCATTGATATTACGGTTAATTCCTTAAAGTCTGAACTAGTCAAGCAGCCTTCCGCTTCTACCCAAGGATAGAAAACTTTGGTTCCAGCGGAGTGCATGCTGTCAATATAACGTGAGTTGGATTGAGTTTCTATTGATCCAAATTTGAATCATTACACGGATACCAGCATCTGCCGAAGCTAATTCAGACCGACAGACGGGTGGATACGCCTCCTGAGGCGGAGTGGCTTCGGAGTATCAAAGTTGTCATTAAATCTCTCAAAGTATCAAAATATGTTGCACTCCGTCTATTTGAGCCGCTTCTGCTTGATTCGGTTGTCCGGTGGGATCGGAGACATTTTTTCTGAATTTTTTATGGAGAAGACAACAATTCCCACAATTTATCACCGGGACACATACTTTTAGTTGTCTTACCACATGCTATTCTAGCCGTTTATAAGTAATGATCCCCTTTATTTGTTGTATCAATGTATATGGCATGTTGAGGGACAGAGGTCACTGGTAATGTACGGAATTCAATCTTCAGATATAAGGACGAGCGTTTTTTCATCATTCAGAATACGCATCTCTTCACTTTTTATCATTAATTTGCCGTGTTGGCCCTCTTCATTGTTACATTCCTTTTCAAGATATCACTCAAATATTCTTCAGAATGTCTGCTGGTAAGGCTATATTCATTACAGTGTTCTCGCCACACACAGTTCTATACCTTTAATTTTGCTTCCTTCCTCACGGGGTTCTATTGCTATAAGATGGATCCCCCCCACAACTCTTCCTCTATTCGCTGTGTGTGATAAGCTGTTGTGTGCTTTCGGAGCCAGATCATTTTCTTTTCTTTGGCAACAGTATCCAATCCATCAAAGAGGTAAGCCTTTGCAATCACTTTCTACTGTGCAGCTGCTAATTGTTCGCTCCACTAGCCCAACTAGTTTGTTCATCTGCCAGACCTTTCTACCCAAGAGGTGCATCTTATACCTCTAGAAGCTTCCCAATCGATGACAAGTGGTAGTGTAAGAGTTTGTGTTCTCTTTCGACAACGCTTGGCTTTAACAGTTTCCTGGGAACCTTGTTTCAGAAAGGTGGCCTAATGCAAAAAGTGAGTAGTCTTTCCTGTCTTTCTCTCGCATCTTTACCATATACTTATAATGGTCAGTTACTTTCTTGCCATCTGGACATCTCTTCTGTTCACGTCTTATCTCCCTCATCGCCAAATCTTACCTACCCAGGCTCAATCCACTGGAAACTCACACTAGTACCTCATTGTGCAATAGCCTTCTCGGGCCATATAACATGATTCCAAACGCAATTATAATTGCTATTCTAAGCGTAAGTTCCACTCTTCATGTTATGCTATATTCAAGTTCTAATCAGCCAAACAGATCACCACAAACTTCACATTCTGATTTACGAACCCTGCTGTCTTCTCGGCACCAAAGGCAAACATCTGCCCCGTCTCTAGAAAGATCACAAAGACTGTATACGTTCCTCGAAATTTACACTCCACAGCTTGACTACATTCTTGTCATTCAGTACAAGTAAAACATAAACTCTCCGATTGTTTGAACGCTATCTGGGCTATATCAACCAGAAGTGTCTCGAACTCTAAGAGTGCTACCAGCTTTAAAAGTACTACCAGTTCTAAGGGTGCTACCAGCTCTAGGAGTACTACCAGCTTTAGGAGTAATCCAACCTCTCCAAGTATTCCAACATTCTGCAGCTCAATCTTCTGGCGTCTATCAAGCCGAAGCAATAATCTGATGAAACTCGAGCCTATTATTGCCGAGAAACGTCGGAATGGCTGACGACATGTCTATTGAGAGTACGGGAAAGAATACTGGAAAATTTTCGTTTGGGTGGAGAAGGCTCTAGGCATTCTTGTGTTGTGGGAAGCAAAAAACATAGGAAGGTTTTGCCTACAAGGTGGTATTGAGATGATAATCAAAAACATACCATCACGCGAAGCTGCAAGAAAAACTAGAACTCTATTAGTCAGTCTGAACATAAGTGTGAAGACAAGTGCATATTTCCATCGAGAATAGCGATCCAGGACATAGTCCTGGTAACCAGTCTGACAAGGGCTATGTTTACACACGACAGTAGATAGCCCATACGGGAAAAACATCGAGCTTGAATTCGCCTTCATAAAAGCGAGCAAAAAATACCGTCGAGGTATCATCGGGATTCCTCAAAAGAAGCTTGAATCCCAGGGAGAGAATCGATTAGCATCGATCACATCCAAATATAAGAAAACTCTCCAAAGATCATAGATCTAACCACCAGCATCGTGTACTACGTCCATATCCATACGTGCGTGTCTCAGCGGCACACGTTCGAGTGTTTCTCTTCTCGCTACACATCAACCATTCCCATCCCACGATTCATCGCCTCTCTTTCTAAACTCGCATCAACTATGTCCTCCCGGAACCTAGGAATCGCAATCCAATTCCACACGGGAAAAGCATTGGCGGGCGAAAAATAAAGATCCTATCATACTCCCAACATCAACATCTATCACAGAACCCCAATATAAATATGCGCAAACCCCGGTTCGATTTCCCGGTCTGTAATGGACCGATGATTCTGGATTCCACGCGGGGAATGTCTAGTATTCATGGATTATATTGAGTTATATACAAAGACTCACTCGAGCTCGATTTCCCGGTCTGTAATGAACCGATTATTCCAGGTTCAACAAGGAGAATCAACTGTTCCTTAAGGAGTTTCCTTCAGCTCATCTACATATCTGCTACATTTCCGTTCCATCACATCCTATTGATAAGCATCTATCTATCATGCTTATGCTTCCTCACAACAAATAAATAAACATATACTTACAATGTACCTGGATTGAGACTTGAATAGAATAGAACCCATAATAGCCCAGAAAACAAACACAAACTCAGACGCAGACGCAAGCGAAATTCTTCTTGAAGCAAGCAGCCCAATTTCTCGCCATACCTATATCCCTCAATACCAAAACTCAATCTGTCCCGAAAACTCATCTACTCTATTATAGGAAAGCGGGAGTGAAGAAATCCTTTCTTGTGAGTATTGAGTATTGAGTTGGAGATGTGATGATGTGATGATGTGATAATGTGATGATGTGATAATGTGATGATGTGATAATGTGATGATGTGATAATGTGATGATGTGATAATGTGATGATGTAGAAGTAAAAGGAATTGAGAAGA